CATTTGGAAAGCCGCAGGATCTTCAACCCTGTTCTAGCTGAAGGTGTCAAATATCATTCTCTTCTCTTTTTTCTAGCTGTGAAACACTTTCCTGCTTCTGTGAAACCAATAAAGCAATGGTGACCCTGCAACATATCAGTTCTACTAAGCAGGAGCCTACAATATCATTTAAGTGTCTTTACTTTAAGCACCTTTAATTAGCTCTCTGATTGGGCACGCATTGTGGTTTGTTCTCTTTGGCTTTTGAAAACAAACCTTGTTTCTCAATAATCTGTGCAACTATTACTCAATGTGTACCTCTCTTCGTACTGAAGCCTGCAGAGAAGCCACAATAAACTTGCAACACAGACGTAACATCATGCACCAGAATGACTCCGCTGAGTCGATGACTTAGTGACTCAGCAATGAAAGTTCACTGCAGGACAAATGGGTAGGAACCATAAAGAAATATAGTGGGAATGGATCTGTGGCACTCGCAGCCAGGGGGAGTAGGGAATGGATAATCGCAACCCAGAAAGAGGATGGATTCCCTAGGAAACTCTTGTGTGTTGTGGTGGTTAGAGTGTTGGTAAAAAGGTAAAGGTAAAGGATCCCTGGATGGTTAAGTCCAGTCAAAGGCAGCTATGGGGTTGCGTCGCTCATCTTGCTTTCAGGCCTAGGGAGCCGCCGTTTATCCACAGACAGCTTGTTGGGTCATGTGGCCAGCATGACTAAACCGCTTCTGACAGTGTTGGACTAGGACAGGTATGGCCAAACTTGGCCCTCCAGGTGTTTTGTGACTACAATTCCCATCATCCCTGACCCCTGGTCCTGTTAGTTAGGGATGATGGGAGTTGTAGTCCCAAAACATTTGGAGGGCCAAGTTTGGCCATGCCTGGACTAGGACATGAGATACCAGGGTTCAGAAACCTTAGCTGTGTGCACTATGTACCCTCAAAGCACATTGTTTCCCGCAAATAATTCTGGGGAATGTAGTTCACCTCTCATAGTTACAATTCCCAGCAACCTTTAAGTGGAATACAGTGCCCAGAATTATTTGAGAGGAAAGAGTGTGCTTCGAATGTGCTTTAAAAGTATAGTGTGTACAAGCCCTACTCAGCCATAAAGCTTGAAGGGTGATTTTAGGTTACTCCCCCCTCACTAGGTGTTGTAAAGATAAAATTGAGAGGGGTAAACCATGTATAGCACCTTGAACTCCTTGGAGGAAAGCTGGAAAACAAATGTTAATGATGATGCCGCCACTAAACTCATCTGGGAATATCCATCTGTGCATGAATATGGCACCTTGTTTAATAAAGATTAAAAGCCAGACTCTCCCAAACTGTTAGTCAAACCCTCCTCACAGTAGACCTTCCATTCAACTAATTCAACTAAATGTTTTAAAGAGGTTTCTATTGTTTCTATTGTTTCATTAGTTGCTACCCTGGGCTACGGTCATATTACCCCGAACACGCCCGATCTCGTCTGATCTCGGAAGCTAAGCAGGGTCAGGCCTGGTTAGTACTTGGATGGGAGACCGCCTGGGAATACCGGGTGCCGTAGGCTTGAGAGCCAGTGTGGTGTAGTGGTTAAGAGTGGTGGAAGGAATTTTTTAAAATCCTATTAGAGTTCTCTGACAGTGTCAACAAGCTTCTAGATAGAGCTGATCCAGTTGACATAGTGTATTTGGACTTTTAAAAAGCGTTTGATAAGTTACCTCACCGGAGACTCCCGAGTAAGCTTAGCAGTCATGAAATAAGAGAAGTCCTCTTGCAGATCAGGAAATGGTTAAATAGCAGGAAACAGTGAGTAGGAAGAAACAATTCTCTGAATGGAGAAAGTGTTAGGGGTGGGCAATGAGGTGACCAGGTTTGCTGACTATACTAAATTGTTTAGGGTTGTTAAAACAAAAAGAGATTGTGAAGAGCTTCCAAATAACCTGTTAAAAAAGGAGTGGGCGGACAGTAAAATGGCAAATGAAATTCATTGCAAACAAGTGCAAAATGAGGCATGTGGGCACAAAAATATTAGTTTCACACTGTTCAGACCCCTCAGAACCATCAGTTGAGACCCTGTGTGAATTTAGATAACTGACCAGGAATAAGACCTTGGGGTTGTCGTGGCAAGCTTGATGAAGATGTCAACACAGTGTGTGCCAGGCAAACTCCATATTAGAGATCATTGGGAAAGGAAAGAGGAATGAAGCTATTCAGTGTGTGGGAAGGGGGATTTCTATGTTGATGGAGTACTGCTGGAAGAGGGCAGAGGATTGAGGGTTTTCTTGAGAGAATGGGCCTTTGCATAACTTTCCCAGATGAACTAGGTGAGCAGAAATAATAATATTAATTATAATTATAATTATAATTATAATTATAATTATAATTATTTATTTTTTATTGCCCGCCCATCTGGCTGGGTTTCCCCAGCCACTCTGGGCAGCTTCCAACAAAATATTAAAATACAGTAGTCCATCAAACATTAAAAGCTTCCCTAAACAGGGCTGCCTTCAAATGTCTTCTGAAAGTCAGATACAGTGCTACCTCGGGTTAAGAACTTAAATTGTTCTGGAGGTCCATTCTTAACCTGAAACTGTTCTTAACCTGACCACTTTAGCTTACCACTTTAGCTAATGGGGCCTCCCACTGCCGCCATGCAATTTCTGTTCTCATCCTGAAGCAAAGTTCTTAACCCGAGGTACTATTTCTGGGTTAGCGGAGTCTGTAACCTGAAGCATCTGTAACCCGAGGTACCACTGTAGTTGTTTATTTTATTGACATCTGATGGTAGGGTGTTCCACAGGGTGGATGCCACCACCAAGAAGGCCTTTTGCCTTGTTACCTGTAACTTGGCTTCTCGCAGTGAGGAAACCACCAGAAGGTCCTTGGCACTGGACCTCAGTGTCTGGGTAGAACGATGGGGATGAAGACGCTCCTTCAGGTATACTGGATCAAGGCTGTTTAGGGCTTTAAAGGTCAGCACGAACACTTTGAATTGTGCTCAGAAACGTACTGGGAGCCAATGTAGGTCTTTCAAGACCGGAGTTATATGGTCTCGGCGGCCGCTCCCAGTCACTAGTCTAGCTGCCGCATTCTGGATTAGTTGTAGTTTCCGAGTCACCTTCAAAGGTAGCCCCACGTAGAGTGCACTGCAGTAGTCCAAGTGAGAGATAACTAGAGCAGAAAGGTGTATACACCCTGCCCTCTAGTCTGGAGGCGATGTCATCAAGATATTTGTTTCTAAATATCTAGTTACCATGTCCATTTTCTTCAAAGATAGATATTTTAAGAGTAAATACCTGAGCTTTATGTTGTGTGCCCCTATACACATGAAGGGTGGGATGGGTGAGAAATAAACAATCAATAAATCAGTTCTGAGTTGCACCATAATTGTCCAGCCTTAGGTGGCTGTGCTGGTCCTTTCCCAACTGTCGACCGTGGCTCCACATCACCTGTGAGGTCAGAAAAGGACATGGGGGGGCTGAGGGGGAAGAGGCCCTCCCACTTTGACATCACTGGGCAGTGGGCTCTGTGTAGGTCTCAGGTTTGGGCCCTGAAATCTTAGGGTGTGGGGTGCTCCTGACCTGCATCACTGCTGCTAAGGAACTGCTAGAGAATTTCTCCTCCACCCGCTGCCTAGAACCAGGGCTGATAATTTCGAAAGTGCCTTTCAACCTTTGCTCTCCTTAAGATAATATTTGCTTTTCACGTTGCCGTTATTTGAGACATGGTGGCAAATTAGCTATCTAGCTAAATAAATAAAATCACCCCCTGACATCATTGAACAATGAAAGCAACTATGCATTGTTTTATTTTTTTAAAAGAAATCTAAAGCATAGAATGTTTCATTCAGAATTAACCCAGTATTCAGAGTACACACACTCATAAAAAACCCTTCAAGATCCAGCAGGTGGCGCACTGCTCTCACCAGAAGAAAAGCTGTTGTTTGCTCTCCATACCAATTTATAATTGCATTTGAGACAGACAGACAAGAGAAAGAGAGTGTGCACAAAGTAGAGCTCTGATGCTATAAGGCCTATCCTGGGACTCTCAGCTTTATTTATTCTCTTCAGAATAAATAGTTTACTCTGCTTAGGAAAGCATTTCAGTATGTATATAAACTGGCAGATGTACGAAACGTTTTAAACAGCTGCAAGTTCTAGTTGACCTTACAGGTGATAAATTGTCTGAGCCTATACTGTAGTTTAAATTTTACTTTGTAATCATGTGTCTCTAATGCAGTTTGTAAAGGCTGCTGTTGAAGTGGTGCAAATGTACTTTAATATTTATGGTGTGGCTGTGACCTTGGTTCTGGCTATCTTGGGAGAAGGAAGCTGTGTGAAGAAGATGGAGCATATTGGGCCAGAACACATGGAAAGGAGAGAGAGAGAGAGAGAGAGAGAGAGAGAGAGAGAGACCTGTTCGTTTCTTACCCCACTCCCCCTAATTAATGGGTGATAGAAGGGGGAGGCAATAGTTAAAATATGGAAGCTTCCACCTGCATCTCAGCCACAGCAAAGATTTCTATCCTCACCTCCATGACAGGCAGATAACACACTGCAGAGTGCCTTCTCTAGGCACTAACACATCACCATCAAGACGTTTCTCCTCAATGTTTAGGCATTCATTGAAATCTCCACCCATTGATTCTAACACCATCCCCCTGGAACGACAGAGAGGAAGTCCACTCCATTCTTCTGTGTTGACAGCTCTTGGTGGTAGCTGGTGACTAGTGGGGTAGAAAGCTAGTAGACCAACAGTAGGCAGAGGCAGAGCCAATGAAGGCAGGCAGGTAGGTAGGGAAAGGGATCTAACTGAAAGCAGACTGTGGTTGTGGGGCAGTGTCCCATTTGTCTTAATGGACCAGCCTCTGCTGACAGATAGTTGTCTCCTCCTTAACCTTGTCTTCCCCACCCCAGGCTAAATATATTTAGCTCTTTCAACTTTTCCTCTGAGGATTCGGTTCCTTCCTTCCTTCCTTCCTTCCTTCCTTCCTTCCTTCCTTCTTTTCTTCTTTTGTATTTTCCAAAACAGGAACACAAAGCATAGTTAACCCCCCCCATCCCCCTGTCCCACTTAGAACTTCGTACCAAATACAGCATGCATACATACACCATATGACTTCCCTTCCACCCTTTTCCTGGTTCCTTTGCTTTTCTACTACTCCAGGGGTCAGCAAACTTTTTTAGCAGGGGGCTGGTCCACTCTCCCTCAGACCTTGTGGGGGGCCGAACTATATTTTGAAAAAATAAATAAAATGAACAAATTCCTATGCCCCACAAATAACCCAGAGATGCAGTTTAAATAAAAGGACACATTCTACTCATGTAAAAACACACTGATTCTCAGACCCTCCACGGGCCGGATTGAGAAGGTGATTGGGCCGGATCCGGCCCCCGGGACTTAGTTTGCCTACTCCATGTAATCCACATCTTTTTAATCTTTTTTAGGATCTGGTTTCTAGACCGCTCACTATCCCATGACCATGCTCCAGTCAACATCCCTCTTAAAATTTGGTGCCCAAATAGACATGGTACTACAGATACAGCATGACCAGCGCAAAATAAGGTAAGAAATTTTATTTCTCCTATTCTTCAAACAATATGCAGAGATTTCTAGGCTTTAAAAAGCACCTAAGATTAGGACTTGGGGTGGGGGGTGGGGAGGGAGAGGTGTCAGTGTTTTGTTTTTACTCAAAAAATACCCCAAGGTCGAATGAGATATATATGACTTTAGGAAGACATAGCAGCAGAACAGAGTACATTTCGTAGGCATCGTGTTTTTATTCTTTAAAAGAGGTTATGCTTCACAGAAACAATGGCAAAGAAGGATTAATATAGTAAAATTGCCACTTTACAAAAATACACTTTCAGAAAAATGTAGGTATTCAAAAATACAACATTCAAAACTCATTATTTACAACCAGAGGCAGCAGCAGTATTGAGCAATAAAAAAAATAAATATTTTACTTGTTACAGTATACACTAAGGTTAGACCAGGTACAAGTTTGAAGACTGACATCATCACTCAGTTCCAGAACTATGTTTGAAGCTAGTCTCTTAATGAACATAAAAACATTCCTATTTCTATTAAAAAAAGCACAGCTTTTATGGAAACCTGCAGGTTTGAAACGCTACATATTCCCTACTCTGGAATGGCGCTATGCCCAACCATTAAGCATCTCCGAACTCTAAGAGTTGTGCTTTCTTCTGATATAGGCATCTTACCCAATACATTCAGGATCCTTCAAATTCAATTTATTGCACTTCTGTCACATTCCATCAACAAAAAATAATAATACTCCTTTACTGGCAGAGCCATAAATTTGTGGCGCCTGCTAGCACAGAATATGTGTGTTCCTTTCAGAAAGGTTCATACAAAAGAAGATCACACAGCACATACATAAAGTATTTCAAAACACAAATATGAAGCTTGTGGCAGCATCCAGTTAAATATATTTTTTCCCTGCAAGGCCATTTATTTTTCACATTAGAATTGCACAGTACAGGCAATAGGCATGGGGCTTCAATATAAGAAGATTTCAAACTATACCAGTGATTCCTTAAAGAACGGGGGGGGGGGTTTAAGAAGGAACATTCCTCACATACATATAGGCATCTCTCACTCGACTTGCAGCAACAGAAGGGTTGGTGCTAATTTTACAAAGTTAAGCAAATGGCAGGACAGCAAATAAGAGGGCGACAGGTTGATCCATAAAATGAATTTTAAGGATAGGCTCTGTGACTCACAGTTCACACATGCAGTATTTTATCATTGGTTGACTACAACATCAAAATGATGACTTAAGCCACCCTGCATGGCTTCCAGGATATACAAAACCATAATAAAGCATACAGAGCTGCCTTCAGATGTCTTCTAAAGGTTGTATAGTTACTTCTCTCCTTCACATCTGATGGTAGGGCATTCCACAGGTGGGTGCCACTGTTGAAAAGGCCCTCTGTCTGGTTCCCTGTAACTTCACTTCTTGCAGTGAGGGAACCGCCAGAAGGCCCTCAGAGCTGGACCTCAGTGTCCAGCCTGAACAACAGACATCTAAAGACATAGCTCTTCTTTAAATATATGTATTTAATAGTCTCATCACCCTCCCAGCTTCAAAATTTCATGGAAAATTAACTTTGAAAATATATACCCAAATTTTCATTATCTAATACCCATTGTTTTCTGACATCCTTCCATTAAGAATCACAGACATATTCTACAGCCTCATTCTAATTTTTGGCACCACATAGCACGCAATCCAAGCTTATCCCAACAGCAGTGGTCCTTGGCTAAGATTCTGGAATATGAAACTGGACACATGTAACAAAATGCCGTTTCTAACATTTAAGTATAAATTTGCATTTGAAGCATTAAATAAATGGCCACTTTTAAGGCAACATATAATGAGAACTTTAAGTTTCACAGTATATGTGTTCGATTGAACGCCTCTCTTATTTGGTTAATAAAAGACCAAACAAGAAACAAATTCTATACACATTGCACCAACTAGTTTACAAAATTCTGTGGGAAATGCTTCAATGAATTTGGTCCAAGATTCTCTCTTGTTTGAAGGGTAACAGCACACGGTTTAGAACATAGAAAGTGGCCTTGTATCAGGTTGGATCATTGGTCCACAAAGCTGAATATAATCCACACCAACTGACAGCAGCTTTCTATAGTCTTGGGCCAAACTACAGCTGTGCCTTCTAGTGAAGGGTTTTTGATAGAGATTTCCAGTGTGAAATGGAGGGGGCAGAGATCTGCATGGCAGGGCTAACATCCTTCCTATGGTTCCATCTAGATTGAGTCCCCTGCTGCTGCAATTTGCATAGGGGGAAAGTTCTTACTGAAGAAAACGAGTTATTCCCCACCAAGCAAAACTGCAGGAATGGGTGGAAGCAATCCAAACTGGTACCACAGCAAGGAGTAAAGGGTTTAAATCCCCTTCCCCTTCTCCCTGTTCTACTAATTTCTGTAACACCACCACAACAACTTAAATGCACAGCTATATAGCCAACACAACAGGTAGTGTGGCTTGGTTGTAGCTGGAGATGCTAGAGAAATGTGCTTCCCTTGCAAACATTGTCTACCGTCACACAATGCTTGTAATGTACCTTAGCTTAGAACAGATATACTTAGCACATTTTCAGGAATCCCTACCCAACATAGTAGCAATCCACTGGAGAGACATTTGTCATGCCCTGGATGGAGAGGGGGCTCATTGCTGCTCAAGGACCACAAGCCAGGAGGAACTTGAGAAGCTCAGCATCCTTGCAAGTGGGCATTAATGCTCCAGATCCCATGGAGATTTTCCAAGACATGCCTCTCTGGCCTGTAGTCACACTTGAAATCCCATGAGGAAGAAAGCTCCAGGTCTATGTCATGTGAGGTCTTGTGGCTTAAGTCGCAGTTCTTTAGGTGACCTGGAAAGCTATTCATCTTGTGAGATTTACTGAAGGGAGGGGGGGAAAGTGTGGCTCGAGCAGGCAATATATCTTAGCACAGAATAAATATGCAGAATATTACATTCAGGTTTTGCTTGGAATGCAAACCTTAAATGCTCTAGTTTCTTCAGTTACCATCTGCACAGACTACAAAAGTCCTAGGTGTGGTTGCATCCTGACCTTGTCCATGTTTTCTCAGTTGTGTCTTAGATGCATAAGGGCTTGCATGGCAGGCGCAGGGAGGGTGATGTCACACAGTGGAACATTGACCAGATCCGGTTTTCCAAAAAAGAGAGGGAGGAGGGTAACTTTTCATTAACCAGGCAAGGCAGTCTGTGGACATCATGAACCAGCTGGAAATTAACCTTTGAACATACCAATGAAGTTAATTTCCATTACTCTGCTTTGGGCTCTTAAATACTGTGCTCTGCATCATGAGAGGTAGAGAGAGAGAAAAAAAAATCAAAACAAATGCAAAACCAAACAACCAACCAAAAACCAACAGAATTTCCTCCCCTTTCTTCTTCTGTGGGGGTGTGCAAATCTAAGCTTTGGAATCTTCTTGTACGTAGAGCTGAGAAATGGTCTTCTTAATGCGAAGCGCTGTCAGTCGAGCTGCCCCATTGGCGTACCAGCACTCACGCATTATCCGGCCCATTACTCTGAGTGCCTTGAGAAAAGAGCAAAAGCAGAGTAAGAAGCGCATATCCATGGTTGTTGCAGTGCTTCAGCATGAAAATTGCCAGCAGGAACAAGCGGCTTCAGAATGTGTGTATATATATCATACACACATGTTATCATAGCTGTCAACTTACAGATTTGAAAATAAGGGACCAGCAGCCAAAATAAGGGACCTGCAGCCTCACCTGTTCCAGGCACTCCAGTCTTCCTGTCCTCCTGCAGTCTGGTCAAACTCATGCTGGTAGCTTCGAGAACACTGTCCAACCAACTTTGTAACCAGAGGTTCAACTGAGTAGAATCTGAATCACATGCACCAGAAGCCTATGCAGCCTCAACTTAAGATGGCTCCCCGGCCTGGCTTTGCACTGCAAAGTTTGCAGCAGCATGTGCAACAAAATGGCGTCCAGCATTCAAAAAACCCCCTCAGCTTGCATTAACTAGCCGCACACAAGGCATGCAAGCTCCACCCCCTAGTCGTTCTTAGACTTCTTATTGGGTGAGCAACACAGCCAAGCAACACAGTTGGAGCCTCCCTCCTCCCTGGCCAGCAGGGAGGGAGGGAGAGGAGCTGCTTCCTTTGAAATTTAAGGGACATCATTTAAGGGACATCCATCAATAAGGGACAGCAGCGGGACATGGCGCTGGAATAAGGGACTGACAGCTATGATGTTATTGTATTTGAACTTGGAACCTTTCTGCTCATGCAACAAGACTGTGCTGCTGCCTCCTCCTCCCCACCCCTCTGCAGGTCCCTGCACTCCTGAAGAAGTACTGCTGAGGGGCTGGGAGACCCTATAGGAACACCATGGCAGGGCAAAGAGGGCTGCAAGCAGGAAAGGGGAAAATCAATGGAAATTGGGGGGGGGGGGGCCTGCAAAAGAACTTCTGCTCATGCAAATGCACTTTAAATGGGGTTATACCATTGGGGTGCCAAGTTCTATAGGGAGTATATCCGCAATCGCTACTGATTTATCACCAGAAATATGCTCTAAGGTACTCTTTTCTGTTGTGCATGTGTTGATATAATTCCTCAAGTTTACTGTCAGTAGTTAACTTTTTTTTAGACCATCACCAGGGCTCAAGGTCTGTCTGGAAGCCATGCTTTTGACGAAAGACTGAAATTCTTTTGAGCAGTAAGCCCCTGTGTGCTTGGTGCAATTAACTTCTTAGTAGAAGTATATAGGATTTTGCTGGAAATCCTAGATATATTTTTTTGTGGTTTGCAGGTATGTGATAGTCACTTGGTCATGAGGACAGGATTCTCGACACCTGATTGAGGCACTACATTTAATACTCTTTTATCCCAGAGTTAAGCCTGCGCTGGGGAGCCAAGAACTGCATTCTCTAGGCAAAGAGTGGTTGGGGGGGTCACCTAATGAGCTGCATATTATTATTATTATTATTATCATCATCAGACTGGGTTGCCCCAGCCACTCTGGGTGGCTCCCAACAAAATATTAAGAACAGAATCAAACATTAAGAACTTCCCTATACAGGGCTGCCTTCAGATGTCTTCTGAAAGTGAAATAGTTGTTTATTTCCTTGACATCTGATGGGAGGGTGCCACTACCTAGAAGGCCCTCTGCCTGGTTCCCTATTGGGCAAAAAGTGGGTGGGACCAAAGGAAAGGTGGCTGGGATACCATTTTTCTCTCTTCTTCACACATACTCTCTTAAACCCACCCACCCACAGACACTCAAACTCTTCCCAATCCTTCCATCATCCATGCATTCTCTCTCTCTCTAGGTTTGGAAGGCTGCATCAAAGGAAAGTCACATGATGTCCACCTGTGGATTAAACTCTGGCATTTGAAAGGCCTCTAGGGGTGAACTGCACCTCACATTGAGCCCATTTACTTAACCAGACAGGTAAATGCAACCGTTTGGGGGAGATAAGTTTTCATATTTTAGTTCAGTTTAAAACATGCACTTTTAAGATACACAGTAAAAGTTGCAGTTCAAAGAAGGCGCGAAGCAAGAGAAAATGTTACCTCACAGCTTTGCCACTGATTTGGGATATTTGGTCTATGTTTTTGCTCACAGACTACTTTTCTCATATCTTCTATTGAAGGATCAGAAGGCACAGCATCATAGTAAGGTAACTGGTACTCCTCAACAATTCCTAGAAGAGGAATGTGGTAAAAATATAAATTTACTAGGGGACTTTCAGTTGTTATGAGAGCAAAACATGGACAGGTGTAGTACAGAAACGGCTTCCTGGCACATCTGTACAAATATCCATTGTGTCAGCAAATATATTCTTGAAAACATTGTGCTTTTTCCAAATGCTTCGGTAAAAAAAAAAACATCTGTAAAGCCGCATCCTTGAAGCATTCAGAAACTTGTTTTCATTCACGGCTGCATGGGAAAGTCCTTGAAATTGCCGGCAATCATTCCCGTCAAACTAGCTCTGTGGTATCCGCAATTCTTTCTGTCAGCTTGTTAAGGGCAGGTGAAGACCCAATATGGGCTAATACAACTCTGGCTTGGATCCAAAGAATGAAAGGTGAAAGGAGATGATGCATTTCAGTGGGGAAAATGTAATAACACAACCTATTATATAATGCAATATGACAACCCCTTATATTGGAGCAGTAGCCCAGTTCTATGGTTTTACAATCCAGTGGGGATGAGGAAGGGATCCCGAGGGCCATCTAGTCCTACCCTTTGCAATGCAGGAATCCTGTCCACAGGATTGAACCCCCAACCTTCCAGTTAATAGCCAGATGCACTGATCCAGAAGTCTCAAAGACGAAAGAAAGCCTCGCACTTGAGCTAGATGCAAGCCTGTGGTTGTGGAAGAGTTTGGGGGTGTTTGTGTGGAGTTCATTTATGCTGTGCATTAATTAGTATCGTAATGTGTTTGATGCAGGAAGTCTTGGTCAAGTTGGGTAACCTTAAGTGACAGCTGAGATAGGGTTGGAGATTGAACTCTCAGTATGCAAAAGGAGGATAGAGAGCGTTCACATTGCGGTGGAGGGCTGCAGGTTCCGAATTCCACGATAGATGGTGTGATGGGCTGGGGCTAGACTAAGGGGCGGCAGAAGAAGTGTCTATATGTTTGGGTGCTGGTTGGTCCATGTGGGTTTGTGCTGGTGTTCTTGGTTGGCAGTCAGAAGAAGAAGACAGCAAAGAGGAAGAGGATCAAGGAAGAAGAAAGGAGACCTGAGAGGGAAGACAAAGTGGTTTGATGGCTGAAGACTTGCTGGGGTGGGTAGCTGAATCACTTGAATGGACAGGGAGAACTTGTCTACAGGGGTGTCTACAGAGTTGGGAATGCTGGGCTCTGGTGCCTGGTAGAAGTTCCAGAGGAAGGTCTTCCAAGACAAGACAGCAGAAACAGACCCATACTTCATTAGGTGAGTAGGGGTTAAAACAGAGGCTTCAACAAAAGTCCTCAATCATAGTGTTGAGGGCTTAATTAACAAGGGCAATTGCCAAAGGCTGTCTGGTATTAGTAATAGTAGTGTAAATTGAGCTGTTGGTATTGAAAGTGACAGTAACAAATTAGCAAAGAGTGTAATTTGAAGCTCACACACTACACAATTTTACTATATTTGACAATATTAACGTTTATTTATAGTAACTATATACAACTGGCTTTATCCCATAGCTACCAGGATTACTGGTAAGTTAAGGGTACAAGTGATATTAAATGGTAGCAGAAGTACAGGTGCAGGAACTATTGGGTGTGGAAGTTGGATTTGTTTAATGAAGGAAATACCCTCTTTCCCACCACAGGGAACCACCTAGGAAAGGCTACAGAAGTTTGACTCAGGACAACAGTCAAATTGTAGATGGCTTTTGGGTTTCACCAATCCTGAAGCAGCAGCTGAATGGCCTACTTTGATGTCATTTTATTAAATTGATATACTGCGCTTCAACCAAGGATCACTGTTCTCTTTATGCTTGCATTTTATACGTATGATATTTGTAACTCAATGCTCTTCTGTTATTACAATGCTACATTTTGTAAGCCACTTACCTGGTGTATATGTTCTTAAAATTAAATAAAGTACCAGTTGTGCAATTTCCGATTCTCTAGTCTCCCCACTATTCCTTTCCTCCTCACCACCAATTATTTCAGTCACTCATAAGCCACCTTTAAGCAGTGTTATGTGTCTAGAAAAAAGAGCTGCCCTTCTTTTATAATGGCAATGGTGCACAACTGAGAGGTGCCAGAAAAAAACCCTGCCTTTACGCATTATTCATGTGAGGGAGCATCACACTACAGTGGTACCTCGGGTGAAGAACTTAATTCAGTCTTAACCTGAGGTACCACTGTATGTCTAGGACACAAAGCACCCCCATCCCTGCAAGCGAAGGGGATCTTCTTCAGATGCCTGCATTGGTACGGCTAGTCGCATGTGATGCTACAGTAGCATAGCAGTGCTCCCTAGTCATAGTGTGAGACCCTTCTTCCCATGTGTAACACTACAACCCTATTCCTGTGTTAGAAACTGCACTGAGTGCCAAGCAAACAGGATGAAACATGTCCCTGTCTTTATGCTATCTAAGAATAGTATTAAAACACAATGGCAGGGGTCTGGAGCATTAAAAAGAGAGAGAGATAGGTTATACCTCCAACTGAGCATCTTCGGGATATCTCCCAGTACACCAGCCCAAGAGAGTAGATATCTGCACGCTTGAAGGACTCGAAGATACTTATGTTCATCGTGTCATCAAGTATTTCTGGAGCCATGTACCTTTCAAATACAGAGATACCAAAACTCAAAGAGGTAGAAAGGGGTGTGTTTAGTTAACTAGGATTAAAATTAAGGGACAACAAATAAAAATGAAATACAAATGTGGTATTTTTAGAACACTGAACTTGCTTGAGAGAAAGCAGAAGATTCGAGGCATTCTTGTTAGGTCTCCCAATTCCTGGGAGTTGGTCTTCAGCCCTTCTCATGAGATCAACATTTATGTATTATGAAAACATTAAGGAGGGAGGCAGGATCTCAATAACTGATCCTGACCCCTTGGACCTGTGCACATTGAGTAGACCATCAGAACAGTACTGCCTAGTTTGTACATCACACTAAGTCAAACCATGGCTGCCAAAGAGGCCACTTCACTTGTACCTGGCAGTTCTACGGTGGTACTGTGCTGAACTAAGCCATGACTTGACTTAGTGTATTGTCTGAACCTGGGCTCATGCGTTAGTTCTCTCCAAATTAACCATGTGCTACAACTAAGGTTTTTCCTATGACTTACAGCTTATGGTTTGTCCAGGAGATTGTAAACCATGAGATTGGGTTCAGATGACACAGTAAAGCAAACTTTGAGCTCAAGTCATCTTAAAGCAACTGCAGGAATCCTGGTTTATTTGCTTCTCCCCCTGCCCTCCACAGCACAGGAAATAGTGAGGGCAAAACTGCAAGCCGCATTAGCCTGCTGTTTAGCACTGCATGAGTTTTTCCTTTCTTTTAACAAAGCAGCTCCAGAGCTGGGCCTGTCGGGAGGGAAGCTCCAACTGGCACACTACGCCTTTTCTTTGAGGGGAACTTGGTGGGGGGGGAAAGGGTTAATTCCACCCTACCTGATTGTCCTGCCCTCAGTGGCTGCTATTTTTTAAAAAAGCATGCATGCACACACAGCAGTAACATACACATATTTTGCAATGTGTCATTTGGCTGTAATAAAGGCAGATATGCAGTGAGCCTTGAGTAATACAACATTAATTTTTTAAGGATTCTTGGCTACTGGTATCTTGATTCTCATTTGCCTAGTTACACATGTTGCTGCATGTCGTGTGGACAAATCTGAGTGAGGGCAATGAGACCGCGAAACATATTTCACCCCGTTTCACCAGACCCTTCAAATATCTCTGAAACAAACTGAGGATGGGGCGACATTTCACAGGGGGAAAGGTTTTGGGTTTTTTGCCATATGCATGTAGAATTCCAACTCAACCCTCTTTGGGTGTGAAACATTTAATGGGAAATATTACAAGCATACTGACTTACCTCTTGGTTCCCACTCTAGAATTCTGAGGTATGTCAATTGTGTTCAACAGAGAGTCATGCTTGACAGCCAGTCCCAGGTCAGCAATGGCACAGGTTTCATTCCTTTTGACTAAAATGTTTTTAGATTTCAGATCTCTGTGGGAAATGGCTGGTTTGCCTGCGAAGCACAAAAAAATATGCCCACAATGTCTTTACGTTACCCACTGATATATTTAACAGAAACGTTCATTCCCTTTACATGTATATATCTATCAACATTGTGGGATGTAATCCATAAGTAGCAGTCAAGTACAACATTCCTTGTTTTCCTAGAGTGGACATGCAGGGGAATGTTTGGCTCAGCCAGCTGAAAACTTCCTGTTTCCTCCTGGCTGGGGCATACTTCCTTTGCATGTGGCCTTATCTGCCCAGGTAACAAAAGGGCAAGTCATGCAGCACACTCTCTCTCTTTGACTTCCTCCATCGTTGGAGCAGCTTTTTACCCAGAAATGCTCTGTTGGCTGCCAACAGGAAACACTGGGATTGTCCCCATATGGGATACACCCACACGTATATACTTTGTAACTAAGTCTGCTTTCAGGGATCCAACTGTGAACTGATGGTGTGAGTAAACTAAGTCAAGATTGTGGCATGTTTATTCTATGAAGAGGGATATAAGGGGAATCTAAGGGTAAGAGGCTTAAACAAGTCTGCAACCTGTTATCTGCTGTGCGTTTAAAAGGGGGAATGTAAAACTCTGCTAAGTAAAGGAACTTGCTAATGCAAGTTAGGAAGAATATTAGAAAACAATATATCCTCTCCTGCCTCCCTAAACATTTCCACAAACACAGTTGCTTCACATCCATATACCTCTCCCCACTTCTTCAATGTAAATTTTAATTTTGTGTAGGGGAGAGGGGAGTGAAAGGCAATTTCCACACTAATATTAATATTTAGGCACCCACTCCCTCATTTATATTAAAAGCGTTGGAATTTTTTGTAAACACGTATCTACCAAATGTACTGTGCTCATTTAATACACAAAGATGCCAGAGAAGGGGCAGAAATAATCATGATTCAAACAAATCCTGGTTCATTCACTTCTCCAACATTCATCCAAGTCATCTTCTGCCCGAAGTGAGCTTAATATGAAGGTAACTGCATAAACATGAACATATTACCTTGAGTGCCAACGATCTCCATGTGAAGATGGGCTAAGCCACTCGCTATGGAAAATGTCATCTTGATCATCCCGTTGGCTGTTACAGTGTTGTTGTTTAAGTAGTCAAACAAAGAACCTTGGTCATGGTATTCTGAGACAAGCCACAGCTGAGTCCAAGTCCCATTATCTGTGGAGAGACATAACTGCATTTAACAATAAGTAGCAGTAGAGTACAGCAACCCTCAAAGATGAAAATATTTTCTAAAGGTATTCGTTTTGCAAGGCCCGTTTATTTTCGCAATGGAATATTTGGCAATACAGAACATAAGAAGAACCCTGCTGAATCAGGCCGAAGGCCTATCTAGTCTTGCATCCTCTTCTCACAGTGACCAATGAGATGTTTATGGGAAGCCCAAACACAGGACATGAGTACAACAGCACTCTGATCCCCATAAATTGGCATTTAGAGAAAGGCCCAGGGCCTCCAACAGTGAGGGAGAACAAAGTGAATATGGCCAGCAGCCTTGGTAGCCTTCTCCTTCTCCACGAATTTTGTCTCATCCTCTTTTGAAGCCATCCAAGCTGGTAGCCATCACTACTTCTGAGAGCAAATTTCATGGTTTAAGTATGCACTGTGTGAAGAAGGACTTTCTTTGGGCTGCCCTGAACCTCTCAACGTTCTGCTTCATTGGATGATCCCAAATTCTAATATTACGAGACAGGGAGAAAAGCGTTCCTCTAATCACTTTCTCCACACTGTGTCATGTCCCCACGTCGCTCTTCTTTAAACAAAAAAGTTGCAAATGTTCTAACCTTTCCTCACAGCAGAATTTCTCCATCCCCCTTTGGTTGCCGTTTTCTGACCCCATTTCAACTCTACAATATCCTTTTTAAGATGAAGCAACCAGAACTGTACACTGTAGGAAAAGTTTAATTCATGCCAGAATGGAATTTCACACTAAAAAGCTGCAATCTCCAACACACTTACTAGGGCATAAGTCCCACTGAAGACAGTGGGGGCTTATTTCCAAGTGAACATGCATAGCACTGTGTTGCAAATCTTATTTTGTAAGCCACATAGCAAGGAAATCACTGGTAAAGATCCACTTGTCGTTAGAAGAGGAGGAGGAAGTTTCAAGGTTGGACTCTTGAGCTGCCTGCAGCCCATCTGTCTCATTTGCTTGAGTCCTCAACAGGACCTGAATTGTCATGAGGAATGTCACCTATACTAATCATCTGTTTAGAAAATATCTTTAAAAATCTGTTGACATGCTTTTTTTATAGGGCATGTGTGTGATGTCTCCTAAGGTGTTCAAGAGAATGGATGCTAGTTCCCCCCCATCCTGATAGGAAATTACAGCTACAACTAGCTGCATATTCTAGTAAAGTATCTCAGATAGTTGGGTCAGCAGTCATATGATTGCTGGAAAATGTGAGACAAGCACCAGCATAGGATTAAAATGTATGAAAGAACAGAAATTACAAATGAGCTCCAAGAGTTCAAGTTTGGAAAACGGATAATATAATAATATTGTGCAAGATTAATAACCATAATGCATAGCACCCTTTAGTAATAGGCACTGCCTTACACCTCAAGTTGCAATTATTCCACACCTGAATCAGATCAGAGAATTACTTCTATACTCATTATCCCCACAAAGGCAAGCATCCTTGTCCTTTGAAATCAATGGGCTTAACAGCATGCTGCATTGTGAAAGCTATAATGATGTATTAAAAAATGCCAAGTACCACAATGAATGGACTTAAAATACGGACAGATAGTTGTTTGTTTTGCAATTTAACTTTAAATGTAACCAAAAATAGACTTTCCGACCTTCCTAAATCTCTTTTCCTTGCCCCACTACAAACATATTTTAATGATGGACACTGATATTTCAATACTTTAGTGAGATTGCTTTATTATGTATTTTAATCCTTTTGTATGTTTAATGTATGTATTTTAAAAATGCTGTGTGACTGGTTTCTATATTTTGTAATATTTCGGCATTCAGAGGTATACAAATTAATAAATAATTATAATTAAACTACTTGTCCCCCCCACCCTCTGCCAAAATCTGGAATGGTACCCTTGTCTTCACACCTGTTTTCTAATTAAGTGGGTTGCTATAAGCCATTTAAAATGTTCCCAGCAGAATGTAGAACTACAGTTCTGTGGAAACCAAAACAATCAAGTCTCGATTCCCATGCTCTTGCATTTAATTTAAATTATATGTTTCTATAATTGTTTGGCATCCAATATAGTGTATCATGCCAGTGTGCTGTAGTGATCAGAGCATTGGACTGAGAGCGTGGAGAGACAGATTCAAATCCTTGCTCACCCTTTCTCAGACCGACCTACCTCACAGGGCTATTGTGAAGATCAAAGGGGAACATATGTGATATGCTGCCTTGAGCCCCTTAGAGGAAAGGCAGGATATAAATGTAATAAATAAATAACAAGGAACACCATAAAGACATTAAATTAAAAATCAAATGCTCACACACTGTTAAACACACTGATGAGACACACTAACAGCACCTCAGTGGCAAGCAATACTAATAACAGCACCAAGGGCAGTGCTAAAAGCCACCACACATGGAAATTAGTGGGGGAGAAACTAAATACAGCAAATCAAACCAGATCTCCTGCCAAAAGCCCTGTGCATAGAGGATATTGACAAAAGCAATTTTTCCCTTGGGAGAGATTGCCATGTTTAAGATACATGCACAGGGAAAGCCTTTTCTCTTTATAACTACTAAACCTCCATTATGAAGATCTCAGGAGTGGGGAGGCTTGTACAGGAGTATAAACAGAGTGGGACTACGCTTGGCATCACATCATCCAAATCATAACAAACCAGGCTTTCTTAAAGAATATAACAACACAGGGCTAATCTAGCACAGGGCAAACATTGTGAAATGGTGTGGAAGTACTATACCCTTGTTATCGGCAGCAATAAAACCCAAGATATTTTCATGCCTCAGCATAATGGTCTGGTAGATTTCTGCTTCACGAAACCAAGACCTTTCGTCTCTCGAGGAAAAGATCTTCACAGCCACGTCTTCTCCGCACCATTTTCCACGCCAGACTTCGCCGAATCGACCCTTTCCTACTATTTCCTGAAGGACTATTGTTCTTGCAATTGTTCTTTGGACAAGCAGAGGCAAGCCTAACAAAAGAAATACAAGCATTAAAACGTTTTCTTAACCCTCCCTCCAATAATTACCACTGATCTACAACACGTGCAATATATACGCAGAGGCAATCTCCAATTTGTGAAATCCACATCTTCTTGTAATCAGTGGCAAAACTCCCATTGTTTTTGGTACAGCTGGATTGCTCTTTGGTTGCAATCTATCTATCTATCCATCTAATAGCAAACCCAGATGGCAAGTGCCAACAGAACTGGATCAAAAATGGGCTTTCTGGTACTGAGGAATGCACAGCAACAGTTTGTGTGTGTGTGTGTGTGTGTGTGTGTAAAAAAATCAATATCATGGGATCTTCTCAGTCAGGACCAGCAGGTCATAGCTGATATCTCATGGTAAGCATAAGGTTATCAGTTGTGGCTGTCTCTAATTTTGTATTATGCCACGTTCCCTGTGGCAACCATTTTGTGTTATGCCATGCTTTCCTCATAGCAGCTATTTTGTGACTGGTGTCCCCAGCACTCTCTCAAAATTTGAAATATGCCACTGGTCCGAAAAGGTGGATGACCCCTGCTTTACAGTATGCCATTTTCAACCCAAGGGCAACAGGACCAACTAGCAGCCCACAGGCATAGTCTCACCTCAGAAGCAAACTTGATCTGGCCCTCCTGAGAGTGACACACTAGAAAAGGAGAATGAATTACCAACAGCAGATTTAACCCTTGATTATTAGATAACTTGGGGGATAATGTCACAACCTTACAGATGGAAAATGAAAGTAGTCCCTGAGAATGACAACGGCGCTCTTCAAAGATATCAAATAACAATGACATGAGTACCATCACTTCTGTTTTGTGAACAATTGATAGATCAGCCCTGTCTAAGGCCAAGACTTCAGGACACTCTGCTTGGAAGAAATTAGATTGCAGCCCCAGTGTCTTCACTTCACATAAGGCATGGTGTTAAGCAAGAAGATTAATCTAAATCTACACTTATTTCAAAACAGTTTTAAAGTTTCTGGCTCAGGAAACACCCAGGAATTGTCAGCATAGGCCTGACCTTTGAAGCCAAAACATTTGTCTTTCGCAGACATACAAAGAATAGTCTGGAAATGCTGCAGAGACTTCAGCTACTGCAGCTTGACAAGTCTTCAACCTCTTCCTCATTTGGCTTGCGGTCAGATATTGCTCAGAATATCAAAGATGGTACTTTTTCCCTGGCAAACTTTAGCTCTCAGTGGAGAAAGACACAGAATATGCTGAAGTAAATAGTATCTCTCAGAGAGGTGAATGGCACTATTTAGTGGGAAGAAACTCCAATGAAAATCCTCTTTATTACATATTTTTACATGGCTGTTTATCTGTGTATATTTTAAAATTTTATATATGGATGTTTTATGATGGCCTGTATTTGTAATGCGTTGGCGCTGTGGGTTAAACCACAGAGCCTAGGGCTTGCTGATCAGAAGGTTGGCAGTTCAAATCCCCGCAGTGGGGTGAGCTCCCGTTCCTCGGTTCCTGCTTCTGCCAACCTAGTAGTTCGAAAGCACGTCAAAGTGCAAGTAGATAAATAGGTACCGCTCCGGTGGGAAGGTAAACGGTGTTTCCATGCGCTGCTCTGATTCGCCAGAAGTGGCTTGGTCATGCTGGCCACATGACCCGGAAACTGTATGCCAGCTCCCTCGGCCAATAAAGTGAGATGAGCGCCGCAACCCCAGAGTTGGTCACGTCTGGACCTAATGGTCAGGGGTCCCTTTACCTTTACCTATTTGTAATGCCTAATAAAGGTTTGGCAAAGTAAGTAAGTAAGCAAGCTGAAGTCAGATGAACATTTCTAAAGCCATCATCACCTTTGAGGGAACTCTTACCTGGAACTTCGCACATCTTCAGAAGTTTTATCATGCGGGGGGGCACATAATTTTTCCACATAGTACACCAATTCTAAGCAGCAGCCTTACTAACTGCATTTCAGGGTGTTTTTCCCCCATGTTACTTATTTGAATATTCACACATGTGTTGGGAAAGATTGACATTCTCCAGATGGTTTCATGTGCATGCATGTCTTTTATGAAACAGACTGCATGAAACACATCTTGAGAAGAAGGCATGCCTCACTCTAACAGAGAAGCTACACAAAACTGCCCCGGTCATTATGCAATATTGATTCTTAATGTTGCTATGGCCTTCGGTTAATACAATAAACTATTTGGTTTGCATTTTTAATGTCTAGCTGCGATACCTGTTCTTTGCATAGCTATAAACACAATGCAGCTGCGTAACAGACACCAGATTAAAAGCATTTTTTCTACTTGCACTTCCAGTTATCAGGAGTATGCCTCACCCCCTTGGCTTCCCATTTTCAGGCTCTTCCAGAGAGATTTTTTAGCACTATGCCTCTTGGAATATTACCTTAATCTGCTACACATCATGGGAAATTCCAACAGAATCCACAGCGCACACTCACATACCAGATCCAGAACCTGACGTCGTCATATCAAAAATCAGATCTTTGAGAGTCTTCCCTGGGTTCACCAGACTGCATTCAGACAGAGGCTCTTCAATGTTTTGTCTTCTTTTCTTCCTGAATCTGCAGTTGTTGCCTTGATGTGTGCACAGAGTCAGCATTAAAGCTATAGACAAGACACATACTGGTACAGTTATAACCACCGTCAGTTCCACAGGGCCCAGCTTTGATTTCCTTGCAGCATCTGGACCTTAAAAAGACACAAACCAAAATCTGTCAAATCCACTATGCTCTCAAAGAAGCATTTAAATGTACTTTTTTTTTTTTTTTTTACTGGAAGTGACAGCAAGGATTGACATTATATTGAGAAAGTTGAGAATGGAGCTCTCTTGGTTATCGAACTCCATGGTCACATCCATACCATATGTTTAAAGGGCATGGTTTCCCTGAAAAATCTTGAGAACTGTAGTGTGTTAAAGCAGCTTGGAATTGTAGCTGGGGGGGGGCAAACTACAGTTTGATACGATATGATACGATACGATATCTTCATTATCATTGTCCCATACAGAACAATGAAGTTGAAAATCTACATAAGACATTCAAAAACCCCTAAAAACTCTGAAACCCAATTTTAAAATACAATATACAATAGAGACTCCTTATACTGCTTTTAGAACCAGAATTGCATTTGGGTAGAAACTGTTTCTCAGGCGGCTAGTCCTGGTCTTTATAACCCTATACCTTCTTCCAGAAGGCAGAAGCTGAAAGAGATCATTTCCAGGGTGCATACTATCCTGTGCTATCTCTGCAGCTTTCTAATGGCACCTGACAGCATAGATTTGATCTAAGGTGGGAAGAGTGCACCCAATTATTCTCTCTGCAGTCTTTACAACCCTGGACAGCATTGTTTTTTCCCTGGCCGTGCAGCTCCCAAACCACACACACAGTATTCTTTGCAGGGGGAGCCACATTGTTAAAGGGTTATAAATGCTTGATGTGGATTTGACCCAGGTCATTCCAAAGTCTTCACTCCTCATCAACATCAATTCATCGGTGCTTAGACTTCTGCTAAGCACTTTACAAAGAATAAAACAGGTATCTCTTTGTCATGCTTTTCCAAAGTGACTGGAATAATCTGACAAGTCCCAGGAGCCTATGGTGCAACTCCACACACACATATACATACACACCCCACAACCAGTATTATCCCAAGTTCCAGAGGGGTGGTGCTGTGGTGGGGAAGGGCCAGAGCATGTGCTTCTCCCCTCACAGCCTGGAGGTTGTCGTTTTATGCCAGAAGCACAGAAAAGGTCCAATGCTTCCACTGCAAGTGAAGAAATGGGGCCTAGAAGATGTGACACAAAATGGGGGGGGGGGGGAACAGTTCAAACAAGAGGCAAATGTATAAGAGTCTAGATATGTTCAAAATGGCAACTAATACAAGAGGTCAGTTCTGGTAGTTAATCCTCTGTAAAGTAGGACGCATGTTCACATGGTTAAGTCCTCAAGGAGCCATCCATTCCAAGTCTGCTTTACAGATAAAGAGCCTTAAAGAGGGGGGAGCAAGAGTAGGGAAAGTGTTTCATTTCTACTTAGCTGACAATAATGATTTCTGAATTTGCATTTATGCCTATAGCTTGGCTTATGGAAACGTGTCTCCTCCTTTTTTGGTGATGCCTATTGGGCCAGCCTATTGACACAGAATTGGCTAAGCAGCCTCTCCCTCTTCTTTGGACAGCTACTGTGCAAATAAATTACACCACAGGTTCACAATGCAAGTCTTTTTTAAACCAGATCAGATAACTACATACATGCATCTAGTGAACATTTCCAGGGGGGCAGGGGCGGGATTCTACTATTTCACAGCAGCATAGAACAATCAGAAGAGTGCTTGCTTCTTTTTAAAAAGAGCACCACAAATTAAGGCAGAACAAAGGCAGGGATCAAAAGGACCCGGTTAAAATTTGGCTGCAGAATACAGTGTGATGAGGTGACACCTACTGCCCTCAATTTAGCCAATTTCTTTGTTGTGTGCTGCCAAGCACTCAGCTTCTGTAAACAAACCACTCGGTGGGTGGAATGTCATCACTGATAAGCTTATCACCAGAGGTCTGATGGGCATGGGACATGAGCAGAGATCTTCCCACTGACACCTTAGCCCCCTTCACAGGAAGGGGAGTCTGTCCACAAGCTGAAGAGGTAAGGATGCCACACCACTCAACCATGTGTTGAGTGCAGGGGTCTAGGAAAGGGAAATCTACATGCTCCATGTGTGGATGTCAGAGCAGGGCCAGAGAAACTGCATGGCTTGAGGGCAGTGGCACAGTTACACTGCTTCTTCGCCGCCTTTGCATGAAGGGGGGTCCTGTCATGTTTACAATGTGCTTATCACATGCGTCAATGTATTTACACATGGCATTAGTACACCAGATGGGTGCCATGCTGGCATGATCATGCCACATGGGTCAGTGGACACATAGTATGTGTCAACCCGATGTGCCGTGCATGGAATGCTTACCTGGAAAAGCACAATGTGTTTAGAGCTTTGTAAACCAAAAAGTAACACTTTTTTAGCCTGGTTTGGATCATTAGGAAAAGAATTGAAAATCAGAACGGCCAATATTATAGGTTGCAGCCACACTTGGCATACTGCCTACAGTTCTGTTCACCTCACCTCAAAAAGGATATTCAGAAAAAAGACCCTGGGGTTGAGGCAACCCCATTTTGCGGATGGGTTGTGTGGAATCATGGAGTCATGGAATTGGGAGGGGCCGCAAGAGTCATCTAGTCCAATTCCCTGCAATGCAGGAATCTTTTGCCCAATGTGGGGCTCGAACCCACGACCCTGAAGTTAAGAGTGTCATGCTTTACCAACTGAGCTATCCCAGGAAGGCTTTTGTAGAAAGAGGCAAATAAGGGGTGATACAATACAGGTGTATAAAACAATGCTTAGTTTGGGGAAAGTGGATGGAGAAATTATTTTTTTTCTCCTTCTCACATATCGCTAGAACTTGGGGACATCCAATGACACGGAATGGTGGGAGATTAAGAACTGACTTAGTTGGTCTCTAAGGTGCTACTGGAAGGAATTTTTTTAAATTTTGTTTTGACAAAAGGAAGCAATTCCTCGTGCACTGCATAGCTTTTTTAAAATGTATTTTTATTAATGATTTTCTTGGTTTACAAAGGTATGTGCAATGTCTCTCTCTAGTTTTTTGTTTGTTTTTCCCCACGCACTGCATAGCTAAACGATGGAATTCGCTTGCACAAGAGCCAGAAATGGCCACCGATTTGACCATCTTTTAAAGAGAATTAGGTAAATTCATGGAATATAAGGCTATCAGTGCTTACTGGTCATGGAAGGTATATTACTCTCCCCACACCAGTTCCAGAGGCTATGTGACTCTGAAGACCAGTTGCTAGGGAGTGTCAAAAGAGTGCTGTTGTGCTCATACCCTGCTTGCAGGTTAGCCTGGTCTAACTTGAAGGGCTCTGATGTTCTTACTGTGGGAAGCATATTGTTGAACAACTGCTAAACAAAATGGGTCTGTAGTTTGATCCATCAGTGGTGGTATTCATCCATAACTGTGTCTATAGTATCCTCAAATATTGCATCAGTGGAGATTACATTTTCACCATGTTAGAAATAATAGCCGTTGCTGCTTCCTTATAGCCCAGGATGTTTACTTGGAAGGAAGGGCCACTTATTTTAATTGGACTTACTTCTGAGTAAACTTGCTTAGGATTTCAGACACCAGTCCCCTGAGAATTTGATCAAGAGATAATGCCTCTGTCTGGAGGTGGGTGGGGCGGAAGAAATCCTGGGAAACAGAACATTCTGTCTATTACACAGAAAATTTATTTTTAACACTACATCGTGATACTCAATGACAGGTCATCAGAGGCAACAAAAGTCTGATGAGGATAAACTCATGAACTACGCTGGAAATACAATAAAAAAAAGTTAACAGCTCAATAAAGCCAAACTGTGGAATGATCAAAGTCTGGCCAAAACTAAAGGAAAAATTGCACCATCACCATGTTTACAGCTTATGAATTAGGATACATAAAATCTCCTGGTGACTAACTGAGGCCACTAATGGACAACGGTAAACAAAACAGGTCTTCCAGCTCTTATTTCAATACCTACCCAGTTATTTAGGGCTCAAAAGCAGAAGCTGTTTATAAATTAACTTGCAACCAGATGAGTGATCCAATATCTGCCTGATGGATTTGAAGTACTGAATGAATCACTGACCATGTTCTGCTAATGAAGACCACTTTTAAGCAATGGAATAGGAAATTTGGTTGCTAAGCAGTTGAAAACAGCCCTTTGAAGGGCAAGGTAAATTAAAAGCAACCAATATATGACATAAAGCAATAGTAATCCAATTTCAATTACTAGCAGAAAAACATATTAGTACACAATAGTGCTTTTAACATGCGCATGTTAAAGCAGACCCCTGGCTTGAAGCACTAACTCCAAAAGTTTAAGTGAATTTACAAGGTAAGCCTGTTTACACAGAAATATCTCAGTGAGACTTGCTCCCTAGCAAGTATGTTTAGGGTTGCAGCCGTAGAAGGATATTCTGAAGTTTTACTATAAACCCATTTCTTCACCAAAGCCTGAGATAGCACTTGGAGGCCCTACTGGAGGATTTTAAGGTTTGGGTAAGTATATGTGGGAGAAGATCTTTCAGGTTACCTGGTCCAAGCCTTTTAAGGTTTTAAAGGATAAAAATACTACTTGGCCAACTGCAGCTCTGCAGCTCAGCTGACAAAAACATAGGTGTAATGTGGTTAAACTGCCCAGTACCAGTTTTGCTCTTTGGGGATTAATGCAGTTTCCTGACTGTTTTTAAAGGCAGCCCCATGTACAACGCACTGCATTAGTCTAAACAGGAAGTGAGGAAAGCATGGGTAATTGTGGCCAAGCTATTCTCGCCCAGGTAAGGTTGCAGCTGGCATATTAGACAAAGCTGACAAAAGAGCCTCATTCATTTACTTACCTGCCTTCATCTTAAGGTCCCAGGGCAATTTACAACAACAGAAGACCATATACAGTTATAAAAACAGATAAAGCCGTTACAATGATAAAATAAGCAACCCCATTCCATATGGAATAGTAGAGTAGAAATCCAGTAAAAGAGGTGGGGCCCATGAAACAGAAAACCATAATGGTCAAAGACCAGGTTAAAGAGGTCCACTTTTAGCATATGGCAATTGCTACACAGTGAAGATGTTAGCCACACGCCTGTGGAGAGGGAGCCTGACAGTTTAAGGGCTGCCACAAAATGCCCTCTCCTGAGTCACCAGTCTGATGAGCGAGCAATAAAGCATCATCCACATACTGCCAATGCCTCGGACAAATCTCTGGTTGAGCTATCCCAGTTGCTTCATGCAGATGTTAAAACAGCATGGGAGAAATAACAGAACCCAGCAGAATTCAAAAGCATGACAGTCAAGGGTCGAGCAGTAATCTCCCAGTGCCATCTTTTGGAAACAGTCATTCAGACAGGAATGGAACTGCTGCCAAGCAATGCCTTCCACACCTAACCTATTCAGAAGGATTTCATGGCTGATGGTGTCAAAAGCCATTGAGAAGTCCAGGAGAATCAACAAGGCAGCACTTCCTTACGCCAAGTCATACAGTTGTCCCATCTAGCTCCTTACTGAAGCTCACTAAATGTGGCTCCCCAGGTTTCAGACAGGGGCCATTGTCAGCACTACCTGGAGATGTCAGGGATTGAACCAGGAACCTTCTGCATGCAAGGCAAATGCTCTACCACTGAGCTATCTATGGACCTTCCCCAACAGGTTCCCTGCCCCTGGTTCAAACAGCATCATTCTTTGGGTATTGCTTGCAACATCATACAGGAGAGGAGGGAAGATGAAGGGGCTACTGGGAGTAATGGGGAGAGTTTCCACTAATGCACATTTAAAAGGGGTTGGGCTTTTAAAGAGACACACAGAGCTTCTAACATCAAGAAGAAGAAGAGTTTGGATTTGATATCCCGCCTTTCACTCCCTTTAAGGAGTCTCAAAGCGGCTAACATTCTCCTTTCCCTTCCTCCCCCACAACAGACACTCTGTGAGGTGAGTGGGGCTGAGAGACTTCAAAGAAGTGTGACTAGTCCAAGGTCACCCAGCAGCTGCATGTGGAGGAGCGGAGACGCGAACCCGGCTCCCCAGATTACGAGACTACCGCTCTTAACCTCTACACCACACTGGCTATGCATGCTTACTTGGAATGTTTATGAAGTCATAAAGAGCAAAGGAAGCTCCCTTGTACCGAATCAGTCTGCTTTGCTGAGCTAAATTGACCTATGGTCCTTCCAGGTGGCTCAACCCAAGGCAACCATGGACAGAAGCTGAATGTTCCCAGCTTCATGTATGTGGTATCCTGATACTCAATAAGCAAGTTTGGAGCAAATATTTGGTGATGCTACCAGTCTGGGTAATTAAATATTACTTTTATGAAATACTGGCCTGGTTCAGCATACAAAGCAGGTTCCAAGGCTCTCATCAGTGCACAACACACTTGCCTGTTTTTCATGTTCATCAAAACAGAACTTTCAGAGGGGTTGCCTGTGCTTGAGCAAAGGCCACAGCATATCTGAAGTTTATCAGAAGAGGACTCTTTGCTTAGCTTCAGTAACACGTACACACAATCCCTGCCGCTGCAAAACAGTTGACCAGGCAAACTACACGGTTATGGAGCAATTTGGGAGTTGCTCCTGAGCAAACATTCATAAACTAGTTTCACAGGTATCCAAAGGATTTTGAATCCCAGCATTTTCCTCACCGGACAATGGCTGCATTCAGACAGAAAGACAAATCACGCTTTGGCATTACATCTGAACACGAGTTAGGTTACAAAACATGGTTTGTGAGGGGGTGGGTAAACCAGGGTGTGAGTTATAAACCATGGGGTTGGACTCCTGTTTTCTGAACTGAACTAATGGAACCTTGTCAATCTGGATCTGGATGAACAGGCTTGTCAGTGACAGGCCCCTCTGTTAACCCTAATCAGAAATGGGGGGTGATGTACGTGGGCTTTAAGGCAAATATTTTAAATAACAAATAAATAAATGGGACCCAGTTTTAATTTAATGTGACCACTTCTCAAGGCATTATCTTCACTGTAACATACTGAATTAACAGTTATTCTTTCTGCCTAATTAACCTTGGGAATGACAGCTGCATCCAGAAGCGGATGTAAGGATTTTAATATACAGTGGTACCTTGGGTTACATACGCTTCAGGTTACAGACTCCGCTAACCCAGAAATATTACCTCGGGTTAAGAACTTTGCTTCAGGATGAGAACAGAAATCGTGCTCCGGCAGCGCGGCAGCAGCAGGAGGGCCCATTAGCTAAAGTGGTGCTTCAGGTTAAGAACAGTTTCAGGTTAAGAACGGAACTCCAGAACGAATTAAGTTCTTAACCCGAGGTACCACTGTAATTCTCCAAACCACTGCTAAAAAATAAAAAATTCATGAATTACTGTTGCCAGGATCCAGTGTTAATTTCTGGCTTCCCCATAATTATGTATTTGAGCCAATGAACTTATTTTGTACCACACTAGATGCTTAAGTCTCAGCCCCATTCAAATTCAAAGATTCACAACCTGTGCTAACTTTACAGGCATCTGTGTGGCTATTGCATGCGACCAACTTTGGTGTTGGGTGTCTTGAGCTACAGAGGACGGAATCCTCTGCCAGAATCTCTGAGATGCTGGAATTCATAACAGCAACTCAAGGGCATGGTGAACTGTGCTATAGGAACTGGCCTCCGCCCAATCTTCTAGCCTCTTGCATTATTTCAACTGCTCCAAGAAGACAGCAGATCTAGCTCTCTAGGTCTCCACAGCTTCGCTCTCTGCTAAGATAGCAAGCAACAAATCAGGCTGCCCATTCTTTACTAAGATCAGACCAATTTAAAACAGATTAGTGCTATAAACCCCCTTCATGGATCACTGCCTTGCCGTGGCGAAGGGGCTTGAATAACTCACAGAAGCTATGAACTATGCCGAGCAGGGCACACAAGATGAACAGGTCATAGTGGAGAGTTTGGACCAAGCACGATCCACCTGGAGGAGGAACCGGCAAGCCACTCCAGTATCCCTGCCAAGAAAACTCCATGGACAAAGACAACAGGCATACAAAAGTTATGACGCTGGAAGATGAGCCCCTCAGGTCGGAAGGCGTCCAACATGCTACTGGGGAATAGTGGAGGACAAGTACAAGTAGATTCAGAGCTGATGAAGCGGCTGGGCTAAAGCCAAAAGGACGCTCAGTTGCGGATATGCCTGGAAGTGAAAGGAAAGGCCAATGCTGTAAAGAAAAATATTGCATAGGAACCAAAGACAGACGTGCCTGGTGTGCTTTGGTTCATGGGGTCACGAAGAGTCGGACATGACTAAACAAAAACAAAAAAGTGCTATAAACCAGAGAGGCGGCAAACAGTTTGCTACACATGTGATTATTCTAATCTGATTGGTGGAATCCCGTTTACTTGTATCGGGAAGATGTTCTATTACCACAAACATGGCATAAAGAAAGTGCAGCTTCTAATATAAAACTGCAGACCGCAAAATAAATGTATATATAAAAAGATGATCTTGCCTAGGAATGGACATTTCCAGTCATGTGTTATGTGTTAGTTATGTGTTAATCTGCACCAACATTTTTATTTCGTTTTCTTTCAAAACATGTCTTTCTAAATGCATTTTGGCCCCAAATACACATTATTACATGCCTTATGGAATTTACTTTTTTATTATTTAGCCAAAAATTGTATCACAAAATCTGAAGACGTGTGAACTCTGAGGGACGAGTGCGTTCTGAGCTCCACGTTAAATTGGGAGGTGTGGATCAAGTCAGAACAGTTCATATCAGAATTTGCAGAGAATGAATTCATCAAGCACCTCTACCTACCTTTGAGTTCAATACTGCAATATACATGCTCCTCACATGACAGTGTTACTGTTTTATGCCACATAGCTTCAAAATCAGAACACCACAGGAAAAAACCTTTACGCAGATTCAGCCATCGATCTTCCCAGTGCATTTTGCTTCCTTTAGGAGTAACAGAAGTATAACCTCAGCATTATAATCCTGCTGTAGTATCGCCAATTTCCAGGAAAGACTAATCTAATATAACAAAGCAACCTGATGTCCTTCAGCTGTTTTGAACTGTAACACCCATCAGTCAGTGTTAAAAAATCATTATATATATATATATATATATATATATATATATATATATAGTCTGATCACCAAATGGCACCTTAAACCTAGGTTATGGTCACCACAACAGAATGTCTAGGTGCCATTTTTTCCATTGATGGTGGTGATGGTTGTTATTCACTTCATTTCTATACTGCTTTATATTTTAAAGAACAAATCTCAAAGCGGTTTACAAAACATTAAAACATCAAAATAAAACAATCCAGAATAAAACTAATTCAAACTTCAAAGAAAATATTTCAGATCCTTCTTGAAGTGACATTTTGCTTTCCCCAGTCACCAACCAGGGATCCAGAGATCTCCATGTGGTCACAACTGGACCACAATTTTGAACACTGATCAGTCCCAGCTATAACTAGTGGGAGTTGTAGTCCAAAACATCTGGAAGGCCCTAGGTTGGTGAAGGCTGTAATAACAGTGGGACTCACTTCATGTCATCAAGCATATTTAGATGGAGAATGACAGAAGGTAGGCTTGCACTCAGGTCTTCCCCATCTCTTTCTGTGTCTCTCTCAGTAAAGGAAGATGCCTTATACCAGTGGTTCTCAACCTGTGAGTTCCCAAATGTTGTTGGACTACAACTCTCATCATCCCTGAGCTCTGGCCTTGGTAGCTAGGGGAGATGGGAGTTGTAGTCCAACAACATCTGGGCACCCACAGGTTGAGAAAGGCTGCCTTATACTATGTCAGACCCCTGGCCCATCCAGTCCGATATTATTTGGATGGCTGCAGCTTTCAAAGGAATAAGTCTTTCTTCTTAGCCTGCTCCCTTTTTTGTTTTAGCTGGAGAGGCCACGGATTGATTATTGGCCTCTAACCAGTCAAAGCACGCACACACTGCCGCTGTGCAATATCCTCTCCATGCTTTAAGAAGCATCAAAAGGAAAGGTTAGCATCATCAGCATCTCCAGTCTCCCACACTGACCAGGTAAATCCTCCACAATGCAAAGAAAGCTTAAAGCAGATCCTTTATGGAACAGCACAGCAGGCAAATGGCTTTGGTGAAAACTGCTTGCTTGCAAGCAAATAGCGCCAGTCACACAAAACTATTATCAGGTTTTATCTCTAAAGGCAAGGAAAAACACACACTTCACAGTTTTCTATCAGCTTAAAACATAGCATAGCTTAGAAACCCAACACCACCCCATCACACAAAAAGGCTCTCAAATGGAATCACCTTGTCTCAACTGTGAATGTTGGTTTCATTGGAAACAATTCCTCTCCCTACTGATGTTATGAATTCAGCCTTTCGAAAAATCTCTTACAGCTGCTGTGCAGCATTGCTTTATATTAATGCTATTTTCCAGAGCCTGGTGGCATAGGAACATTAACCATCCTGTGGGTCTTTCCTCAGAAGCAAACCCCATTGAGCTTAATGGGACTTACTGTTAAGATAATCCTATACCTGATTCCATTGAGTTCAGCACGGCTGACTTCCGTGTAAACTGCGAAAGAAGAGACAGAGAAGGATCCCTTTCTGGATCTCAATACCTTCTTAACATAGCTTGTAGATAACGTACTGAAGCCACAGAGAGCTATTTATTCTGCAACATATGTAGAAGTAAAAGAAGCAGACTACACTTTGTGCTAACAGTTTGCCTTGACAGACCACTATAAGAGACGGGAGAACTGTAATGAACAACACTGAAAGGTGCTGAGCTGCCACACATTATTTAGGCATATAAATACATTTGATTTTGATGTAATCTGTTCCAATACATCTATTTTTAGTGCAGTTTTCAATCTCACTTCTTCACATTTTTTCATACCTTTTGGGGCTGCTGGGGTGCTTTATTTTATTTTTATCAGAATTTTTTTTAAAAATTGTTATTATCATCCTAGCAGAAGCATGCAAGCAGCAGAACACCAGAGGTAATGGGGCAGCTCATCGGCCAGGAGTTCCCAACTGGTCTTGCCAATTCAGCGATTTATCCCAAAATGGTTTATTCTTAATAGGAAGCTGGAGTCACATGCCCCCACTCTTAAAACACATTTAGTTCTCCTGGTTCCAATTGTACTTGCTTCCAGAATTGCATACCAGTTCAGGTTGGGATATGCCACCATCACCTGCTGGAGGACCTGCATGATTATGGGAGTTGTAGTCCAGGATGAAGGGAACTGTATTGCAGCAACATCTCAAGGGCACCACATTGACTATCCCTGACTTAGGGGTGAGCGGCATCTATATGCTCTGTAATATACAAGTGTTACTACCTATCTCTCTAAAAAGTGGTCTAAAAAGGCTCTAAAAAGTCTTGGCTTCAGAAACCACTTATTTCACAGCTCAACATAACACAGGGGTCAAATGTCAGAGTGGAAGCATCAGAAGCTAATAATTAAGGCTGCCCCCCAACCCCCGGTCGATGAACATGAAATATTCATATGGCAATATTCAGTGCTGTTTTTTCTAGAAAAAGAGGCACCGGAACTCTCCATGAACGCCTCCCTTGTTCTCTTATAATGGCAATGGTGCCCACCTGAGAGGTGCTGGAACTGAGTTCCGGCTGAACAAAAGACCTGGTGAGAGTCAGCATTGGTCATACTAAGGGTTGCATCCACTGAATTCACACCCAGAGTGTGACTTAATCGTACTTCACTCACAGTGGAGAATAACCATTACCACACACCTTGGGGCCTGGACACTGAACCATGGCTGATGCATCACCCTTCATTTTTGGTCAGTTAAATTAAATAAAATATGGTGTGATCATAGCCGATCCAGAAGCTGAACTTGGAACCCATTTAAGCTGAACCCATGTTTAAGGACAGATGTCCTATATTCCGTGGTAACTAATATCACAACAGAAGTACTCTGTAATACATGCACACAAACACACCCATACTCTATGTCCCATATACCGTATTTTTCGCTCTATAGGACGCACTTTTTCCCCTCCAAAAACTAAGGGGAAATGTGTGTGCGTCCTATGGAGCGAATGCAGGCTCTGTGGCTTCAGCGATAGCAACATGAAGCCTCTGAAGCGCAGCGGGAGCGCTCCCTCCGCACTCTGGAGGTTTTGTGTTGCTTTTGCTGAAGCCTGGAGCGCAGGCTTCAGGGATAGCCGATCTCCAGGCTTCAGGGATAGCCGCCTGAAGCCTTTGGAGCGCAGCGCGAGTTCCCGCTGCGCTCCGCAGGCTTTGGGTTCCTTTTGCTGAAGCCGTGAGAGCAAGACTCTCCTGGCTTCAGCAGAGAGGGAGAGCTGCTCAGCGCCCCTTCAGCCAAGCGGGAGGAGAAATGGAAGGGGCTCCGTTTCTCCTGCCACTTCGCTGAAGGGGCGCTGAGCAGAGAGGGGGAGAATTTTTTTTTTCTTGTTCTCCCCCTCTAAAACAAGGTGCATCCTATGGTCCAGTGCGTGCTATAGAGCGAAAAATATGGTATTTGAATTGTTCACCAGTTTCATGTTGCTAGTCTCCCCCTGCTGGTTGGAATGTGAAACGTCAGGCTGAATGACAGGCTAACCAACTCCGCCTTTTTTTTTCTGAGGCAGCCATGGCCCAGAGGGTTGCCCCACACTCCAGTGTCTCAGTCATAATCTCATGGCCACAATGAAGTCCAGCCACCCAAAGGCAGGGCAGCCCTCCAATTTCTATGCATCTTAATTCACCCTACCATGAGGCAACACAAGATTCTACACAGAATTCCAGGCAGACCACAAACCACCTTGTTACTACCAAAAGGAAAAAGGAAACCCTCTCCTGTGACAAAGCAACAGTTAAAGCTGAAGCAAGAAATCAACAATAATTAAACATTAACAGCAAAATAAACACAGTATGAAAATGAAACACCCAGAGATGTCCTATCAAATGTGCCTCTGCACAATCGCACTTCAAAGCTGCCCTCAGCAACGGTTCTTTGGAAGCCAATCGCGTTTTGGAGCAAGGAGCACTTCTTCATATAAAATCCGTCTGTGTTCAAGGCAGTAGGCAGAGAGCTATCGTAACCCCCACCCCAATTTGCAAAGGGGGTAGGATTCGGCAGAGATCACAGAACTGTAGAGTTGGAAGGGACCACGAGGCGCATCTAGTCCAACTCCCTGCAATGCAGGAATCTTTTGCCAAAGTGGGGCTCGATCCTGAGATTAAGAGTCTCATGCTGTACTGACAGAGCTATCCTAGCCAGCACACGACTCCAAAGGTCCCCAACCTCTGCATTTATATATATGTGTGTGTGTGTGTGTGTGTGTGTGTGTGTATTCCTTGTGTTTACTGAGATTTTATATTAACTGTATGCTACTTAGATGCTTTAGATGAGTCAGTAGTATATGATTACTTTTATAGATAGACCACTAAATAAATAAATAAAACCCCGACTGTTGCATTAGCAGTGGCAGAACCCTAGTGCTTTATTTTTATGACTATGAATCAGGCTTTCCAAAGTTGGAGGCAGCCTCCCATATGACTCCCATCATCCCTGACCGTTGGGCCATATTGGCTTGGGGTGAAGGGAGGTAGAAATCAACCATACCTGTAAGGGCCACACCTTGGGGAAGGTTGATGTAAACGCTAGTACAGTGGTACCTCTGGTTACGTACTTAATTCGTTCCGGAGGTCCGTTCTTAACCTGAAACTGTTCTTAACCTGAAGCACCACTTTAGCTAATGGGGCCTCCTGCTGCCGCTGCGTCGCAGCTGCACGATTTCTGTTCTCATTCTGAAGCAAAGTTCTTAACCCGAGGTACTATTTCTGGGTTAGCGGAGTCTGTAACCTGAAGCGTATGTAACCCGAGGTACCACTGTATTTAAACTTTTTAAAGGTGTACTGTAAGTAATCTGTGAGGGCATTCTGCAATTTCCTGATCGGTCTTGAGACAATGAGGGGAATGAGCTGAAGCCTGGTGGAAGCAACTCCTTCGTCAGCCTGCCAGGGCAGCTGAAGAGTCTATAACTCGGACAAAGCCATAGCCATATGTCTTTTCTCCTGATGCCAGTTCATTGCTGAAGGACAAATTCTTGCATTGTAGGATTCTACCTAAACTGGCACATACCTCATGTACATCTCAACTGAGGGCTTCTTTTCTCCCTTCTTTGTTTGGCCTTCTTGCAAGTGGCATGTGTCCCACTTTAAATAAGATAGTCCTCTTATTTGAAGGACTGATCACAGAATCATTGCAGAGCTGGAAGGGACCAAAAGGGTCATCTAGCCCGACTCCCTGCAATGCCGTTCATAAGAACCAAAAGTTGGGTCAAGGCAAGGTCAAGAAAAGAGGAAGCTAAGCAACACCCAGATACAGTGGTACCTTGGGTTACATACACTTCAGGTTACATACGCTTCAGGTTACAGACTCCGCTAACCCAGAAATAGTACCTCGGGTTAAGAACTTTGCTTCAGGATGAGAACAGAAATTGCGCAGCGGCGGCACAGCGGCAGCAGGAGGCCCCATTAGCTAAAGTGGTACCTCAGGTTAAGAACAGTTTCAGGTTAAGAACGGACCTCCAGAACAAATTAAGTACTTAACCAGAGGTACCACTGTATAGGATCGCAGTTTGAAGGCTGGGTGGGAATATGAGGCTGATGTATACATAGAACAAAAACCAGAAATATAGCAAAAAAAAAGGGAAACTCTGCAGTGCTTAGAATGATGCTACTACGCATGAAATTCAAAATACATAGCCTCCAAGGACTATTTAAAATAAACTGTGGGTATATCCACTGCTTTTCTAAAAAAATTTGTTTGTCCCCTCACCGCCACAGCAATTTTCCTTTACTACTTCATTCACAATCTTGGTGCCTAAAAGAGAGAGTCTCTCTCTCTCTCTCTCTCTCACACACACACACACACACACACACACGAATGGCTGAAAAAGGTCAAAGTCAAGTTTTAAGTTAAATAATCTTTATAGCTGCGGCACTTTATTATAATCATTTATAGAAATGGCTGCTGTGCTACATTAATTCTCTAAAGTGCTACTAAAGTTCACAGATTTGCCTAGAGGGATGTGAATGGGTGGGGGGCACAAAAAACTCACAAGAAGTGGGGCTAAAGAGCTAGAATTACTGCAGTACAACTAATCCAGAAAGTGGCAGCTAGACTAGTGACTGGGAGCGCGGCTGACAGGACCATATAACACCGGTCCTAACAGATCTGCACTGGCTCCCAATGTTTCTGAGCATAATTCAAAGTGTTGGTGCTGACCTTTAACGCCCTAAATGGCCTCAGCCCAGTATACCTGAAGAAGCGTCTCCACCCTCATTGTTCAGTCCACACGCTGAGGGCTCTGGAAGAGGGAATATTACCAGGTGCTACTTTCAAGCTGAAATTCCTTGTTTTGCACAACTATTAAAGGTGTGGGAGCTCTGCTGCCTATTACATCTGGCCACCCTTTTATCAAGGCAAGAACAAAAATCCAAAATCTTGCCTTGAACAATTGACAGGAATTTCCAGGAAAGAAAAGAAGAAAAAAAGTTGCACCTCTAATCATTTATTTGGCAGGTTTCAAATTTGTACTAACAGATTTCGCGAAATAGTGTTTTAACAAACAAAAAACCCCACAATTTGTTTTTACTCTAACACACTGCTCAACCCTATGCACACTGACTAGGAAGCAAGTCTCATTGGGTTCAATGGTACGCACTCCCAGCTAACCATAGGATAGTAGCAGATTTCTTTACCCTAACAAGCATAGCTTACCTGTGGGCAGGTGAATGGTGATGTTGTTGCAGAAATCTGTATAGCAGCATTCTGTCTTGGTTATGTTCTTAGAACTGTGGCAGAAGATTTGTGCTTTCAGTTGTGGTAGGGAGACACACGCCTTTATTACTTCTTGTCTACCGTTTTTTGTTAGCATGACAGATGCCCAGCATGCGCCCTCAGTTTCACAGGTGAAGTTTGTTTTTTCACACAACTGGCACACGCATGTTAGACCTGAAAAGATAATTAATCATTGGGTGAACACCACCAAGTAAAACCAAGTTTGTGCTGGTTGAGTTGCACATGGAGAGGAGATAAAAGTTTAGTATTCTAACCAGAAGCTTTTTGTTAGAGATTGTAGGACAAGACCTGCCAAGAAAAACAAAGAACTTATTTATGTATGCTACAACAGCGGCAAGAGTCTTGATAGCACAAGGATGGAAGAATGAGGAAATCCCAACGAAAGAACAGTGGCAAGAAAAATTGATGAGCTCTGCAGAACTGGCCAAATTGACATACAAACTGCGGGACAAGGACAACTGTGACTTTAAGGAAGAATGGGAGCTTTTCACAAATTATCTAAAAAGACAACAAAATGAACTGGACTCCTTGGCAGGTTTTGAATAAACATACACAAATTTATTGGTTTATAACATGATAGAAAGATAATTAAGGATATATACAATTTTATAACATGCAGAGAATAATATGTGCAGAGAAATCAGAGAGAGGAGGTGAGGGAAGTCCTAGGTGGGAGGGGGGAGGGAGGGATGGAAGGGGGGAAGGGGGGGAAACGATGTCTGTGATTATACGGTTTGACAATTTGTTATGTTGAAATTGCTCAATAAAAATATTTTTTAAAAAAGTTTAGTATTCTTTAAAAAATTGAAAAGTTCACGATCTTGATGAAAATCAGTTTTTGAGCTTTACTCAAAATTCTAAATGGTGTATCTTTATTCAAACACTGGCTTACTTCCATTTTAAGACTCTTAAATGTGAACCCCATGCTACTTGCTCTGTGGTCCCAGTATGTGGCATGCATTGAAACACTTTGGGATGGTTGAATTTAAAACAAATATAGAAGGTTGCATTCAGACAGCACTTTATTCCATTTTTCTGATGTTTCCTTACCTGATCATTTCCATGTTTTGTGTGATCTTTCACATGACATAAAAGCCATTTCTTAAACACTAGCAGAAATGAGTAGAAGTTTAGTGCTCATTTCCCTGTTATTTGCTTACAGAAATAAATATGTATTTGCAACTTGGTTACACCAGAAAATTACAGGGCTTTTGCACTGTAATGTCTTGTGATGGGGCTGAGAGTGGTATTCTGGCACGTGGTTCTTTCTCACCATTTAGTGTGACATGGGAGTGTAACGATCAAAAAGCCACAGTCCTGTAATGCAACAGGTAATGTTGTCTAAAAGCAACATTAGAACCTGTGATGGAAGCACTAGCATTGTAATCAGGAAAACTATTGCAACCATCTCCACGTCACAATGCACTCCAAGTTTATTGATTGCCTTACCATGGTTGTGCAGTCAGTTGCAGACTAAAGGATCATGCACTCCCACCCCTTCCTTTCTGGGGCACAAACTCTCCCAGATAGGCCTAACATAGTTAATCACTGAATCAGCAGTAATGTTCCCCATAGTTCGGGGAAAGTACCCACTTAATCACAGACTTTAAAACCAGCCTAGTTTTTGTGCCGGTGGTTTTTTCCATGCATGAACTGTGTGCACTGCGTTGTTTGCTGAGCCCTGACTTTTGAATTTAGACTCCACAGAAGTATTAGTAACTAAGCAGATTTATTGACAAACTCTACACAGCTCCCCAGAAGGGTTCTTAACACAGCCCCATTGCAGCAGGATTTTTCCAAGCCAGTTGGGAGAGGGATATCTGTGTTGCCCTTAAGGGAACAGTGTAAAGCCAAGTTCACTATATTCCAGGGATGGGCAACCTCTGGCTTTCCAGATGTTTCTGGCCTCTCGCCATCACTTGATCATTGGTCATGTGGGCTGAAGCTGACAGGAGTTGGAGTCCAACAACATCTGAAAGGGCAGAGGCTGCATCAGAGTACAATGCACAGATGTTATTAAGCAGCTGCCGGACTATCATACATGACTGGTGAGTTGCATTCCTCATGGTGGGTCACAGATTGTACAGTCCTAGTCTAAAGCTGTTGAGGAGGATTGGCTTTCTTCAAAGCAGTTCAGACGGTGTCCCTTTAAAAAAGGAAAGGAAAACCTATACCCGCATCATCCCAATACTATATTATTTTGCTTTCGGGCATCACTAAATTGACCCTACAAAGAGATGCTCTGTGCCAGCTTTACATCATGGGAAAGATATGCCTGGCTCATAAATTGAGGGTAACAGTACATTCCAGTGTAAGCAGGCAATCCTGTTTTTATTATTATTATTATTCTGTGATTCCTCACAAATAATTGCCCTCAACCTCTCTAATTTACTGAATGGTCCCTACCCAGACAAACATAACATCAGTGCCAATAAACCTCATGGTGCAAAAAGTTTTTCAGCATCTGTACCAAATACTTTATTCTTAGAATTAGAGTATTTTTGCATTATGCATCAAGCCAATACTTGAGTTATGATGCAGAACATGCCTTTTAAATCTTGTTAAATACAAACACAAACACGCTTGCTTGATGACTGCAGTTACACCTGCTGAGAATTGAATCTGTTTTCCATCAGTACAGTTCTAATAGTCCTTTGGGGAAAGGATGTGTGTGTGTGTGTGTGTGTGTGTGTGCGCGTGTGCGTGCAGCTTGTTTAACTGGGTCCTTTCAAGTTAAATTGAGGTATATTTTCAAAATTGCATCTATATTTAAACCAAATCCTGTCTTCCTAAAAGCATATAAAAGCATATAATTTTCCATAGCCTTTTAAAGTTATTCAGTGTATTTTAGTGACTATTTGCCACTAAATATTTGCCTGAATGAAACTACCATTCATGAATTTGTTAGCTGTAATGAACAAATAAAATTACTCAGACCTTTTTGTTGTCAAGGTGAAGACAGAAAAGGAAAATGCTTATTTTGTATGGAACACAAATGGGGGTCTATAACAAGCTGTTGTTATGTGGAGTGCTTAAGGATTCTTGCTAGCCAGCCATGCCCTTTCACAGGTACTGCACTGACCCTTCTCTCACCTCAACTCTCGAATTATGCAACCACCCACTGACGATGCTCAGTCATTAATGGCAAGTTCCTCTCTTCAGCACCCCCTCCCCCAAAAAGATGTTTCATACTTCAGCAAACTTTACTATCCTTCTCTTTCACCTGCCCTTCAACCATACATGCTGTAGAAGTGGGAACCCAGACAATCTAGCAAAAATCCATGTAGGGCAGGGCAGGTCCTGCTATCATGTTCCTGTTCTTCCCTATGCACATTCACTAAAACATTCCTGCCCCCATCCCATTTTGGAACATCCGTTTTAAAAACATTCTGTGGACAAGACTTACTGGGAACAATTGCTGAGATCGCTAGGCTGTTTTGGCTTCTTAGAATAAAGAGTTAACTTCACCGACACAGTATTTTTATTATTATTGCTGACCTGCACCTGATTCCGGCTCCTGGCAGGTGAGCACACCTTCCTGTCACCTGTGCGACATGGTTGACAAGACACACAAGCAATTTGAAAACCAAATTTGGTTGTCAGTCTTGTCCTTTACCCCATTCTCCCATCGGGCTATCCAGCTTTTCTTTCATAAGCACCAAGAATACTTTCATTCAAACATTCTTCCATCACCTTTGTGGAGTGGGGGATAGTGGTGGTTCAAGATGGAAAAACTGCTCTGGAGACTGACCGGGGATTGGAAGAAGCTGTGTGTGTACACACCCTCACACCTAGGTAGAACAGTTTTCAACAGAGCCTATCCGAATGACCATCCACTTTGCAATCCAGCATTATCATTTACACAGATGAGCTGTGTATGCCTCTGCCTGAAAAGGCTAGACTATTGCTTATAAAAGTCAGCAATGTGCCTTTTAATCTTTAAACTAAAAATGTGGTCTTAAATAAGAAGACATTTGCTAGTTTTTGCCCAGAAGGTCTACAGATAAGCTTAATGGATTTTGAAAGGACATCTCATAGTAACTCGGCTCGTGTCATATGCTTGTTTGCCGCATTTTTCTATACCATGATTTATGGGTTGGCAAAAGCACTTCTATTTTAGTCTCATCTCTCTCTCCATAAAACAACAATATTTTTCACATGCAAAATGACTCATGCCTATTCCCATATCATTTGCCATTCAACTTATCTTCTCTCCTCCAACATATGAGACTGAAATAGCTATTCATATTTTTCTATTCTGGCACCCAAAAGCCAGTTAGATTGCAAAACATTACTGAACAGGTTACTGTGATCTTCCATTCATTAAACTGATTCTGAAAGCTCCTTGTTTATTATATATTGGGCAGAACAGTGTGTACAAGCCTGATTTCTATGGGGTCCAAACACCTATAGAATAGTGGATGCATTGTTAGGGTAAGAGCCCGAGGGAACTGTGAGGTTACTTTGGTAAATGAAGTGCATTTAAAGACTCTCATGGCTTAATAATAACATAAAAAGCATTATTGCAGATGCAGCTGGATCCTGTTAGGTGCATCCATTGATTGCACATTTGTATCCAAAACTGAAAGAGAAAAACATTTTGCTTTACCATCCGCATCTGATCTAAAGCAAAGAAAATATATTAACCAGAATTGGGCAGACGTGATTGTAGGCATGTTGATCCTACCAACTTAAAAGACTGGGCAGGTCAAGTGACACTCTTGCAGTTGTTTTAAACTTCTGCAAGACTTTGGCCCTCCTGAGGCATGAGCATATACTGCAAACATTAAAGCAGATGGCTAGCAAAGTGTTCTGGTCTGGAAACAAAGGAGGTGAGACTATGTTAATCTAATCATGTTTATTCTGGCATGTGCCTCATATAGCTTCAAACCCTTGGACTTTTTTTATTTTTCTTGCTTTACCAAAGTCAACTCAAGGGTCATATTAAACAGCAATAAATACAGGGCAGTGCTCTGTTTTGCTCTTTCCTCTCTTCAACCTTTCCTAGGCAATTTTCCCCACATCGAGACTGTCTCTCAGATACGTGCAGTGCAGTGCATCAAAGGCCTGCTTTGTCATCAGTGATCTTACTTTCCACGTCATCTTTTTTCTTTATATTCTGAATTACAGATGGCTGAACATGTAAGGAATCTGGATTTGCCACTGAATTTACCCTCAACAAGGGGTCAAGGCTTTGATGAAGATACGATACAATATGTGGTAACTTCAAAACATCTGCATGTCATATTCACAGCTTATATTTTTAAAACATCATAGAAGTACTATCTTTAAAATAAACACCACCCAGTAATGAGTGAAGTCGTCCATAGAGGCACATTATTACCAAAAGCAGCATATTCTGGCATCCAATTATGTCCAGGTATGTATTCCCTTCTGCACTAACGGGAGGTGAGGAGAACACAAAAAGTTGTCAACATAAATGGCAATAAATGGAGTGGGTGAAAAGAACCAAATTATGCCAGTGCTTCTCCATCTTCACTGGCTGCCAGTCTGTTTGCAGGACCAATTCAAATTCTAAGGACCACTACTTCCCATATAGGCACCTTCCCCATTTACACGCATTCTATTTGCGAGTGACCACACACAGGTCTGGTGCTGGGTACCTGGAAATGGGGAGCACTTGGTCAACCAACCCCACTGTCCCTGCAACTCACATGAGCCAGAAAGGTAGTGGAACTGGCATAGCTGACAGGTGGGGAAGCCTCTTCTCCAGGTGTCAGCTGGGCTGGTCAACCAAGCCTCACTGTGCCCCCAGCTCATAAGGAGATGCTCCCCAGAGCCCAAAGAGGTCCTTTGGGTGGGTTTCCTCCCTAGCCATGCTCCTCATTTACAGGCCCTGGACCGTAACTCCCCCATAAGTGGAAAGTCACCTGTATATCCCTATTGCAGTAGTAGCCAACCATCAGAGATGCAGGGTGCTGTATCCAAAATTCCTGGAGAGCACCATGTTGGCTATCACTGATGTACCTGGATCTGGAGGTCATCTTCAGAGGCTCTTCTTCAGGTGCCTCTGCCAAATAAGGTGTGACAGGCAGCTACAGGAGAAAGGGCTTTTTCATTGGTAGTGCCCTGGTTTATGGGATGTCCAAGCCAAAAGAATGGCTTGTAAATGGGTTTGTTTACAGTCCAGAGAACATTAAATTATTAATGAGCCGTGCAACTTACACCAGTTTTATTCCCAGAAATCCCATGGAATTTGTATCTCCCAGTATATACTAAACTTGCAATTTATGTGAGGGTTATATTCCAGGGAAGGCGCCTAAAGGCAAAATCATGTATAATCAAAACCCATTGGATTAAATGGCAGGTGGGATTGCCCAAGCTATGTTTCCCAGAACATTGCTCCCTTTCTTCCCCTTGAAAATAAACTACTTTTTTTGTCACGTGCACAAAGCTGAAGCATGCAAGTTAAATGCACGTAAATAGTGGGCTTACTGTAGATTGGTAATATTTGGACTGTATACTTTTATTCTTCTGTCATGAATGCTACATGGTAGAAGTGCCATGTTCACTGATGTTGCTCATCACACCATCAAAATAAATGCTGATGTGCCAGTTACCATATTCCCAGTTATGTAAATATACAAAATTTTAAGACACAAGAACCAAGAGTTATTCAGAAAGTAAGTTTGAAGCCCCTGTATTTGCACTCAACAATAAAAGTCAATGGACTCGTATTTTCTCGTACGACGCCTCCGTATCATAACAACTTGGACTGAACCCATCCTACCTAATAGCTTTTGACTGGTTATTCCGTTTAAAACCTAATTGACCTAGTTCTTGAATGTATACATTGATTATAATTAAATGCACTAAGCTCCTTAACATCCCTGAAAAAATAATAATGAAGACACATCAGCTACAAGCAGCTGTCAACACTATACGGACAATAGACTGAGGAAAGTGGAGGGAGTATGAATTATATCTTTGATTTGGGGGGGAAAGGAGAAGTTATATATAATGGGAAATATTATGAATGAATAGATGCGAACCCCTGGTCTCTTGGAAGCAAAAAAAGAAAAAAGCAGGGAGAAAACAGACTTGGTATTCCAGTTGAATTATGCAATTAACTATCTGGAGAACACATGCTTGTCACGTACATTTATGCGCAGGCTTGCTTTCTGGACTTTACGTGGCACCTCAAATTTTAAAATACAGTGGTACCTCGGGTTAAGTACTTAATTCGTTCCGGAGGTCCGTTCTTAACCTGAAACTGTTCTTAACCTGAAGCACCACTTTAGCTAATGGGGCCTCCTGCTGCCGCCACGCCGCCGGAGCACGATTTCTGTTCTCATCCTGAAGCAAAGTTCTTAACCTGAAGCACTATTTCTGGGTTAGCGGAGTCTGTAACCTGAAGCGTATGTAACCTGAAGTGTATGTAACTTGAGGTACCACTGTAATATGAATTTGAACACACAGAATAAAGCTAAGTGACCATGAGAAAAGGGTATTGTACAACCAGTGCTGATACTTTGAATGCACCTATCTCAGTGTAACCAGGGTCCTCTATAACCAGGGATGGGGAACCTGTGGCCCTCCACAACTCCCATCATCTCTGGCCACTGGCCATGAGGGCTGATACAAGTTGTAGTTTAACAACATCTGGAGGGCCACATGTTCCCTATCTCTGCTCTAACCCCTCACACACATACATACCAAACTGCATTCAAACCCTCCCCACAATTTTTTTTTACTGGAATTGTGTCTGCCTCAGACGCCTTGCATTAGAAGTGGCACACATCATAATTATTTATAAAGGATTTTGCTCTTACTTCTACCACTGTTGACACGCAAGCATCTACATCGCACAAACACTTTGGGTCATATAAACATTCATGCCATGCACCACAGTAATTAAACCTAGTACTTATCGTCTCTATATAATACAAGTGTGGAATCTGATATTAGGTTGAAAATATTCAGCATGTTTTGGCTATCAGCTTTCGGTGTTCAAAAAAGGAACAAGAGGAGAGCCACACAGGTGTGAAGATAGGTTTTCCAGAGTATGCAACATTTGGTGAAATTGCCAGAAGCTTATTTGCAACATTTTCTGACTTTCCATAATCTATACAGATTATAGAATTCCACATTTTCGGCATAGAATGTGGGTTACCTTGGCACAAACTTGTTCCGTATATTTAGAATGTATTACATCTAGCTCTGCTGCCAATATACATTAGAATTCCAAGTTCATGCAAATATGTTCTTATGGAAAAATCTTCTTGAGAGAACTCAGGTTTAGACATGGAAGCAATCGGGTCCACCTCACCACCTCTCCTGTTTTTTCCTGATTGCACCCCACTGCTCTTCATTTCATGCAAATTCCCCAAAGATCTGAAGTGCCCCTTCTCTTTGTTGTGTTCATTTGTATGGAAAGCAAAGTCAAAAAAGCATTTGTTGTGTTCATTTGCAGGAAACAGACCTGAGCAAGACACATACCACCCTATAAAACAACATGCACCAGAGTGACTTAGAGCAGCAAAATAGCTTAGAGAGGGTTCAGCACTGTGTAAATGCAATTATAGAATCGGAGAGTTGGAAGGGACCCTGAGGACCATCTAGTCCAACCCCCTGCAATGCAGGAATAGGCAGCTGTCCCATATGGGGATTGAAACTGCAACTTTGGTGATATGAGGACCCTGTTCTAACCAACTGAGTTATCCAAGCTCTGTGCTAATGGACATACTGTTTTGTACAAAGGAAAGCCTGGGCATCCTCAAGGCTATGGAGGTAGTATGGGAAATTTACTTCTATCTTGTCTCCTGGTACTTGGGGGTGAGAGGACTGCCCCTCAAACTGCTATTTGCATTTCCAAAAATGGTGCCTCCATTTGCACCAATGGGAGCTTTCCTCTGAAATGCAAACAGTCGTTTTGGAGGTTTGATTTTTGCTAGGACTGCCAGGCTCGTTCCCATTTACATAAAATCTGTGCACATTAATTGCATTCACACCCTTTATGTATCAAACTCAAACCCATTGTCCTCAGTCTGTTTTTCCCAAGTGGTTCTCCTCCCACAACTCTGATACAGCAGCCCCTATCCAACAAACATCTCCTCTGCATATTATCCCAGAACACTGCTCCCATAGCATTCTGTTAAAAAACAAAAGACCAGCTCTTCATAATCCTGAAAACCTGCCACATGCTATATTTCCTCCTAACTGTCATGCACGCGATGCACCCCAAACTGCCAGAGACACAACCTCCGCTCTCCAAACCTGTCCTTTCCCCACATCCCTCGGAGCCCATCTTTCTCACCTAAGGCAATATTTCCCCAAAAGCACTCTCTGTCTCTCTCCAACCAATTACAGCACCATTTGCTCACTGTGCACCAAAGATGTGGCTTAGATACTGAACTGGTGCCTAATACGAGTGGATTGCCTCTATGCCTGCCTGCCCATTCGTTCCAACACAGTGGATATCACAACTAACATAAGATGATTTTCCCCCCACCTTTGAGAGTATTTTGAGAACATACTAAGAAGAGCAACACTGATGGAACCCTACACACATAAATAGATTTTTGTGGGTTTAAGGGGGGGAAGCATGCATTTGAACCAGAGTTCTACACACCACTTTGGGATGTCTCATAGAGCGAGAGAGAAAATAACTGGACCATATCAGTTCAATTTGAAACAAGTTTCAACCTGAAATTCTAACCCCACTTACCTGTGAGTAAGCCTCACTCTCACTGAAATCACTAACTTCGGAGTAGACATGTATAGGATTGCAGGGTTACACTTTTTTCTTCCATGTTAGAAGTTCAGAGCAAGCATACACTCATAGCTGTCAATCTTCTCTTTTTTTGCGGGAAATTCCCTTATTTCAGTGCCATTTCCCACTGCTTCCTGCTGCTATCCCAGATTGTTAGATATCCCATAGACTGTCTCCGGGACAGGTGAGGCTGCTGATCCCTTATTTTCAACTCCGAAAGTTGACAGCTATGCTGGTGATCCCTTATTTTCGAGGCTGCTGATCCCTTATTTTCAAATCTGAAAGTTGACAGCTATGCATACACTTGATGCAGCAAGTTAAAATATACTAGAAACCATTCGGTGGTCAAGGAGTACCAACCAGATCAAACTCAAAATGCAAGGGATTTAATTGCAAGTCTTTAGAAAACCCAGTTCATTCCCAGTCTATAAATATACTCCTATTCCTCAACTGGTGCAATAGCAAACGGTCCCAAATTCCTTTCAAGCAAAATGCTCTATGTGCAAGTGCAGCAAAAGTTGCATAAATAAAGGAAACATGAAGTTGTGAAGGTATGAATCCAGGGGCCCTGCCCCCAAGCATGTTTCAACCCCAGGGTTAAACCTTGAATCCCATGAAGTAATACTTCTGAGGAATGTGTAGAACGCCCTTCGCCCTAAGTAACAACCAAGTGCTCCCTCTACATCTACAACCAGGGAGGAAGAACCTCTGGATTGTAACTTCTGGCAGAATAGATCCCAGAGCCATTTAAATCAGTCAGCTGAGTTTGTAAACCGAAAAGACACGCTCTGTAAAAATATATATATATATACAGTTCCCTGCCGTCAACTCTAACTGGCCTTTGCCCTCAGAATCGTAGCCACCACCCAAAAGGTTTTATATTAAGCCGAGTTCAGGAGGATCAAACCTGGAGCCGCTCTCCAATGACCGATCTTATGGGACTCTCCTCCAACCCCATTCACGGGCGCTTTATTCCTTTCCCTTCCTTTTTTAAAAGAATAGTTGAAAACAAACAAACACCCTTTGAGTATATTTGCATGAGATTTAACACCCAAACCGTTCTTTGGCAACAGAGCCATTCAAGCAATTTTTCATTCTAGTCACATTTCTTTCACTTACGCACAAGATTTAATCACCCAAATCGTTCTTTTGCAACACAGCCATTTCATCCTAGGACCTAGTCAATATTTTTTTTTAAAAAAGTACGTGTAAGTGGACCAAAGGGATGGGGGCGAATGCCTCTGGGCACGTGCAGAGAGCATGCGCACAGACCGAGTGGGCAGTTTCCTGGGAGAAAAGCCACACACACACACACACACAAAGTTTCCAAGCCAGAACCGCCCCGCCACATGTCCCACGCGAAGAAGAAACAGGTATCCCGCCGCCTCTCCAGATCCCGACCCCCCCCCCACTGTTTTTCCTTACCTGTGCAGAGAGAGGCGCAGGCTACCAGGACGAGCGCCAAGGCGCCCAGCCCGGAGCGGGACGCCGGAGGTCGCATGGCAGCACATGGGAGAGGCGCTGGCGGGAGGAAGAGCGGCCGGAGTGGAGCGAGGCGAGCGGCGGCAGGACACGCGCGCAGCCCCGCTAGGGCGGGCTTCCCGCGGCTGCCCTCTCCCCTCCCCTGGCCGACGCTCCCGGCAGGGCAGGCTGCAAGCAGCGACTGTCAGCTGTGGGGGGAGCGGCAGCGGCGCCTGGGGTGGGGTTTGCAGCTTCGCCCTCCTCCGGCTCCGCCCGGCCCGGACACACCCCTTGGGTCCCTGTTTACAGGGCAGAGGGGATTTGCCCCGCGGGAGAGAGAGAGAGAGAGAGCCGAGGGCCGACGCCTCTCCAGCGGCGTGGCTCCAAACTTCGGGCCTCTGTCCGTGGAGCGCGAGGCATTCTCTGCAGACGACGGTGCCCGGTCGGGGTTTCGCGCGGGAAACTTCCGAGGCCTGATCTCAGGTGGCTCCTCTTCAGGTAGCACACGAGTCACCCGAGACTGCCGCTGGCCCTTTGTTGCCCTGCGCGCGCGCGCGCGCTCACACCTGTACGCACTCTTCTAATTCCAAGGGTGGAAGGCAGTGCTAACCTGCGTTCGCCATTATATTTAATTATTTGCAGGTGATTCGCACACATTGTCTTTTGTTTACCGGCAGGTCACGTTTTTTCCTGATAACTCAAAAAGCGCAGTAATGTTTTAGTACCCAGGAAAAAGCTTTTCCCCCAGGAATGCGTTCCATGGGATGGCGATGCGTTACAGGCAGTAATTGTTTGTTTTGAGTATGATTTCATTGCATCTTTTTTTTCATAATACAATAAGAGAAAAGAAACTATTCTGAATAAAAAATAAAGACAGTTAAACATGCCATAGTAAAAAAAATACAGTGGTACCTCAGGTTAAGAACTTAATTTGTTCTGGAGGTCTGTTCTTAACCTGAAGCACCACTTTAGCTGATGGGGCCTCCCGCTGCTGCTGCGCGATTTCTGTTCTCATCCTGAAGCAAAGTTCTTAACCCAAGGTACTATTTCTGGGTTAGCGGAGTCTGTAACCTGAAGCGTATGTAACCCGAGGTACCACTATATTTAAACTTTTTAAATTAATAAAACTGTAAATTAATAAAACACTGATACTAAGCCTTGATTTTTAAGATTATTTAAATGCAAATGTAGAATTAGAGCACTCAAAACAGTTCCAGGTGTCTTTAAAAACACCACCACCACAAACATTTAAAGCATTGGTTCATTCATTTAACATGATTTTTTCCACACAAATCAAAGGCGCCCATTCTGGTGGGTGTGGGTGGGTGTAGTAGTGGTTAGAGTATCAGAATTGAGACCAGTTTCAGCCCACTGAAATAGAAATGGAGCACAGGTTGTCATTGTGTATCAGAGCTCTTTCTCATATCCTTTCAGCTGTATTTGTGTAACTGGCAAATATTTACAGTGGTACTTCGGGTTACAAACACTTTGGGTTACGAACACTTCGGGTTACAAACTCTGCTAACCCGGAAGTAGTTACCTTGGGTTGCGAACGGTTTCGGGTTAAGAACAGACTTCCGGAACAAATTAAGTTCATAACCGGAGGTACCACTGTACTTGGAACTATGAAATCATGAATTAAAGTGACCAAGTGGAACTTGTGTGATGAGATAAACAGACGCAAGTAAATAAGGAGAAACCCCACCATGCTTCCTGGGTTGCTACAAATATCTTTAACCTAAGTGGTTAGTCTGTTGGATGAGGACCCAGGAGACGGGTTTAAATCCTCAGAATTTAAATCGCCCAGAATTTCACTATTCATATGTAGGTTAGCAAGTAAAAAAAATAAGTGTATCACATCTACACAGGAAAACTGTAAGGTTAGAGTTCCATTTTTTTTCTACCTTGTTAAAGTTAAGCCTGACCCTTACCATTACCGTGAATTGTTCTCATTTCATCTGTGCAGTCCAAAAGTGAGAGCAGTAATTGTCAGGGTAGCAGAATTAAAATCTGTGTCACCGTTCAGTCCTCCTACCCACCCACCCTCTTACGTCTTTGACTCTTGCATCCTTCCAAGAATGGCCTCTGTGGTTGCTTACATGCAGTAGCAGAAGGTTGAACTCATCAACTAGAGAATTAAACTTGGATGCCAGAGTTCATGACACAAAAGCAGCACTATGTTCATCGCTGTGGGCTACCACTGGCTTCTGCCCCAGGGAGGAAATAACGTGCATCCTTCTTATATTCAGTTCTTGAGATTGGTAGTTGCCTTCAAAATCTCCTTAAAAGTACCCCATCCTACAGTTCTGCTTCAGAACATATCTGGGGGTTTTTTTTGAGGGGGGAGGCATAGCCAAACTGTAGCAAAAATTAATGGTGGTGACTGGAAAGAGCACACAAATTGGAGACAGTGTTTGCATAGCAAATGCAGAAAGCACTAGCATTGTTTAGCAAACTGCTGATACTCCCTAGACGCTCATTGGCTGTTCCCTCCAAGGTCTCAATGGCGTTCAAATAGTGAAAAGTATACTCAAGCCATTTTCTACCAGGTGTAAAACCCAAGAAATCAAGTTGTTCTGATGTTTTTGTGTGTTTGTGGAACCAAGCACCCATTCCCTATAAACATCAAGCATGTAAAATGGACACAAGGACAATGAAACCCTCTCATATTCCTTGCTAGTTTGTGAAGCACAGACCTAAGGAAGTCTGGGATGATCCTAAAATGTGTCAAGTATCAAGTGCTGGAGGAACAGGAAACAAGTTACAAAGGACAGGTTGGTTATTGGTTGGAACAGAACAAAGTTCACCTTTCTAGCTCACTGACAGCCAGTGCAATTTTAAGACTGGTGACACCTGGTCCCATTGGGTTGCCTGACCTACTGGCTTAGCATTCTGCTCTAGCCTCAGTCTCTGGAGCATCTTCAAGGGCACCCCACATACAGTGATTTACAGTAGTCCATATGGGAGGTCACCAGAGCATGGATAACTGAGGCCAAGGCTATCCCCATCTAGAAATGAACATAGCTGGTAAATCGTGTGCCTCCTCCTTGAGAGGCCTGGAGGGTGGCAACATAAGAACGGGCCTTCTCTGCAGTGGCTCCCTGTCTGTGGAATGCTCTCCCCAGGGAAGTTCGCCTGGCGCCTTCATTATACACCTTTAGGCGCCAGGCAAAAACGTTCCTTTTTAACCAGGTCTTTGGTTGACCTAAAGGGATGCGGGTGGCGCTGTGGTCTAAACCACAGAGCCTAGGACTTGCCGATCAGAAGGTCGGCGGTTGAATCCCCGCAACGGGGTGAACTCCCGTTGCTCGGTCCCTGCTCCTGCCAACCTAGCAGTTCGAAAGCATGACAAAGTGCAAGTAGGCGGGAAGGTAAATGGAGTTTCTGTGCGCTGCTCTGGTTCGCTAGAAGCGGCTTAGTCATGGTGGCCACATGACCTGGAAGCTGTACGCCGGCCCCCTCGGCCAATAAAGCGAGATGAGTGCCTCAACCCGAGTCACGACTGGACCTAATGGTCAGGGGTCCCTTTACCTTTACCTTAGTTGACCTGATTTACATTTTGATGTATTTTTAATCTTTGTTGGAAGCCGCCCAGAGTGGCTGGGGAAACCCAGCCAGATGGGCGGGGTACAAATAAATTATTATTATTATTATTATTATTATTTACATCCTATGCCCTTTTAAAATGTGTTTTTTGGTGGTGGCGGGGGGGCTATTGGGTTGTTGTTTTTATTTTTATTATGTATTTTGTGGTTTTATATCTTGATTTTATTCTGAGACCCCTGGTTATAGGGCGGTATATAAACTCAATAAATAATAAGCACTCTTGGCCACAGAAACCACTTGTGACTCCAGTGACAAGTTGGAATCCAGGTATGCTCCCAGCCTCTGAACCTACAGGGGAGAGCACCCCCTCCAGGACACAGGAACCACCCACCCACAGCACTTCTTTCCTATCAGGATTCAGCTTTAGTATATTAAATGGAACCTCTTCCAAAAGATAAATGTACAACTACGAATAGGTAAAGATTCACTCACTAAAGCTATTATACATATTATAATAAATCTTTGAAATTAAGGCAGAATATAAATATTTTAAGGGACACGGGTGGCGCTGTGGGTTAAACCACACAGCCTAGGACTTGCCGATCAGAAGGTCGGCGGTTCGAATCCCCGTAACGGGATGAGCTCCCATTGCTCGGTCCCTGCTCCTGCCAACCTAGCAGTTCAAAAGCACGTCAAAGTGCAAGTAGATAAATAGGTACCACTCCAGCGGGAAGGTAAACGGAGTTTCCATGCGCTGCTCTGGTTCGCCAGAAGCGGCTTACTCATGCTGGCCACATGACCCGGAAGCTGTATGCCGGTTCCCTTGGCCAGTAAAGCGAGATGAGCACCACAACCCCAGAGTCGTCCACGACTGGACCTAATGGTCAGGGGCCCCTTTACCTTTACCTTTTTATAAATATTTTAAATACATTGCACCAGACTGAAACAAGGTATCTTTAGAATATTGAGCACTTTTCCACATTGAAAGGAGCCGCTGGGAACTTTTAAAGTACTTCAAATTCAGCTGAAGAAAAATGGCACCACTGAACATCTAGTCTGAATGATATATACTGGAGAAGGGACAAAGGGACATAGTGGAGAATCTGCTTGGCTTGGAGACGATTCCAGGTTCAATTCCCAAGGGCATCTCCAGGTAAGGGCTGACAATGTCCCATCTGAAACTCTGCAAAGCCACTGCCAGTCAAAGGAGACAACTCTGAGATAGATGGACCGATGGTCTGATTCTGTATAAGGCAGCCTCCTATGTTCTTATGTAAACAAACAATGGCCATTTCACACCTTCAGCTGAGGAAAAGCCATGGTCCACAGGAAGCTACATACTGTCATGTTTCCTTGTATAATACCTCCAATCCAGCATTGACCACAGTCACACTTTTAGGTGCATGCTGGCAATGTCTAAGGTTGTACACTTTTTAAAAAATGCAACGCTCTAGGAATTATTGCAAAATGGAAAATTTGGTCAACAATAAACAAACACTTCATACTACCCCCATTGCATTAAAGAGCTAGGAATCCATGACTACCATCCATTTGAAGCATTCATCTCAATTCCCAGAAGATGCTCCTGCACTGCTGTGCAACTCAAAAGAGGCGTCCTTAAAATGCTGCCTCCTCATTGGCTGCTTGCAATCTTCTCTTTATGAAAACTTCCCTCCAAGATTTACAGCTCTGCCTATCTGCTCCAGCTTGCTTGGGGAATAAACCTTGGACTCTGGAGCCTAGAACGATTATGTTTGACTGGCATCTTGAAAATAATGGTCTATTGATTTCCCCTATGAGACACATTACTTATCAGTGTATTTGTTTTGGAAAGTTTCTGGTGGCCAGCTCATTTTCTGCAAGCGTGCTTTCCCCATGTGTGGTGATTGGGGAAAGGGGTTTTGCAAGTGCCAGTGCACAGAAGAGCCATGAGCAGAATGAACAGAGAAACAAGAAGAGACATAAAGCTTGAACACAAAACAGTGCACATCAGTGGAAAGGCTATATCACCTACTACAGCTAAGAAAAGACAATTGCTGGGAATTTAAGTTGGACCACAGGCACCATATAACCTGGGGCATGACCCTCCAGAAGATCAACTACAACTCTCATCAGCCCTCTAGCCAGCATGGCCAATGTTCAGGAACTATGAACATCTGGAGAACCACATGTTCCTGAAATAAACCTTTATGAGAATGTGATAATACGTTTACCACATATAGTACTTCCATCAGCTTATTTAACATCTAGTGGTTGAGACACACAATGTAATGGCTGCCCCAGTTAATACAAGTGACCCCATTTAACAAGTTTTCTTTTCTTTTTTTAAGGGAGATTAATTATTTTGTCACTTGTGAACAGCACTTTCAGCTGCAGGAACTGAAAGTTGAAAACAATCATCTTTAGAAATAAAAGCAGGCTTGCATAATTAGGAAACAAGGGCAAATATAGGCCCCATCAGCATTATGCTATGCAAAAGACGCGGGTGGCACTGTGGGTTAAACCACAGAGCCTAGGACTTGCCAATCAGAAGGTCGGCGGTTCGAATCCCCGTGACGGGGTGAGCGTCCGTTGCTCGGTCCCTGCTCCTGCCAACCTAGCAGTTCAAAAGCACATCAAAGTGCAAGGAGATAAATAGGTACTGCTCCGGCAGGAAGGTAAACGGTGTTTCCGTGCGCTGCTCCGGTTCGCCAGAAGCGGCTTACTCATGCTGGCCACATGACCCGGAAGCCGTACACCGGCTCCCTCAGCCAATAAAGCGAGATGAGCGCCACAACCCCAGAGTCGGCCACGACTGGACCTAATGGTCAGGGTTCCCTTTACCTTACAGCATTATGCAGTTAAAGCAGTATTATGCCTCCCCCACCCCGAAGAATCTTGGGAACTGTAGTTTATTAAGGGTGCTGAAAGTTAAGAGGCACCAATTCCCCTCCCATAGCTACAATTCTCAGTGTGGCTTAACAGTCAATTCCACTTCCCAAGGAATTCCAAAAATTGTAGGTCTGTAAGAGGGATTTCCTGAAAAATTGCAAGGTCACTTTATCACTGTTATATCAATTGATTTAAAGTAACCAAAACTGAACAGTGCTACAACCACACATTACTGATAAAAAATACTGTACAGCAGGAGTTCAAGCCACCAAGTTAACACAGGTTTTTTTAAAAAGCCATACATTTTAACACCAGGTTTAAATGAATGCAACGTTACACTTGTCTTCCCTCTTCCACTCCTGCTCATCAAAATTAGCGTGGCCACCTGCCTATTTTTATTCAAATGTCCAATACTATGGAACCAAGCAATTCAATATTTGCAGGGAGGGGGGGCTTTAAAGCTATCAATGTGTCAAATGCAAGCTACAGAGTTTTCAGAATTAGCTAGCCAAGTTGGTTTGCTTCTTTTTTTTCTTAAAAAAAGCCCCCCAAACTCAGTGCTTTAATCTGTAGACATTGAACAATAATATTTTCCCTCCCTTTCACTGGACCTCAAGTTCTATTTTTAAATCTATTTTGCAATATGAGCAATTGCAATATCCATCTAGAGTAACCAATATGAAGGGGGGAGACTGCTCTACTCTGCCAGTCAAAAGGCAATTTCTACCCGACCACTGTCATTTTGCAAGTTTTGAACATTGTATTCTGGCAGACTTTGCTTGTTAACAGCTTATCCATTTGTGATCCCAACACTTTTCCAGTTTATTCCATGTATTCTTGCCATTGACAACATTTTACCTGAATGCACACATTTCTCAACGTATTTTCAGAAGCATTTCATCTTGAAATACACATTTTTAAAGAACACATATTGTTATTGATTTTTTGAGTGGAGAACTTTATTGCAAAATTCAGAGAAGTGTGAAATCCAAAGGATAACCACATTCCAGTATGTACATTAGCCCAGGAAGCGCAGATCAGATCTGTTCACATTGGAATTCAAAGAAATTGAATTTCTCAAGCATCGATTAGAACTTCACTCTCCCAAGGAATTGTACACAGCCTTAGCTGACATGCTTGTTCCTGTGGTGTAGGGTATCAAATAATAATGGTGTAAATGCACTGAATAAAGAAGAATGAGTGCTGAATTTGGTTTTTTAAAAGAAACATTTTTGATAAGGGATAGAAGGAACTGCTAGCCTGGCCCATCAAAGGATCACCAGAATCAGGGTTTAATGCAGAATTTATGTCCACACACATTTTATTATTGCTGGAATCGTAAGAGGGCAATTGAGCCTCCTCTAAACAGATGCAATTTTATCTCCTCCCAACACAGTCCTGCTGTGCTTGTACTATTCCTTGATGCTTCCCATGTTTCTACCATGCACTAGCAATCCCGCAAACATTTGACTTGCCACTAACAAGCAGTAGATATTGTACTACTAAGTAAGCAAACTTGAAGCAGTAGTACAGATGTGCCAGAACACCCACAATTCATTTAAAAATGTTTAATATCACTTTCCTTGATGAAGACTTTCATACTGTTAAAAGAGGACCTCATCATTAAGAAGACATTCACAAATTAGGTTATTTCAAATTAACCATACAAATGGTAGAAGAACTAGAAGTTTGCTTTTTAAATATAGATAGGTAGTCTGGCTCACCCACCAACACATGGAAAAGTTCACTCTGATTAACCAGACAGGAGGAGAGAGATTTTTTCTCCTCTCCCCCACCCTCCTTATCATCATTTATTTATTTTTAGCAGGATGAAACTTTTTGCGGCAAGCCATCATTCTCCAAGCAAATACCAAACTTCATCTCAACACCCTGGAAACCTTATGGACAAATGCATCCAAACACAGACTCTTCCCAGCATTTCTTCGCAACATGTGAACAGATCATATTATCAATTCAGTTTCCAGCACAGCAAATCATGGCACACCTAACCCCGTCTCAGAAGAGGGGCCATGGTTTGCAGCCAGTGTCAGACATGCTCGGAGTAGACCCGCTGAAACTAAGAGCATGACTGAGTTCCATCAGGTTCAATGGGTCCAACTCTAAGAAGAACTGAGTTGGAAACAACCCCATATCCTCCCGCCCCCTGTATTCAGTGACAGGCGCAGCAGTTTTCCATGGAGAAAAGGCGCACAAATCAAAGCTCTTACAACGCTTCTCCCAAAAGAGCTTTCGTAAAGCAATCTGAAGGAGAACGGGGGAAATGGAAGCCGCAACAGGGCCCTGTCTCGTTTGGAACAATCAGCTCAAAACAAAGTCCATTCAGCTTGTTTCCTAAGCTTGCGGCATCGTGCTGGTTTAACGGTTATTAGGACAGCCACTTACATTCAGCATCCATCGTTTTCACTATGAGGGCTCCACAGGGAGAACAGCTACACAGTTATAAGGCAAGGCACTCAGATCAAAACTCTTTACTCAGGAAACTAAAGATTATTATTTTTTTAAAAAAAACAAAAACACCACGGTCAGAACAGCATGATCTGATTTGTTCATACATCATCAGACAATAATTTGTGTCCTTGCAAGGTCATTGCTCCAGCACAGACCCCACCTCCCCAACAACAACTGCCCGGCATCCCAACATCAGCATCACCTTTATGAAGCATCTCTCTGGTGTTTTTCAGTGGCGTTCTGTCCTACACCACCAGTTTGTTGACACTGCTTCTGACTTGCAGAAACAGCAAAGGCAGGGAGAAGATAATCAGTGGATATACGCTGGTGATGCAAAACTTTACGGCGTTTACCTCGAACCACAAGAGGCACTAACAGAACGAAGGGACATTTTCTTTCCATTTGACTTGAAAATATTCTATGTCATTTATACAAATAACTGCTAAATACAAAAAAAGGAAGTAAAATTTAAAAAATAGCTTTCTCCCCGCCCCGTTAGAGTTCATATGCACATTACGTATATAGCTTAGAAGAAGAAAAATGCACTTTCCCATAATACGATCCATGGCCTACCATTCTGCCATTTTCTTCTGCTGCTCCCCTTTCTCTAGGATCAATAAGGTACTAGATGTGGCATCATTTGGATAATGGCTTTATATTTAAGAGAGAGATATATATCTATATAATATTTATATATAAATGTTCCGCGTATTTTGAACTGAAAAATATATGTTACAGACCACACGCATATAAAATGTGAAACACTTTTAAAAAGGCGATTAAAGTGTATAACTGATAATACGGGGGGGGGACAGGGAGAAATGGTATAACCATTTCAGGTTATACCGTGTTAAACCTCCCCCCCCCAAAAAAAATACGTCTGTAAGAAATAAATGATAGAAGCCACATAAAAATAAGCTTTTAACTATTCGCACTTTCCTCAGTATTTTAAAACTGTTAAGTGCACTAATAATAAATAAAAGTTCGCAGTTTCCATATAAACAATAATTCCTAGCGTCCAGCATTATTGTAAACGGTACACATATGTAAAATGCAGCTTTAAAATAATAATAAAAAGAGTCAGTTACAAGTTCAATTTCCCAAATTGGATTTCCCATTATTATTATTTTTTTTAAAAAAAACATATCAATGAGTATAGGGCCAATCATATTTTTGGCAAGTCATGTCTTTCAAATTAAACTGTAACAGTGCAAGTAAGGAATGCAAGGAATCCCTAGTGCAATAAAGAGAAGCGCAGGCAATATTGCTGATTCGAATTGACCACTTCCACTTGGGAGCGAGACAAGGAGACACTTTCCTTTTTCTTTCTTTTCATGAAATAATAAAAAAAAAGCCATGGTTTTAATGCCCCAGTTTTGTCTTAGGACTTCTCTTCTTTCCTTCCTTCCTTCCATAGGCCACCATAGATTCAGCATTAAGTCTTTACAGATTGGCCATTTGTAAAATACCACGGACAGTCACCGATTAAGGCTCACATGGGTCTATTTCCTTTTCAATGGCTGGTTAGGTAAACAACTCTGCCTCTGTTTGAAGCCACTTGTGGCCGGATCCTAGAGTTCATCAAGCCATTCTTCCATGCTGGACACAAGCCATGATGTCCTGTCAGCATCAGCTGTTGGTTATCAACAGTCAGCTTTGAGCTTATCTAAGGAATTGTCGATTTTGGTCAAAGTCTTTTTAATACGCAGCGCTGTTAATCTGGCTGATGGATTGTGGTACCAGCATTCTTTCATCAACTTGGCAAGGGAAGTTAACGTCTGAAAAGGAAAGGTAGATGGGTGTTCAGATCAGATCAAGTTTTGAAACACTGTCCATGCAAATCTCAGTAGACTTCAAGAATCTATATAAGATCATTTCAGACACCACACCAAGCTGTAGTCCAAAGGTGGGGAACAACCAGTCCTGGGTCATTCTTGGCCTGCCAAGGGGTCCAAATGAACATGCAAAGCAGTTTTCTGCAAACCATACCCACCAACCAGGTGACGTCACTGATGATGTCAGCTGATGGGCTAGAGGGCATGATTAATCTTGCATAGCTGGAAATGCCTGTTCCCAGCAGGAAATAGGCTCTTACAGGCAAGGCGGCAAGACTCAACCCCAGGGCATAGGCAAACTCTGGCCCTCCAGATGTTTGGGACTACAATTCCCATCATCCCTGACCACTGGTCCTGTTAGCTAGGGATGATGGGAATTGTAGTCCCAAGCATCTGGAGGACCGGAGTTTGCTTATGCCTGCTCAACCCCCTACTCATGACAAATAGGGGTTAAATTCAGCTCAGGTGTGTGCAGTCAAAGAAAGGGGTGAAAGAAAGGGGAATCTTTGCTCCTTCATTCCCCTGCCACTGCTGTAGCAGGGAAGGGGAGAGGGGAGGCAAAGCTTTGAGCAGTAGGTGAGACAGCCCACCTGTCATTCTTGTGTCATACTGACATTGTCTGAGTGGCATATGAGCACTCCCACACACCTGTCAAACATCACCTACAAGGCCAAAAAGGTTCCCCCCATCCCTTCTACAGCCATTGAAGCTTAACAATGATTTGGCATCACTGTTACGTAGAGTTAGCCCCCACCCCACCCTGAGAAAAATAATAGCTGTTCTCAGGGCAAGGATTAATTTCTGTGACCATGCACCCCTTGTCCCTTAAGCCTTGTCCCTTAAGAGTATACCCATTCTTAAGGACACATACATTGCCTTTTAGGAATACACAAATGTTCTTCAACCTTGAGTCCTTAGATGTTACTGGACTACAACTGCCATCATGCCTGACCTCTGGCTAAACTGGCTGGAGATGATGGGAGTTGTAGCCCAATCACATATGGATCCCCAAGGTTTAGGAACACAATAGCAGACGTTGTTTTGTTTTTTAAAAGATGATCTATAAGAAATATGGCAGGATGTGATGGGCTGGGCACTTACAGGATCTGAAAACCATCTGTTGGGAATGTTTGGCCTCTGCTGATCCACACAGACCACTTTTCTCATGTCTTCAAAGCTGGGGTCATTAGGCACTACGTCATAAAATGGAGGTTTGTAGTCTTCGACAATACCTACGGCCAAAACACAACATAGATCCTGTAGTTGCATCGATACGTTTCAGAATCTTCATTAGCAAGACAAAGTTCAGTGCATTATTACATAGCGTGGAACCTTAGCCAAAGCTAAGTCCTTGTGACATCTCACCGATATTATGAAATGAATTTCTAATAGCACAATACAATCAAGACATTAATCAGCCAGTTCTCCCTGTGGGTTAGAATGCAGTTCCTTACTCTGCAAAGAAAAACATATGTACAGAAGGCAAATACAGTCACAAACAAGGCTGAAGCATCTTGGTAAATAATCTAGAGACAGAGGGGAGGGGGGGGGAGAAAGAACAGAAGAACTCAAGATTCCAGTACAGAACACATATGCTCCTAAATCCACAACACAGGGCCTGTGGAGAATCAGAATGGGATGGGGCAGTCATTTAGAAAACAATAGAATGAACCCCAATTCTATGCCAGGCATCAGGCGTCCCTAAAAACCTGTTTAAAACCATCTTCCAAGTATCAAGATGAGTTTCATTGGTATGCTGGCAGCAAATACGAGATTTATTTTGCACTGTGTGATTTAACCATAAAATTAAACCAGGGTATCTTGGATATTACTTGGGAAACAGAAATAAAATGCCTACCTACAGTATTCCATTTTAAAGGCACCTTAGCCATTTTGAACCTCCTATGAGTAAGTCATTACTATTAAGGAAAGGGGAAAAAAATCCAGGAAGGAATTCAGAAATGTTCAGAAATGGCCCTCTGAGTGATATTTTGCTCCATCTACATTTAAGAAAACAGGCTAGACATGCAGACAGACAGACAGACAGACTTTTAAAAAAAATACTACTTTGTTTATTTGCTTCCTGGGATCCTTTGAAAGAAAGGACAGGGGGGAAAATCAGTAACAACAGAGAAGAAATTAGCACATCGGATCATTTATGTCACTGCCTTTCAAAGCTTAATGACTCATTATATACTCTATATTGACCACTATTTGTTAACACAGTTCAGCAATGATAACAATTTGTGCACGTGTTAGGATTTCTTTTGTCTGTTTATAACTTGAACCTGAAAGTTTTTGCCACTGAAAGAACATTCATTCGTATCTGGGGAATTTCCCAATAAAACCTGGACATCTGGCAAATCTAGACTCATAAGGTACTACCTGAGAATCAGAAAAAGTAGTAGAAGGAATGCTGATAAATATGATGATTTATATGCTGCCCGTCTGACTGAGTTGCACCAGCCAATCTGTGCAACTCCCAACAGAATATTAAAAACACAATAAAACATCAAATATTAAAAACATCAAACATTTAAAATTTCCCTGAACAGGTTAATGATGTTCTTGCCCACCAAGACAACAAAATGACCTTCATCACACCCATAACATCAGATGCTGCTGTAAATACACTTGACACTAATGCATAGAAATTTTCTTTTATGGTTAACCAAGTCTGCATTAATTCCTTCTAAATGCCTCCTCCTTCGCCAGCCTTTTGTATCTATTGCCTTACTGAAGAGTCCTTTGGGGACAATGGCTCATCTATCATTTTTGACAAGTCCACAGGATAGGATAGGCAATACATGTAAATAAAATACCCAAGAGTAGGGACCTGGCAAGAGCTGGTGGTGACCCCTGGTGTCCCCACCGGCAACTCCACCCAGCATTGCAGTGCACATACAACATGAGTCACGTTTCTGCCAGGTCAGTGAGGCCACATGTATCTATGCCAACACTCATATTCAGCTGCCAGCTGCACTAAGGCACAAGATTCATGGCATTTCTCTTTCCTTTTCACCAACTTCCCTTGGCCCTTAAGTTCACCTATGTATGCCTAATCCTCGGCCAAGGGAAGCTCTCTTCCTGGTTGTGACTTGTTGTTAATAATAATAATAATAATAATAATAATAATATCCCACCAATCTATCTGGGTTGCAACACTTCTGATAGAAAATTATAGAAATCTAGAAGGTACTCTCTTTAAAGCCTAGAGGTGATGTTCAGAAATTATTTCTGCTTTTAATTTAGCTCATACAAATCCTTACGTATTTATTTTAACTTTGATTGGCCACACATTAATCCCATTCTTGTGCATTCATGCTGGCATCTAAACTAATCTGCTTCTAGCTGTCCTTCCTTTCTCCTGATCAGAAAGACCTCCTAGCAGTGGTATTTTACCAGAGGGAGAAGAGGTACCCCTTTGTAAAGATGAGAAAGTATGTCTGATTTTGCTAGTACGAGTGCTGACGACTGCTGGACAGATCACCGATTAATACGTTCCACAATGACTATCAAGATTATACCTCAATGCAGGCTTCAAGGAAGGAAACCAAGGCACAAAATGAACACTCAAACCCTTCAAGATCCTATTAAGTGGGATTGCTTCCAAATGACTCTTAAGGACCATCTATCTGCTTTCGGAGTTCCCTGACAACCTTGAGGAACAGTGGACCAAGCTAAGAACATCCATTATTGCAGCCTGTGAACAAACTATTGGATACCAAACCAAGAAACACCAGGACTGGTTTGATGAGAATGACAGCATTATTGACAAGAAAAGGAAGGCCTTTCAGATCTGGCAAAGATATAGAAACTGTGCCACTAAGAATAAAACTTATGCCAGCGCTAAGGCTGAGGTTCAAAGAAGAACCAGAGAACTAAAGAACACTTGGAAGATAAAAAAAGCTCAAGTAATCCAGCATTTAGCCGACACTCATGATGTAGTTTCTTTAAAGCCACAATGACCATCTATGGGACAATAAATCATGGCATATGCCTCCTATGCTCAACAGATGGTACCACACTTCTAAATGATAATGAAGCTATTGCACTGCGCTGGAAAGAACATTACCATCATCTCCTTAACCACAACTCCCCTGTAGCTGCTGAGGTCCCCTCACAAATTCCACAAAAACAAATTGGAGATGAGCTTGCAGTTTCTCCAAATCTGGGAGAGTTGTGTACAGCTATTAACCAAATGAGAAACAACAAAGCCAGCGGATCTGATGGGATACCTCAAAGTGGGCAAAACTGAACTTACACAACAATTTCACAAGGTCATCAAAAAAAATGGGAGAGAGGAGATCCCAGCAGACTTTTTTGTTGTTGTTGTTTAGTCATTTAGTCGTGTCCGACTCTTTGTGACCCCATGGACAGAGCACGCCAGGCACTCCTGTCTTCCACTGCCTCCCGCAGTTTGGTCAGACTCATGTTTGTAGCTTCGAGAACACTGTCCAACCATCTCGTCCTCTGTCATCCCCTTCTCCTTGTGCCCTCCATCTTTCCCAACATCAGGGTCTTTTCCAGGGAGTCTTCTCTTCTCATGAGGTGGCCAAAGTACTGGAGCCTCAGCTTCATGATCTGTCCTTCTAGTGAGCACTCAGGGCTGATTTCCTTAAGAATGGATGCGTTTGATCTTCTTGCACAGCAGACTTTAGAGATGCCAAAATAATCACTCTCTCTATAGCCTTCAACACTGTAAATCATAATGACCTGTGGACTGTCCTTCTGAAAATCGGCTGCCCAGATAAAGTTGTGAACATCATTCGGCTCCTCCATGATAACATGGCAGCAACAGTCGTAGATAACAACGGCTCTCAAAGTGGACCAGTCGCAGTGGGATCAGGCATTAAACAGGGTTGTGTTATTGCCCCAACTCTATTTATCATTTTTATCATTTTTATCATCATGATCCTACACTTTGTTGAAGGGAAACTCCCCACGGGAATAGAAATCATATATCGAACAGATGGAAAGCTCTTTAATCTGAGTAGGCTGAAAGCAAAGAGTAAGGTTACCGTAACTTCCGTCATAGAGCTTCAGTATGCTGATGGCAACGTAGTGTGTGCACACTCAGACAATGATCTCCAAGCCATCCTAAATATCTACGCAGAAGCCAAGGAAAAGCTTGGCCTTTCGCTCAACATCCAAAAAACCAAAGTGCTGTACCAACAAGCACAAAACAACCCCTCTGCAGCACCACAAATCCATCTCAATGGTGTAATGTTGGAAAGTGTCAATCACTTCTCCTACCTGGGCAGTTATCTTTCCACAAGGACCAACACTGATGCCAAAAGCCAGTATTGCCTGAGCTCAACAAGTGCAGCTTTCTCCCGAATGAAGTGCAGTGTGTTTGAGGACTGGGACATTCATAGGGAAACCAAAATGCTTGTTTACAAAGCTATTGTATTATCTACCTTACTACCGTATTTTTCGCACCATAGGACGCACCGGACAATAGGACGCACTTTGTTTTAGAGGGGGGAGAACAAGAAAAAAAAATTCTCCCCCTCTTGTTTTCCCGCTCTAAAACAAGGTGCCGTTTAAGGTGCGTTCAGGCGGCTACCTTGGAAGCCTGGAGAGCGAGAGGGGTCAGTGCACACCGACCCCTCTCGCTCTCCAGGCTTCAGGTTCCTTCGACCTGCTCTTTGGGGCTGGCGGGGAAGCCCACCACCAGCCCCAAAGAGCAGGTCAGGGAGCAGCGGAAGGCGCAGCGGAGAGGCTCCTGCCATAGCCGCGGGTCCCCTCTCCACCCGGGGGAGGGTCGCGGGGCTATGGCTTCTTAGCCCCGCGCGCTCTCCCGGCTGGAGAGGTGACGCGCAGCTGTAGATGCTCCTGCCATAGCCGCGCGTCACCTCTCCAGCCGGGAGAGGGTCGCGGGGCTATGGCGTCTTCGCTCCATAGGACACACACACATTTCCCCTTCATTTTTGAAGGGAAAAAAGTGTGTCCTATAGAGCGAAAAATACGGTATATGCTTGTGAAACATGGACCACTTATAAACGCCATCTCCAACTCCTCGAAATATTCCATCTCTGAAAATTTTTATATATCACTTGGGAAGACAGGCGAACTAATGCCAGTGTACTGGAAGAAGCAAAGTTCACCAGTGTAGAATCAATTATTCTTCAACATCAACTTCGTTGGACTGATCGCATTGTTCAGGTGCCTACTATATTCTGAACTTAAAAATGGAAAGCGTAATGCTGGTGGTCAACAAAAGAGGTTTAAAGACTCTCTTAAGGCAAATTTTTTAAAATGTAGTATAAAAGGTAAAGGGACCCCTGACCATTAGGTCCAGTCATGACCGACTCTGGGATTGTGGCACTCATCTCACTTTATTGGCTGAGGGAGCTGACGTACAGCTTCCAGGTCATGTGGCCAGCATGACTAAGCCGCTTCTGGCGAACCAGTGCAGCACACGGAGACACCGTTTACCTTCCCGCCAGAACGGTACCTATTTATCTACTTGCACTTTGACGTGCTTTCGAACTGCTAGGTTGGCAGGAGCAGGGACCAGACAATGGGAGCTCAGCCCGTTGCGGGGATTCGAACCGCCGACCTTCTGATCGGCAAGTCCAAGGCGCTGTGGTTTAACCCACAGCACCACACACGTCCCAAATGTTGTATAAACACTGGCAACTGGGAAACGCTGGCCTGCGAGCACTCCAGTTGGAGGATAGCCTTTACCAAAGGTGTCATGGGCTTTGAAGATGCTCAAAACCTATGTCCCCACTGTGGAGGGACGTGTTGATCCAGAACTGGCCTCCACAGTCACTTACGGACTCAATGTGAAGACTGTGTTCATGGAAGACAATCTTACTCAGTTATGAGTGATCACTAAAGAAGAAGGAAGTGGCTTGGCAGGCAAATAAGGCCCATCAGAGATGTGTTCACTATCCCCGCTAACAGAGACTTGCATTTATACAACTGAATATTCCTATGCATATTTTAAACTTTCTTCTTGACTGTATTACAGTAGAAGAAGAAGCTGTTTGGCTTTTACTCCAATGTGTTTTTTTGGTGTGTGTTTTTAAAAAATACAATTAACAGTGCCAACGTTTTAAGGCTCCTATGGGGCTGCTTCTGGCACCAGACCTACTGAAGAAAGTCACCATAACCTCTGATCTACACTGTCATAATACTGTCATAATGAACCCTGCCATAGTTTCCTTCTATTCAACCAGAATAAAATGGATTATTTTTAAAGAGAAATGTCTTTGGACTAATGAAATATAATCCATAAAACCAGTAATAAACAGAGAACTTAAGGCTCAACAATTCTAACCTATGTTGCAGGAGATGAGAGGAAATGCACCCTCATCTCATCCTCAATTCTAGTCCTGGTATGCTTAGACAGCGAGGAGGAACAAGAGCAGCTGACCCCTGGACTGAAAAAAGGCAGCAGCAGTCTGAGTGCCTCCTCTGAAGTTTCCAAAATCATGGTGGAAATTCTGGTTTGGTTTTGCTTTCAGTAGATCATTGTCTGTCACTTCCTTCCTGTCTGCACCTCCAAGATGCCACAAATTGTTTCAGGGGCTCTTGATTCATTTGGATCCAAGGCACACCCTAACTCAGGCATAGGCAAACTCGGCCCTCCAGATGTTTTGGGACTACAACTCCCATCATACCTAGCTAACAGGACCAGCGGTCAGGGATGATGGGAGTTGTAGTCCCAAAACATTTGGAGGGCTGAGTTTGCCTATGCCTGCCCTAACTTCACCATATTTCTGAGAAATCACTCGGAAACGTGAGAGTTCTCTATAGATAAACAATAGGTGATGGGAGTGTTTCTTTGATTTTGTTAGGCACAAAAGAAGATTGGTCATTTAACGGTTCTAGGAGGACCCATACCAGTGTTAAATTCCCCCTTCTTCATTTCACACAACAGGTTCTGGCAGCAACTTCCAGGTGAATTTTGTCCTAGGTTCCACTCAATCCCTACTCACTCACCTTTTCATGGGGGAAAAAATGAACCTTTTAAAGCCAAGGTGCTATTATGTAACATGCAAAATGATGACTGGCTATACGTGACTACCATCAACCTTATGGCTACTTTTCTGGAAGCAAAGTATGGTTGTCTGTGTATGCTCTGAAGGTCACCACCTTTCTGAAGATATGTAAGTCAGGTCAGCGCCTGGATAGGAGACCACTTGGGAAACAAATGTATGTTCCATAACAGAAGAAAGGTGGGATATAAATGTAAGAATAAGCAATGGCCATCCAAGGTTGACAGGTACTGTGTCAGCCACATATTCTCCATGTGTTCCTCCAAGCTGATCCAGACTTGCTGCACTGAGGCTTCCATTACCTCTTGAATGTCATGAGCTGCCCTGTATACCTTTGTTCTCCTTTCTCCATAAAAGCTGGGAAAGTGTTAGGTGAAAACAGGTACCACCTTCAATGACAAATGGGGCTGCCTTGAGTTGGGGACCCTGCTGTTTTTGAATGGCAGAGGAAAATCCGCGTGGAAAACTACTGGTGCGCTTGTACAGAAACAGGACGGAACGTGAAACCAAGCAACTGAATGCGAAACAAACTGTACTGATTCCTGCATGTCTTGTAATATTTCCAAAGAAATGGGGAGAAACTGACCTATCACACACTTAAAAAACAGTGACTCTTGTTAGGAGAGAGAACGATCCCGTTTTCAGCTCCACAATACTTGGCTGCTACTTTAAAATAGGGGGAGGAAACTCACTCCTGCGGGCCAAATCCAGCCCTCCTAGCCTCTCTGATCAGCCCTCAAAACTCAGCCCAAGCCATTCCCTTTCCCAAGGTCACTCTACCCACAAGATTTGCTTGGTGCTGTCCTTGAGTGCTTTTGTCCCTGGCAAGAACTGTGATCATGGCTCTTTCTTGCCTTGATAGAGGATGGAGAGGTGCAAGTGAGTGCAAGTGTAGAGAGGCCTCTGACTTTTCTGTAGCTGGAATGTGCCCGGCAGTACAAAGGAAGAGTCACAGCCATTGCCTCTGGCATGTGGCTCCCATACAACCCTCCAAGGGTCCCAAGAGCTAAGAAAGGTGATCACTGAAAGCTTATTACAGTGGTTCCTCGGGTTAAGTACTTAATTCATTTCGGAGGTCCATTCTTAACCTGAAGCACCACTTTAGCTAATGGGTCCTCCTGCTGCTGCCGCGCTGCCGGAGCACGATTTCTGCTCTCATCCTGAAGCAAAGTTCTTAACCCGAAGCACTATTTCTGGGTTAGCAGAGTCTGTAACCTGAAGCGTATGTAACCTGAAGTGTATGTAACCCGAGGTACCACTGTACACATATCCGCAAAACAAAAAGTCTGCCAATAAGCATGTAAGAATGATCCACGTACTACTCTTGAACTTTCCAATAGGGTGCTGCTCCAATTGGTCTTATAAATGTATTCTCACTTCTACAGATGCCTTAGGATTCAGTACACTGTTCCTTTAAACAGCTTTACTTCAAAGAACTCCTATACCATATAGATAATTGAGATTGTACATACACATTGTTTAAAATGCCACCGACCCAGTACTAGTGCTGATGCTACCAAAAAAAAAGAAAAGAAAAAAAGCTGATGCTACCAAAAAGAAAAGAAAAGAGGAGTCTTCTCCATGGCAAATCCATCTCCATTATTCGGCTGTCAGGCCATGCCTCAGTAGGAGGGCAAAGCAATCCTCCTTAAGCCATGTTGCTGTAAGGATGGATTCCCACAGGCATGGGATTCCATGAAACCCCAAGGGGATTTCCTTGCCTTACTTAGAACTTTAGCAGTGAAATATTAATTATCAAGGAAAGTGTTTATTGACTGTGGCTGGTGAGAGATATAGTCCAAAACATCTGGAGGAGTACCAGCTTTTCCCTTTACAGAACTTGCTGGCCCCCTCCTGATCATTTAAGGTACACCTCAATGTGGTCCCATGTTTAAGTTTCAGCTATATAAACTGAATGAATGCTTAAACAGAGATATTGTAAAGGCAAGTGAGGTAATCTGAACAGCTTTGACCCACTGTCATAAGCTGAGAAATCTGTTGTGATCTATGAGTTTCTTTATACCACCTCACCTTTCTTTTTTAATGCAGTTGGCGGCGAACATAATAAAGAACATTGGAATTTGACTTGGAATTCATAACGTACCTACTTTCACACACACACCCACACACCCAATTTGAAATAGTATATGGGGGGGGGGGCAAGAGGCATGTCAAGAAAAGTGGCAGCCGAAATCCTGCAAAGTAGGTAGGAGTTCAGTGCAATTTAAGGCGCAAATACCAGGAGAGAAAACTTGAAACCACTTACTACTAAGGAAGATACAAGAGAAGCTTTTCACCTTTAGTGGCCAGTGGATTAATGTAACTAATTCTAGAAAGGAACAGATACTCACCATTGCTGACCATACGCCTGGCTACTTCCCAAAGGACCAGTCCAAATGCCCAGATATCAACCCGTTTGTAAGAGTCAAAGCAGTCCACTTGGATGGTTTCATCTAAGACTTCTGGTGCCATGTAGCGCTTGGTACCCACACGGGGGTTGTTTCCTACATCCAACTGATTGGTGCTTTGAGAGTGCATGACTGCGAGGCCTGTAATTGCAAACAGAAGAGCTGTGAAGTCAGTGTTGGTCTTTCAGCTCGAGGGGAGCCCACCTGTTACCATTGCCATATATTTTCCAGCTACAAAGTGCCACCGTGTCATGGTTTTGAACCTGAGATCTCCTGCATGGTAAGCACTGGGATATGGCCCTTTCCCCTATACCTACTCTAAGAGATTAGGAAGACCTTTGTAAAGCCACTCTAAAAAACAACACCCAGTCGTAGCAAATCTACACAGTGACAACACAACACCACAAGACTAGCATTTATGTGGTGGGAATATATTGTGGTCCAGCAGACTGAGTGCTACATAGCCATTATCCTGTTCACACATCTGCTGTAAGGGGGGTGGGTGGGGGGGGGATAAATCTTAACTCCCAAGGTTCAAGGTGAGCTTTTGAGGAAATCGATGGAACCAAAAGTGCGGCGAAGGCTAACACAAGGACAACTGTGACCGTAAAAATGGGTCCAATCAAACACCTTCCAAAAATAAACCACAGACACATATGGTCACCAGAAAGTAAACACCTTAAAAAAATACAGTATGCAAACTACTCTACACAGTTTGCATTCTGCTCCAACCACCAAATAGCTTAAAACTGACATATATTACACTGCAGCCTTCAAATAGCAGCAATTTTAAGTAAGTAAACTAACAACCACCGAAAAACGAAAGACAGTTTACAGTAAAGCAAAGGCCAGACAAACAGACCTTTCATGAGCCCATCATCAATATAAATATTGCTGGGCAACATGGAGCACTTAAAAGTGAAAACATCTTTACTTTGTATCTCAGATATGCCAATTAAATCTTTGTTGAAGGGGACAACTGTATACAGTAACTAAGCAGCCCCATATAAATTTAAAGGGATTGCAAGATCCATGCACACAAAGTTTTCAGAAAGATACAATCCTGCATGGGACAGGCAATCCAACTGACAGGCTATCATTTGGGCAGTGCAAATAATATATCACACATAAGGTCTCTTGGCTTATTCATAGTTTAAAGTGTCCTGTCTAGATGTGGTGAATACGGGGATTGCCCTTCTGACAGGAGACATAAGAGATTCTATGCTGCATTTTCTTTTTTAATATTAAAACATTTATTCAAAAGTTACAATGCAGCTTTGTCCACTGCCATAGTATCACAGAATGATCACTCCAATCCTCAGCCCTACATGTGATAGTGCCAGTGCAGATCTGCAGTGCAGATGCTTCTATTACCCACAATCCCCATGGACCTGGGGTGGTTTTGCTCCCATCTAATGAGCAGTGCAGTATGGGAGGGCAAGGCAAGAGTGTGAGCATGACAATCCAAAAGCCAGGTTCATAGGCTCGCCTGCTTCTGCCTTTGAAGTGCCGTAAATCCCTGATGCCTCTATCGCAGAATGGTCAACCCACACTTTAATTCAGCCAATAGGTGGCAGTGTTAAACTGGACCTGGGAGGTGTTGTGAAATATCAACCCCAACAAGACAGAACATCATCCCAAATGATAACAGGCTGGGCTCAAAGGAAGCTATAATCACAGTTGGACCCTTGTCCCAGAGCAGTACCAAGACTCTAAGCTGAAACCTAGAATCACACCTAAGGGCAATGGCAGCGGTAGCAAATACTCTAGCTGCTGTCTTGAAGACAAAAAAAGCCTTCATTCATGATGCCATTGGTGGTTCTTCCCCTCCTGATTTTTTATTTACTCCAACACATGTGTCTCTAAAACCACGTATGAAGGATATCCTTTACAGGGCTGTACAAACAACATCAGAAAATAGTATGCAAGATTCCACAGACAGGAGTGAGACTTAAAAATGATGTATGCCCTCTAGTGGATGAAGAACAATCCCCCCCAAAAAAATAAACTCTTAAATCCAAATAAAGAAAGGTCCTCAAGAATTGCATCGCGTTATTTGAGGACTGTATATTTAAAATGCAAAAAAGAAGGAGAAGGGAAAACCACTCACCTAGGTCTGCTATGCAACACTGTCCGTTTTTCTTAACCAGGATATTTTTACTCTTCAAGTCTCGGTGAGCAATGGCAGGTTTCCCTTGGGTCCCAAATATCTCTATGTGCAAATGTGCAAGGCCACTAGCTATAGACAAGACTATCCGCAGGCAGCTCACTGTGTCGAGCGTCGTGAGTTGCAGATAGTCATACAAAGAGCCCATCTCATGGTAGTGGGTGATTAGCCACAACTGAGTGCTGGAATTCCGAGAGGTCATATCTGAGGCAATAAACCCTGAAAGAAGGAGAAGAAACACCAGGTGAAAAGATCAGGGGTTTCCTTTCCCTCACTATCTAAACTCTCTCCAGAATTAGGCCATGCAAGATGCAGGCTGCAGTGTCGTTTTCCTCAGTGTTAAATTCTAGCTTTCAAACCCACAATCTTAGCTTGACTGAAAAGGCGTAACAGTCTACAAAATGGCAACGCACATACAAGTCCATTACTGTCAATACAGTGGTACCTCGGGTTACATAAGCTTCAGGTTACATATGCTTCAGGTTACAGACTCTGCTAACCCAGAAATAGTGCTTCAGGTTAAGAACTTTGCTTCAGGATGAGAACAGAAATCGTGTTCCGGCAGCATGGCAGCGGCAGAAGGCCCCATTAGCTAAAGTGCTGCTTCAGGTTAAGAACAGTTTCAGGTTAAGTACGGACCTCTGGATCGAATTAAATACTTAACCCGAGGTACCACTGTACTCTGAACCCATGCCTACCAAGGCCTCAGCTGCACTACGCATTTAAAGCAGGATCGCAGCTTCCTCCAAAGAATCCTGGGAGCTGTAGTTTGTTAAGGGTGCCATGAGTTGTTACTCCCCCTCACGGAACTACAGTCCTCAGAGTGGCTTAACAGTCAATCCTGCGTCCCAGGGAACTCTGAGAATTGTAGCTCTGTGAGGGGAACAGGGGACTCTCAGTTCTCTTAACAAACTACAGCTCCCAGAATTCTCTGGGGGAAAGTATGGCTGATTAAAGTGGTACGCTACTGCTTTAAATGTATGGTCTCTTCTGAATGTATGGTCTCTTCTGTATGTACTCCATGGGGATAGGGAACCTCAGACCCACAGGGGCAAGCCACAAACCACAGCTCCTCTGAAGGACAAACCGCACAACAGCCTCATCCTGTGCTCTCCTCAAGTGGTTTCACCTGCCTGGAATGTGTCTTTAAAATGTGATACTTATTGCTTGCCTGGATGGACAGATACGATGCTAGTATATGTATGCACACATACATGGGGGGCATTTAGAAATTTTTGCATGGGCTGGAATGTACAACATTTAAGAACCGCATCAGTTGCTATGTCTCTGGTCCCAACCAAGCACCAGCATATAGTCCCTAGATGGTTGCCCATGACAGGATGAGGCTGGTGGACTGGAAAATGTTCCCCATCTCTAGCAAATATAGTCTGTTTTTAACAGTCTGCTTCATCTTATCGGCAATGGAAATGTGTACTGAAATGACATAATGCTTAATACATAGGATTACACAGAGGTATACTTAAAAACATTTTTATCATGGTGCACATATGGTATTTGGCCGGTGGGGGAATCCTGCTCATGAGTATGGTTTTGCTAACAGAAAACCGAATGCAAGGATATATTTCTGCAGGAGTCAAGTTTTTCTTGATTAAGGTGAATAAAAACTTAGTTAAAAGGGGATGGAGAAAGCCTTGCACTACAGCGTTCAGCAGACTCAGGGTCCAGGTCTTTTTTAATGCTCCCCACGCCCTTATCTGTATACAAAAGCCATTAAGAAAATATCGCTCACCTAAAATGTTTTCATGTCTCAGCAACACAGTATTGTACAATTCCGTTTCCCTGAACCAGGACTTCTCGTCTCGGGAAGAAAATATCTTTACTGCAACATTTTCTCCTTGCCACTGTCCTCTCCAGACCTCACCGTATCGACCTTTCCCTAGAACAGGCAAACAGATACATGGGATTTGAGCAGCAGTCTTCATTAAGCAAATAGTAGGATGGTTCCAGGCTAGGCCAGAGCAGAGACATGAAACTAAATCAACATTTTAAGGCACTTTAAAAACAAACCGTTCATGGTGCTCAGGCTCCAAGGCAAGAGATTCCAACTTCAGGATGTAGTTGGGTGGAGAGGAAACATAGCAAGGACTTTGGCCAAATATTACCAATAACGGAAGTTTTAAGACCAACTTCAGAGGCACATGGCTCTGAGATCAATTTAGGCCTTTTTCGTGGTGGCCCCTCTTCTGTACAATTTCCTTCCAAGGGCTATATGGCTGACTCCTTTGGTTCAGAGGTTTACAGAAAGTTTTTTTTTTTTTAATACCCACTTGTTTTCCTTGGCTTTTAATGAAATGCTTCATTTTAGAGGCGCTAACTGGGTGTTTTGTTTTGTTTTTCTTACAGGTGTTGATTGTATACAGTACATTTAAACCAGCTGTACTGTTGCAATTTTTATGTTTCTGTGTTTGTTTAACAAAACTGTGCATTTGTTATTAACGGAAGCAGCTTTAGGAAAGCTATAGGCTTGACAGCTAGCTCTGAAACATCTGAAATAAATAAATCCCTGGCTGTACCTCCCATATCTTTCTATTTCAGCAAGCAGGCACCAGCAGTTACTAAAGGCTTGGAGCACTGGGAATGCTGATATCAGTTCCACCAATACCCCGCCATAGGAACTTTGAAGATTCTGAGTCAGGTGCGTGTTAACTGTGTGGCTGCTTTTGGAAGTTGAATCTCATATGCCTTATATTCTTACCATCTGCCCACAGTACTGCCTACCCTCCAGGAGTTTACCAAGTGGAGCTGCCATCCCCACCCACCCCCAGCCCTTGTACTGAAAATAATTCAACAGGTGAGGTCAAAGATTGGAAACTGTGGGCAAATGCATACACAGTACACACTCTACCACTGAGCAGGAGAGACTTGCTAACTGATTTACACATGAAAATAGCGTCGCTTGTTTGCCACGTAGGAAGTAAAAGACATAATAACAGTAATAATGCATTGATGTATGTGGTAAATGAAGGCGACACAGTAGAAGGGAGCAGTACATGAGCTGGACACTGGGGACCCTGGGTTCATCCCAAGCAGACTAAAATAAGCTTAATTCAACACAGTGCCACCTGCTCTCCTTGGCAGCCTCACACGACTGACGCTGGTCTCTCGTTTCTTTACCTCGCCTTTGGCACATGTTCATCAACAACAGGTGTAATCCAGGGTAATGGGACACACGACACCTTTGAGGCTCTTGGCGTTACACAGAAGGGACTTCCTGTCCAAAGATTCCACTTGCGACTCAATACAGACTAGCCGCTTAACCATTTGGCCTCTCTTTGAAACACAGACACACTGTTGCTGTTTTTTACAGTGCAATCCTATACGTCTCTATTCAGAAGTAAACCCTTTTTGAGTTTAATGGGACTTGCTTCCAGGTTGATGTGTACAGGATCGCACCCTCCTCCACAGCATGCACTCATACGTGCACACAACACAAAGGAATCCTCAGGGCCCAGGTAGAATAAGATTACTAACCCACACACTCCAACAGCGTAATCTGCCGAGCCACCGTTCTTTGTACCAGGAAAGGAAGGCCAGAGCCACTTCCGGATGTACAGGTATGGTCCAACAAATCCTGTGTGAAAAAGAAGACCACATATTTGGAACTAGAATTGAAATGGAACAGAAGTTGGCATTCTGCCACCTCCCTCCCTTCAATTCATTTATTGAAGGCATTTTTCTTCCATTTACATTGCACTCAGGGACCTATTTGTCTGCCGTTTGGAAGGCTTAATCCACTCTGCAATGGCCTCTGTACCTGTAAATTGCATCCACTTTGACCCAAAGGGGAGGGGAGGCTATAGCTGTTTTCCTAGTGAATGGAGAGCACGTAGTTTTGTTTGTACAGAGCAGCTTGGAACACAAATTACAGATCAAATGTGAGAGAGCACGGAGTAACTCAGGAAAAAAATTGCAAATTAAAAAATGCACAGAAACAGATACAAGGTGGAGTTACAATATGCTCCCTGGTTTTCTGCACCACAAAAGGGAACTCTTCCTGCTAGGGAACGGTAGGCTAATAATTCCAGACCTTCCAAAACAGTAATCTACACTACTTTGCAATTAGAGTACAGTGGTACCTCAGGTTACATACGCTTCAGGTTACATACGCTTCAGGTTACAGACTCTGCTAACCCAGAAATAGTGCTTCAGGTTAAGAACTTTGCTTCAGGATGAGAACAGAAATCGTGCTCCGGCGGTGCGGCAGCAGCAGGAGGCCCCATTAGCTAAAGTGGTGCTTCAGGTTAAGAACAGTTTCAGGTTAAGTACGGACCTCTGGAACGAATTAAGTTCTTACCCCGAGGTACCACTGTATAGTTGATATATTTTTTTAAAAGACATCCACCATCCAAACCAGTAAGAGCTGAACTCCAGGGTTTACTGAAAACATATACGCAGCCATACATGTGTTGGAAAAAAAAGTACATATAGGTTGTGTGAACACATGCTAGCAAAAGCCCCCTTCAGGCATTGCAATGAAGAGTTCAAGTAACACATGGGCGGGGCATTGGGGAGACAAGGACCCCAATTACCAACTATTAAGAGAGAAAGTGTCTGCAGCAGGGAGTCTTCAGTACAGGTTTTCCTGGGTTCTAAAAAGGCACAAGAAGTATCCATTGGGATAGCTCTGTCGGTACAGCATGAGACTCCCAATCTCAGGGTAGTGGGTTTGAGCCCACACCGGGCAAAACATTCCTGCATTGCGGGGGGGTTGGACTAGATGACCCTCGTGGTCCCTTCCAATTCCACAGTTCCATGATTCTATGAACATGCACAAGATGCAGAAGGTTCTCCAACACAGACCTTTGCCTTCCACATGTTGGAAAGTGATGGGAACTGTGAAGGAGGACGAGGGGAGCAGAGCTTGACACACTCACCCCCTGCTGGCCCCTCCTCCTCCTCAAGTGGGGTTATTCTTCATTGTAATGCAAATCTTCATTGTAATGCCTGAAAGCTTTTGTGACTGGCTTAACGCAGAGATTACTGAAATGTAATCCCCTTCTAACTGTCTATTCAGGTTTTAATGCAGTTTATCACCCAATTTGGAGAACTGCTCCTACTCAGCAGAGTTTTATATAATTTATGCCACTGGGGGAAGGTGGGGGCGGACTGATGTTCCCTCTTGGTTGGGAAGCTCATCTTTTTATAACTAGTTTATTAGAACTGTGGCATTTTGGAGTGGTGACTTCATCAAAAGGGGGGGGGAGATATGAAGTTCAATAACACTGCTTTAATTATTAATTATAATTAATTACATTATTATCATTATCATTATTTTTATTAGACTCACCCTTAAGCAAAAATACATGTAAGAGTTCCTAAAAGGAATGCCACCCTTAGATAATTTTAATAGGATTTGATAAAGCAGTCAAAATATAACTGTTTACGGCTACATGCCTACGCACAGTGACCAAGGAATAACTTAACACAGCTTATCTCTGAAAATAAATATATAGGGTTACAACTGTTAAAGCTCAAAGAGGTTACTGAAATTTGACTGCTTAGAAACTTCCTGTTTTGGACTTAAGCACTGAGTAGAAAACCTTTCTTAAAGCCACTCAGAATAACAAAATCTGTAAATAAATAAAGAGTGTGTGTGTGTGTGTGTGTGTGTGTGTGAACACACCTTTGATATAGAGATATTAGCAAGTGTCATTAACTCAACAGGAAAAGGATTTGTATAATTCTACTACAATCTTGTACTAAAAAATGCATTTTAAATCACTCAGGTATAACCACAAGGTGGCAGCAAAACAATTTATATGTTCAGTTTTAGAGCATTTACCAAAGGAATGATGGATATCCTACTGATCCTGCCTTCAAAATATACAGTCATACCTCTAGCTGCGTTAGGTTCAGGTTGCAGATTTTCAGGTTGCAAACATGGCAACCCCGGAAGTGTATACTTCCGGGTTTCGCCATGCGCGCCTGCGCAGAAGATTCTGCGTGTTTCGCGCATGCACAGGAGCGCTCCATTGTGTCACGCGAGGAAGCAGCGCTCTACTTACTTTTCGGACTGTGAACGGCACCCTGGAACGGATTACATCCGTAAGTAGAGGTACCACTTGTACAGCAGTCTTGAGGCCCTTGCGCCATGCCAACACTAATATGTGTTCATGCTATCAACTGTATAAACACAGCACTTGCACATCGTGGTTAACTCACTTCTAATTAAAGCACCAGAAGACATACAAGAATGAATGAGCTCAATCATCAGACTTCCTCCCTGTGTCATAATTCTCCCAGTAAAGCTGAACGTCTCAGACCCCTCTGCTGAGAATCAGAATCAGAAATGGGGAGTGCGCTCACATCCTGTTTGCAGGATAACCATAGGTATCTGGTTGGCCACTGTGAGAACAGGTCAGTGGGCTGGACAAGGTTTTGTCTTAAGCCAACAGGGATCTTCTTAAGCGAGCATTAAAAATAATCCACAGAAGGTGGTGGTGGGAACAGAATTCAGCTCCTAATGACATTTTAGTTTTTAAGAGAGTGGGCAATGCCTACTCCAAGCTTATAAAAAGGTAGTTGAGAGGAGACTGTGCGTAGTGTTCACTTTTCACAAGTAACATTTTTGGCAGTCTGGTCAAAAAATAAAAACAGCAGAATGCTTTCATAGGCATAACAACAGACAAGATTTACTTACTGCCAGGGTGCTGTCACCAACGTTTGATGCTATGAGTCCCTCAATGGTTCCATATTCTGGATCCCTTGAATTGAGCCTTTCCATATGGTACTGTTTCACTTTTCGGATGATCAGCAACGTCACTACAGAAAATATCAGGAGCGCCAGAACTGATGCTACGACAAATATGATAAGTGTTTCCGTGGTGTAACCCACAGCTTCCCCTTGAAGTGGGTGCCCTTCACATAAAAACAAAAAGAAAGAACAGAAGGTAAGTCAAATCTTAAATGCTGGGAATTTTGACAAAAGTCCATTGAAAAGAAAGATAGAAGGACACTCGCTTGTGTACATTTATTGTAAATCCTTATTTTAAAAACCCCACACAATTTAAATGGAGAATTCTGCTGTCTCAGAAGGACTCGGTGTGCTGAAGAAGGCTTTGGGGAGGAGGGAGACTCGGCTCCTGGCCATCAAAAAAACGAGAAGCTATAACCTAAAAGTGTGAAATCTGTCTTTCCAGCTCTGGTGTTAACTCCAATATCTGGTAGACTCTGAAAAACAGCCCAGCAGAATAAATGGGAACCCAGCTGGAGCTCTTGAACTTTGCAAGCCCAGCTCTTCCATGGATACTTGCATCCTGTGCTCTGACAGAATACAATACTCTATATTCCTTATTTTTAATTATGTATTTATTTTCTTACATTTATATTCTCCTTTCTGACATCATGGAAGTCCACATGGATTTCAACCGATCACCCGTCCAGGCCAGGTCTGAACCTACCAAGCTTTTCTCCAACAACTAGAAGCTGATGGTCCCACGGGTACCTCACAACGTGCCTCTTTTTTAGGGCCTTTCTGCACTTATCATTTATAAGACTAAATTCTGAACAAAATGCTTGGTTAACTTGAAGGTAGGCTGTATGAATTTTGTATTGATTTGTAATGATTTGTTGGGTCTCTGGACCATAATAAAGATTGATATAAGTGGTACAACTGCTCTTTGAGTTAATGTTTTCAAGAATGAATTTGGAACCGATTGCCTGCATCTCTGGTCACATGACATTGTTATTAGAGAGCGGTTTTCTTCTCCACACTAATGGTGAGTTGTGCCTGAACTGAGAAAAGTTCCAGGGTTGTGGTCACACCCCTTAAGGACCTTATGTGGTAGCAACTATACCACTATGAATAGGAAGTGTGGAAGGGCCCTTCCACTTGTATCCCACCTGGTTTGTTAACTTCATAGTCCCACCAACTTCCATGTCATCTTCGGTTTTAGATTTCAGTTTGTTCTTCATACAGTATAAGCTACTCCTGGTTCCTGTAGGGAGCAGTTTTGTAGCTGTGGAATCTCCCTGTGTTTTATAAAACCCTGATTTTCCAGTGTGGAGAGCCTCCACAGATACAGGAGCTTCTTGCTTCAAGAACTCTCCAACTTGGGAGGCAAGATCTAGAACACTAATTCCTGCCACACCCCTCACATGTCCACTTAACCCTATCTGTAACGCCTGGAGAGGCCTATACACTTGCCTCTCACACGGAGATTGAGGTCCGTAATTTTCCAAATAATCACTATTGGTCAATACGCTTCCACACACCACAACCAACTTTTCCTCCCTTCTCTTTCATGTACAGTGGTACCTCGGGTTACAGACGCTTCAGGTTACAGACTCTGCTAACCCAGAAATAGTACCTCGGGTTAAGAACTTTGCTTCAGGATGAGAACAGAAATCGTGTGGCGGCAGCGGGAGGCCCCATTAGCTAAAGTGGTGCTTCAGGTTAAGAACAGTTTCAGGTTAAGAATGGACCTCCAGAACGAATTAAGTTCTTAACCCGAGGTACCACAGTATTCCATTTCCGGAGATGTCACACACGTTCCAAGGCCACAGATCCCATAACATCATAGACCTCAAGTCAAAGACATTGAACTTATTATAAGAAACACTTTGTTAATAATATGAAATTTGTTTCTGGAAGCCAGAGAATAAGACTTTCACCTTTCGTCGGCAGCTGTGCTGTGATGTTCATGTTACACAGGTTACCCTGACAGCATTCGACCGCTTGATCAGGGGAAGGAGGTGTTTTACATGTCATTTTCCCTTGTTCGTAGACTTGGAAGCAGCCCTTCTGATACACTTTAGCGCCATTGTTGATGCTCAAAGAGGCAAAGCACTGGTGGCCTCTGCAGCGGTCGCCATTCACACATGACGTGCCTTCACACACACAGTCATAGTTAATCAAGGTAGGTTTGTGCTCCTCATCTGCATGGGGGAAGAAGGAAGGAAAACACCATTTCATTAGGCGACTTACACATGTAACAAATGCATTATCATTTTTTGAAACATAAAAATTAGTTTGGTTCAGTGGCTCTGCCAACTTTTGGCTCATTCTCCCCTCCGAGAGACATAGAATCATAGAACTGAAAGGGACCCCCGAGGGGCATCTAGTCCAACCCCCTGCAATTCAGGAATCACGGCATGTGGTTCCCCATTCAGTTTAAAACCATACCAGACCCTGCTAAGCTTTGGAAATGTGCCAGCAGTTTTATTGATACGCCACTAGGAGGAGAATGGGAAGAAACTGCAAGCTTATCAACATTTCACACTACAAAGAAGGCTGGTGCATTCTGATGACTTTATGCTTTTGAGTGTGTAAATCAAACATTTGGGGGTGGGGCTGTCTCTTCACAATGGGTGATATTTGTACACAAAACTGAACGGAGCTCAACAGCAACTAATACAAATTGCCACAAAGTCTTTATTTCCAAAGATTACAAATACATCAACCTCTTTAACAACTTCCAAGAGTTGGGAAGCGCACTCTGGAAAGTTTTGAGCAAACCAAAAAGACCTCGGTATCTCAAAAATGCCCCCCTCCCCCAAAATATGCATGGCCCCACTCTTTAGGGAAGGGATGAGAAACCTTTTTTTTATATATATAAGATATTTATTAAGATTTTCAGAAAATTACAATATAAAAAAGAAAAAGAAGATACAAAGTTACAATATAAAAATGAAAATGAAAAAGAAAATACAAAATAAAAATGATTGAAAACCACTCAATTTTTCCATTACTTATTTTTCCTTAGCTTGTTTCCCGGACCTCCTCATACCTCCCTTTTTTGTATTCCAGTTCAATTTGTTGGTTCAGCAAATCCTTACCCTCTTTATTTATCCTAATCTTTGGTCTTAAAATAGTAACGTTAGATTTTTGCCTATTAACAACCCATTTTTCATATTCCCTTAAAGCATTACAGCTGGAAACCACTTAATTTCTATCCAACATCATTCTAACATTCATTAATTTTACAATATTTCTGTAGATAGTCTTTGAATTTCTTCCAATCTTCTTCCACCGACTCTTCTCCCTGGTCTCGGACTCTGCCAGTCATTTCTGCCAGTTCCATATAGTCCATCAGCTTAATCTGCCATTCTTCCAGAGTGGGTAGATCTTGTGTCTTCCAATACTTTGCAATGAGTATTCTTGCTGCTGTTGTGGCATACATAAAAAAAGTTCTGTCCTTCTTTGGCACCAATTGGCCGACTATGCCTAGGAGAAAGGCCTCTGGTTTCTTCAAGAAGGTATATTTAAATACCTTTTTCAATTCATTATATATCATCTCCCAGAAAGCCTTAATCCTTGGGCACGTCCACCAAAGGTGAAAGAATGTACCTTCAGTTTCTTTACATTTCCAGCATTTGTTATCGGGCAAACGATAAATTTCTGCAAGCTTGACTGGGGTCATGTACCACCTGTATATCATTTTCATAAGAGAAACCTTTTGGGCTCCCTGGGCAAGATCCTTACAGGATTGGCCTCGCAGCCAAAACTGACAGGTGAGTAGAGGCACCAAACTGTCAATCACTTGACATTACAATGACATCAGATGCAAGGTGCATTGACGTCCCAAAGTTGAGCTTTCAAAGCACGCCTTGAAAGGTGCTGCCAAAACAAAAGTGTTTTTCCCTCCATTTGTTTTAGCAAGGGATTCCAAAGCAAGACCCTTCCTGAATCAGTTGAGAGGTAGGGGTTAAATTCTGCTCTGATGACCGGGAAGCAGCAGGCCCAGCCGAAACCGGATTTCACCCCACCCACCAACTGATGCTACTTGTGGTCTGTGAGAAATGGCCTTGCAGGCCAACTTGGGACACCCTGGAGGGGTTAAAATTGGCCCACAGGACAGAGGTTAAGGAGAAGTCTCTTTTATTCTGGTTTTTGGCTTCACTGAGGTGCTGTTGTGGCCATTTAAAAATAACTGTTCTATTGGTTGACATTTTTATGTTAACTGTTCTTACTGCCATTTTAAAACCTTGGGGTGTTATCCAACTAAGTCAGAATAGGCACCATGGAATCAATGAATTTAAGTAACTTAAGCTCATTTATTTCAATGGGTCCACTCTCAGTATGACTAGTATTGGATATCACCCTTGAATTTTAATGTAGTATTTTATTGATTTGTTGTAACCTTCTCTGGAAGAGTATATACTCTAAATGGCAGGCTAGAAACCCATTAAATAGTAATAAATAATACATAGCCACTCAGAATCTCTCTATCCTATAAAGGTGTCAACGTTGCTGATGTAAAACCTAATTACCCAATCACATTAGGCCTATTCTCTAGAATGCATCCCACACATCTTGTCAATTCAGATGACATGCAAACTATATTTAGCGAAACCATTGTTTTGAATCCAATTTCAAACCATAGTTTATGATTCTGGTTTGCCATCCACGCACAAACTGTGGTTTATCAATTCAGACCCCTTTCCTTAACTGCAGTTTTCAACGTCATCTGAAGTACACTATTTGTGCAAAACTCTAATAGCCAGCACATCACACATAGCCTAGGACTTGCCGATCAGAAGGTCGGCGGTTTGAATCCCCGTGACGGGGTGAGCTCCTGTTCCTCAGTCCCTGCTCCTGACAACCTAGCAGTTCGAAAGCACGTCAAAAGTGCAAGTAGATAAATAGGTACCGCTCCGGCGGGAAGGCAAACGGCATTTCCGTGCACTGCTCTGGTTCGCCAGAAGTGGCTTAGTCATGCTAGCCACATGACCCAGAAGCTGAACGCCGGCTCCCTCGGCCAATAAAGCGAGATGAGTGCCGCAATCCTAGAGTCGGCCACAACTGGACCTAATGGTCAGGGGTACCTTTACTTTTTACTAATAGCCAGCACAACACACTGCCTACAGGAGGTTTTATGCTTCTACACTCTTTCTTTCTAGTCCAGATGTTCCTGAGAAAGCAGTGCTCAATTCTATCGTAGCAGTTTGCATCTGGAAAGCAGCCAATCTATCACTTATCACTTTTGCAACAGGCTAAAAAGGCAATAGCAGTCAATTGTTACACAAGAGAATGCATGTGTATACAACAAATACTCCACCCAAAGGATAAACCAAAATCTTATCTTTTTTTACAACTATTTCAGGAAGAAAGCAAAGTTTGCTAGTTTTTATGCAAGCAACCAGCCAGAACACATCTAGCAGAAGTGGATTTTCAAATAGAGTATGGTTGAGGAGTCACTGCTTTAAAAAATGTACAGACTTCATTACAAATTAATTAAGAATCACACAGAACAGAGAGAAGCAAAACAATATCCAGGTGTGCTTTGATCAGTTTTCAACACAAGTCTCACCTTTACATATCAGGCGGATCTTTTCATTCATTAGCAGTGCTATGGACTCCCAACCAGTTCTTATTTGTATTTATTCATTAATATATAGCTTTAAATCTGATCTAATATATGTACACATTGGGAAAGATTATGATGCCGCCTGAAAGGGACACAGTGTTCCCTTAAACTTTCCAGGACACACCAGCTGCTCTAAAATCATTTGTCTTACCATTTGGTGTGTGTGTGTGTGTGTGTGTGTGTGTGTTTTCATGTGTATGTGTGCACACATGATAGGTATGGTTGCACCTTCAACAGGTTTGTGTGTGAACACGGATAGAAGACATAAGATGAAGCGCATGCTCCCCATGACACCATCCCCTTTTGGCCATTCTATTGGCATATAGTCACCAGCAGAATGGCTCCTCTATCCACAGTATGTGGCATGTTCTCCTAGGTTATATTCCATGTAGGCAGCATAGCTTGACATCCAGTGGCACAGCGGGGCTTCCACCAAACACTACAGCTCAGGTATGTGGAATCGGTGGCCTTGTGCCGTTGGACTGCAACTCCCATCATCCCTGATCACTTGCCATGCTGGTTGGGCCTGATGGGAACTGGAGTCCGGCATCATATGCAGGGCCACAAGGTGCCCCCATCCATAATACAGTCTCTTAGCCAAAAGGATCTCCAGGATTATGCCCTAAAGCTCCAGCTGGTAAATTCTTTCAGCCACTGTTCAATACCTCGCAAGATCAGTTGCCACACCAACCGAGGCACATAACTAAATTTTTTTTGTAGTTTTTTAAACACAGAGAGACACATATATCACATTTGGAAAACATTGAGAATATTGCTGGAAGCGAAACAGATATTTAGCACAGTTATATTTTTATATAATAAAATGATTGAGAATCCTCTGGAAATGGTGAAAGGAAAGCCATTCAAGTCAACTTGTCTTGTTAGCAAAGCAAAGCAATTTCTTTCTTTCTTTTTTTTTCTTCAATCTAGCTTTAATAGCAGCCATACTGGCTTAAACAGGAGGGGGAAAATAGCATATGGTCACTAAGCAAAACAAAGCTAATTGCACAAAGCAGCATCTAAAAATAATTCACAGCATGGACCCTGGTTTTCAGTTCCAGCACAGGTTTTATTTTCGAGTATACAGCCTGTAATTCAAATGGGCTGTTGTTGTTTTCTTTAACGGCAGTTCTACTACCACCAATCATTCCAAAACACTTTTCATCTAGAGAAAGGCACCTCCACTCCATTTCAATACACAAATTGGAATATCCATCTCAAGCTGGGGAGTAATTAGAACACAGTTCAGGCATTCATATGTTCTAAGTCTTTTCATGATAACTGAATTCATGTGCAATGGATCAGGTATTGCTATCGGGGGGGGGGGGAATGGGTCTGATCTATCCATAGAAAATTCTGGCCATCTAACAACTTCTTCTAATCATTAGATCTGGATTGGTGTCTGATTGCAGTGGTGGGTAGGATGAGAATCAACAACCCCAGGATTGCAAACATTTATGCATTAAATACAAATTATTCATTTGGGAAAGACTGAGCTACAGTCATCAGTTTATTATAAAATACTGTTCCTAACATTGTCTTGAGACCTGCAAACATTAGCCAAAGTTCAGGCAAGGAGACTTTTGGGAAGACTGGTGGCACACCACCAAAAACCCAATTCCTTCCTGCAAACTCATCCTTGGGAACATACATTTCAGATTAAGCGGCTCCTGGGTGGAACACCTAGGCGAGGGAATGGAATCACAGCAGACCACTGCAACCAAACTCATTTCCCACTCCCAGGCTTAGGAGGCTGCTGCCACACAGGAAGGGAGATGGGCACAACCACTTTGTCTCTGTTATAACTTTGCATTTTATGAAGGATATAAGAATTTCTGAACAGGAAATGCATTCACCAATGGTAAGAGGAGCCCTGCCAGATCAGACCAAGATCCTCTCTTAGCCCAGCATCCTGCTCACCATCGTGGCTGATCCAACGCCAAACGGGAAGCTCACAAACAGGAATTGATGGCAATGATCTTAACATAACCATAACGAACCATTAGATAATGACATTTCCCCCCACCCTTTGATCTTGGCCCTCAACACCTTGGCCAGCCATCCAGACCAAAGGTGCACAAAAGCTGCCGAAACATCTACCCACAAGAGAACCAATGTGATCTTTCAAAGCCAATTTTCTCTTGATAACAAAACAATTTTACACGTTAAAAAAAATTCATATGTGAACTTCCACAGGATATTTCTGATTCCTTAGGGTTAGGGTGAACCTTCTTCTCTCCCCACCCATTTATTTGACGGTGAAGTTCAAACACAACTGGGAGATTCTGCTTTTACAGATTAATAGGGTAAAGGTAAAGGTAAAGGGACCCCTGACCATTAGGTCCAGTCGTGACTGACTCTGGGGTTGCGGTGAGCCTCTCACTTTATTGGCCAAGGGAGCCGGCGTACAGCTTCCGGATCATGTGGCCAGCATGACTAAGCCACTTCTGGCGAACCAGAGCAGCACACGGAAACGCCGTTTACCTTTCCACCGGAGCGGTACCTATTTATCTACTTGCACTTTGACGTGCTTTCAAATTGCTAGGTTGGCAGGAGCAGGGACCGAGCAACGGGAGCTCACCCCGTCGCGGCGATTCGAACCGCCAACCTTCTGATTGGCAAGTCCTAGGCTCTGTGGTTTAACCCACAGCGCCACCCACGTCCCTATTAAAAGGCTACAACAGGCCTAATCCAAATCAGGCAGGACTTTCTACTCTGCTTTGTCACTATTCCCTAACTGGGAACTCTTTTCACATTCAGTAAATACACAGGAAAAACAAGAGTGTGCGCCAAGACAGAAAATGAACGTAAGCAAAAATGATAAGTTTTTAAAGTGTGCATGAATGCTACAACCTGTGTCACAGCATAACTGCTAGGGTAATAGGGCTTTGCTATGTCCACTGTGTAATTTTGTGTGGCATTTATTAGTTCAGGTACTGGGTCAAGACAAGTTACGTGGCTGTTTGAGTTACCACATTCCAAAGAGTAGTGGCATGAAAATCACAAGTGGAAACCAGTAGCCGTTACAGCTTCCTGCCACCATGCTAAAGACCAGGTGTTCTTTAAAAAATAAAAAAGGAGGGAAGGAAAGGACCACCCCACACATTTAAAGCACTACAGTGGTACCTCTGGTTACGTACTTAATTCGTTCCGGAGATCCATTCTTAACCTGAAACTGTTCTTAACCTGAAGCACCACTTTAGCTAATGGGGCCTCCTGCTGCCGCCATGCCACCGGAGCACGATTTCTGTTCTCATCCTGAAGCAAAGTTCTTAACCCGAGGTACTATTTCTGGGTTAGTGGAGTCTGTAACCTGAAGCGTATGTAACCTGAAGTGTATATAACCCAAGGTACCACTGTATATTCATGGACAGTCCATCAATCTTTACCAGACCAGACAAACAGCAGCATTAACAACAACATATACTACATCGGCACCAAGGTGTAATGTGTAATATTCATGAAGAAACCTGGGAAATGTAGTTCCAAGTCTGCTGACCACACAGAGGTTAGGCTTCTGGTAGCCTTAACAAACTATAGTTCCCAAGGTTACTGTGGTATAATAGTGCTTTAAATGTATGGCGTGGATGTAACCAAGTAGATGTGTCCCAAATAGGGCTGTATGGTAAATAAGTGCCTATATGGACAAGAGCACATTAAGAAGAGCTCTTGCACACGATAAATATATTTGAGGTCCCTTCGTTATTTCACCCTGCCTAAGAGAACAAGAAAGTTCAACAACCCAGTCTTAAAAGGATATAACTTAAGAAAATGAACAAGGCAAGAGCACATAGGCCATGGTTATGTTGCAAGGCCCAAGGACAAGATGTCAACAAAGGAAATGTGTGGGAGGGGGTGAACCCTGTAAAATGTCATGGATTGTTCCACTACCCCCCAGTTTATTCAGAACAGACATAAATTTCCTCCCTGTGCACAGAATGCACTTCTTAGAAAACACCCGCACAAACATCTGCTTGCTTGCAAAACGAAAGAAAGAGATAAAGGACAAGGCCAGGGCAGTCTCCTCAATAGGCTAGTTTTCCAAGAAGTTGATAAGGCCACTTCCACACAAAAGCAATTGCTACGTACATCCTGGGAAGCTACAAGTCCTAGATATTTGACTTAAGAGTTCAAATGGACTCCACTCCAGTTCCTGGACCAAATGCAGATATATTGAATCTGGAAGGGGCGGGGTTGGGGCGTTCCCTTCCCATAGGAGTTGCTCAAAGTCCCACAGCACCTTATAAGCAAAGCAGGCTTCGCACCTTGAGACATATAAACTAATTTATTCAGGCCATCACTAAAGAATAGCTCTAACTTGTGTTAAAATCCTTTATCTCCCCCTAATGATGGTTTTTGTGGCCAGTTCACTATTTTGAAATAGTTTTCCTGGCATTGCTCTTTGGCATCTTGTCAAGGAGATGACAGACGGCCTTCTCAATGGTGCTGCCCGCCCTGTGGAACTCCCTCCCATCAGATGTCAACTATCTGACTTTTAGAAGACATCTGAAGGCAACCTTGTATCGGAAAACTTCTATGTCTAATATTTTACAATTTTTTATGTGCTGTAAGATGCCCAGAGTGGTTGGGGAAATCCAGCCAGATGGGGCGGGGTATAAATATTATAATAATTATTATTATTATTATTTCATGAAAATTTTTGTCTCTCTGCCCTTCGACTATCCCTTGCCACTGGCTGTACTGGCAGAGCTGACAGGGGCTGTAGTCAAATAGCAACTCAGGATCCAAGCTTTAAAGAGCTGAGTTGGATTTTGTTAATCTACAGAACAGTGCCTCTTACTGAGGTCAAGTAATGCCTGGCTTTTCAAGCACGAAAGAATCTATACAGATAACAGAAAGACTGCATAATGGGTTCCACAAGACATTCTTGGGGCTTTCAAACACTTTTGCCTGTATGTTCACCTCTGACCAAAGCAAGTCTGCAGGCAAAGCATAAGTCCTATCACTAATTGAAAGGGAGGGGAGATAGGAAAGGAGCTCTCCACGCAAAAAAACTGAACATCTCAAGACAAAAACAAAACATGGAAGGGATGCTTGACTCATGCTGATCCACATTTTCCATCTACTTTCTACCCTAACTTTAAGGACAGGCCAAGTGTTCAATGCTTCAGTTTTTGGGACATGTTTTCCTCTCAGTTTTGCAGCTGAAAAAAAATGGTGTTGTGTCAGTGATCTATTTATACAGCTAGACAGGCACACTGAGGTTGAATTACCTCATCTTCCTCCCCAAATGGTTCTCTTTCAGGAAAATCATTACAGCAGCAGCACTCAAGAGTCCCCTCATTTTGTTTGAGAAGTTCTATCATACTAGAACGGCCAACTGCAGGGTAATAAAACGGGGAATAATCCCACTCATCTTGAAATTCACCAGCTCTCTTAAAGCAATGTTGCATGCACACATTATTCACTGTACATTTTAAAAAATAATATTTAGAACATGGGTAGGGTTATCCCTCTGGTGTGTTTTTTTTTAAAAGCAGCAATGTATTTAATTTCCAAGTAGCTAAACCACAAATACATAAAATGTTAACAAATTGATTTTTAAAAAGAAGAAGCCAACGTTTTATTTCTGAAATGTGTGCCGTTCCTTTTGCTGAGGTAACATACACAATTGTATGTGGCCATATGTGGCGATTCTATGTCCTCTCTCAGAGCTATAATTCCCAGAGTTGTTTAACAGGCAATTCCTCTTCAGAAGGAACTCTGGAAATTGTAGCTCTGGAAGGGGAATACTGGTCTTCTAACAACTCTCAACACCCTTAACCACAACTCCCAAAATTATTTGGGGGAAGCCATGGAATACCACCAGAGTAATAGGCCCTGTTCTGTGTATACTCATGACCATAGGTTTTGCAGCAGAGATTAACTTTCCTTTCACGCAGAAAGAAGCAAATCTCCGTAAGTCTATCAACTTCTCTCTGCAGCTTTTGAACCTTTCTATCAGCATCTTCCAATTCCAAATATAGAATCAAGCAAAAAGTTGGTGGTAGAAGGGAGTTCCTGCATGTATATCATGCTATAATATAACCTTCTAAATCAAAGATGGGGGGGTAATTTCAGGAAGCAGCAATCATTTTTTGTAGCCTCCCTATAAAAGTTAGAAAAGACTAGCAGAAGTTCATGTGCAAAAAACCCCTGAAACAAACAAACAAACAAACAAACAAACAAACCCATGCTTCTCTCTACTAACTCAAGTTAGTACCATTTATGTATTTAAAATATTTTGAGACAGCCTTTCCAGGGTGGCATACAGTAAACATAAGAATTAAAAGAAGAAGTACAAACACAATAGAATCTGTCAGACAAGCAACAGGGAACTAAAAGGACTAAAAGCCAAAGAGACTTTAGCACAGTGGTGTCACATTTCATTTTGCATATATGGAAGCCATAGGAAAGACTATTGGCAATGAAACCATAGCCTACAGTATTGCTGTGGTGCAAAAGCAGACATATATTTCATTCAGAAATCTTAGTACATCTCAGCAAGAGATTCACCAACAGGTTCATAATGAATAATCTTACTCTGGTGCCACATAAATGAGGAACCACACACTGTCAGCTATCTAAGTGGGCTTGTCAACAGTTTGCAGCCACTATGGAAATAAATTTGTTCTCATTTTCATTTTCTTCCCTTTGGATCTGACATCAACACACCTACTTATTCACCCACACTTCTATATGAAGCAAACAATGAACCGAACAATGGAAAGAGAAACAAAATATGAACAAGGGCGAAGTCTATAAGGAAGTATCAAACTGGAACATGGGCCAGGATAGGATGGAAGAGGAAGCATTTGCCCAAGATTTAAAATGCATAGACAGAGATACTCTAGAGGGGCTTTAAGGGGGGATTAATTTTTTTTGCTAGTGCAGATTATGTCAACCAAGTATTTTTCACAAGACATTATTCTGCCATCTAATGAGATTCATTACATAAATATATAAAGGCAACCAACAGATGTTCTCTTATTAGATTTAATGCTGATACCTTGCTACTTTTAACGTGAGGGTGGTGGAATAAGAGAGTCTGGTGAAGGGTAGATAATATTTTTTTATAATTATTATCATTTAAATTGTGAGATTTACAGGTTTCAAATCTGGCCCATGAAGCCGGAAAGGTTCCCCAACTGTGTCTAAAGGGATTTATTTGGGGTGGGGGGTGAGCAAAGCAAGCAAGTGTGCAGCTCCTATCCTTGTAAGAACTTTCTGTCCCTTCCCTCACAAATATTCACACTCAGGAGACAGTAAGTGTGCCCCAGAAGAAGAAAAGTACTTGGGTGGTAGAGTGAATAAGTCAGAGGGAGGAAAACACTCTTTGTCCTCTATTCCCTCTCCAAATTTATGGTACCCACTACTGTACTCCAAAATTTACAACACACACAAAAACCCTGTAGTTTCTGGCTTCCTTGCTCCATATTTGCACTTTTCCTCCCAACAGCTTGGCTTCTTGATTGCCCCATACAAGAATGTATGCAAAAACGTGGCATCTGCTCCCTGTGACTGATGAGCAGCCACAGTCCTCCTGTGACTCGTCAGGCACTAAAATAACCAACCCAGGTTTTATACCCCCCTCATAACTTACCTTCCATGCTGGGTGAAGGAAAAGACACCATTACTAGAAGAGGAATAATCAGAAGTCCATTTATCATTGTAGACCTAGGGAAAAGGGGGAAAAAAAAGATTATTGCTTTCAAAATAAAGAGAGAACTACTTGACTCAACTGCATACCTAAGATTAACACGGCCAGCTGCCTGAGCGTCAATTGCCACTTCTTGGGTTTACCAAGACCCCGACTCTCTCTTAAGACAGACTTCAAGAGCCTTCCAAAGAGGGTGGATTCTGCAAGGGCAAAAGAGAAGAAAAAAGGCCTCTTCCTGAACCGAAAAGCTAAGTGTGTTCACAAGTCAAAAAGGGAGTATACATGTCCACATATCCTTGGCCTTTTCCAGTCAAATACATAAGTCCAAAAGCGGTTTGAAATTCACATCACAACGACAGTATCAGAATATTTGACCTGGGAATATATCGCAAACCGTGTTCAAAACTCCAGGGGGTGATGAGATCTCTGTCTGCTGCCTTCCCTTCCGACTCCCCTTCCGTCTGGAGGAGGAAGAGTTCCAGCCTCAAGAGTGAGACTGGTGGCTGCCTGGCCTGCCTTCCCTTTCCCCTCCCCTTTGCTCAGAGTGAGATTGCTGCCTTCCCTTTCAGCTCCTTTCCCCCTCCCCTTCCCTCCAGTGGAGGAACAGTCCCAGCCTTGGCATTTCCCCCACAACCAAAGTGTCCTGCTCCCTCCTTCTCCCCTCTCTGGCTGCTCCACTTCAGCTCAAGTGGGAACAAGCTCCCGTTTCGTTTCTACCCTTGGCTGCTCCTCATCTCTCCTCCTCTCCCCAACAATAGGTGGAAGGAGGACAAGGAGAGCTCACTGGTCCTCCTGTCCTCCCCTCCCTGGGTCCTTTCCCCACAGGGTGAGGAGTCACCTCAAAATGGGGTTTGGGAGACAGTGTATAGGAAAGGGAAGGCTTCTCCTTATGAGACTCTGGGTGTGGGGGTTCCCGCTCCAGCATCTCACTCTTCCTCGGCTGCTGCTTCCTCCCCACCTCTCTCTGTCTAGGTAGCAGTTGCAATGACGTTACCCCATTCACCTCTATGTAGGTGAATGGGGTAACGTCCTTTCAGATATCGTGAAATATTTATATGTCACAATGTTTAGCTGATTATATATCACAATGATGAAAACCAGATTATCACCCAGCCCTACCAGCCAATCCTACATAAGGTAATATGAACAGGGGCTTTCACAAGCATGTAATAATTTATTTTATTGGAAAATTGCTTGTATTGAGTTGTCAAAAACGTACAACAAATCAAAAACAATATAAACAAATAACATTATCTACAACCGCATTTGGAGTGGTATTACAAAAGTTCATATCACAGAATATCTGAGCAAGTGCTCAGTGATTCAGAATAGAATTCAGAGAGTATGTCCCAATAAAAGCAAATGTTCGTAAACAGAATGCAAGCCATTTAGATATGCCCTACACAATGACTCACTGTAGGTTGCAGTAAATGTCCATTCTTGTTTACATAAGAAGTAAAAGGCCACCATATTGCAACAGATTCATCTTCTTTACTTTTTCACTAACTGCCTGATTCTGTTAAGCTAATCTTTCTGACAAGATGTCCCATGTCAGCCAGCCTTTTATAGACAATCCAGCCAACTTGGTCTGCTATCTCAACTAGTGAAGTATCTAATTTGAAGAAAACCAGGAAAGTTGCAGCGTGCCCAGTATCTGCTTCTATGTGAGAGGCGCACTAGTCTTGTATAAACTGTGCAGTCTATAAATGCCTTTAAATATTGGCAATATTTAGCCAAATGTTTGAGATATTTATGCTCTAGGATGGGTATCAAAGGGGATTCATATGCCACCAACCATTTAGCCTAACTTTTCAGAGTGCTAGCTGAAGTTCTAGAAATGGGTTTTCAATAACACTAGCATGTATTATTAGGGCTCCAAACGAAATGTCTGGTATTGCTTGAGGTGATCAGCTTGCCGACCCAGTATATCAATAAAAAGGACTCCAGTAGGAAGACATGCTGAATTGTATGTGGCATTAATATTCTATCAGTCAATACTGTCCAACAACATCTGGATAGCCATCGGTTTGTTCTAGAAAGTTAAAATCTGTCAGAGATGTCATTCCACAAAAGCAGTTCCAAACAAGTGTGACTTTCGTGAGTTGTTGCACCAGTAATCTTAGCATAGCCTCTGGGGAAGGAGGGCACACCCCACCAAAAACTATGAGAGCTAGCTATATCTTATCAGACACAATTTCTAAGAGGCAAGTCGGTGAGCTCTGAATTGGATAGGCCCTTGCTCTTCCCCCTTTCTCACTAGGGGTCTAATCCACTCACCACTGTAGTCACCAGCAGATTACAATCCAGACTGAGAAAAGTGCTCTCTCTCGTTTCTCCTAAGATGGGCTGAGAGCCATTGTGCCTTCTTCTTTTTCCTGATGCACAATAATAAATTATTATCTCTCCCTGAGAAGCTCGACAAATGTACGCACATCTCTGTCAGCACTGGAAAACCACTGGCGGGATAAGAGCAAATTGATGCTGTTTGAATTAGCTGCTACGCTTCCCAAATTGCTTGTGTGACAGCACTGCATAGAACCCCAAGGGGAGGAGAAGAAGGGGGCTTGGCAAGGAAGATGGCAAAACTGCATCCATCGTGAACAAGTCCCACTCACCTTCACAACCCACCCACAAGTCACTGTGTAATTACTTCACAAAGCCACAGATGTCCCAACTATAAAAATACCCCAGCAGCAGTGGTTTAAGTGTTTTTATAACACAAGGGCAGATAGGCCTTAAATTAGCTCCCATCCCAAATCCATACTCCCCACACAATTCAAACATAGTTTACTTAAAACAAAAACAAAAAAACCCTACCTCTCCTCTGTTCCCACAACATTCAAGCATGAAACAAACAAGAACACAGCCCTCTCGCTTTCTATTTTCAGGTAAAGGGCTTAGCTCTGTGACAAAGGGCATGGTTTGCATGCGAAAGGCTGCAGGTTGAGAACCCAAAAAGACGGGGCATTGACCCTTGTTTGAAACTCTGGAGAGTTCTGCCAGTCGGCATAAAAACTAAAAGGTAAAGGTAAAGGGACCCCTGACCATTAGGTCCAGTCGTGACCAACTCTGGGGTTGCGGCGCTCATCTCGCTTTATTGGCCGAGGGAGCCAGCGTACAGCTTCCGGGTCATGTGGCCAGCATGACTAAGCCGCTTCTGGCGAACCAGAGCAGCGCACAGAAACGCCATTTACCTTCCTGCTGGAGCAGTACCTATTTATCTACTTGCACTTTTGACGTGCTTTCGAACTGCTAGGTTGGCAGGAGCAGGGACCGAGCAGCGGGAGCTCACCCCGTCGTGGGGATTTGAACCGCCAACCTTCTAATCGGCAAGTCCTAAGCTCTGTGGTTTAACCCACAGCGCCACCCGCGTCCATAAAAGTACCGTGAACTAAATATATACTGTACAGTATAAGGCAGTTTTCTCTGTTCACACTAGTTCTTATATCTTCTCCTCCCTCCTGTAACATCAAGTCAGAAATGAATTTGCTATTTGTTTCCTCCTCTCCACAGAGAGCAGCTTTTTTTAATGAACTCCAGAAGATGGCGATTAGATTTGAGTGTTCTCCGAAGGTCACATCCCAGAAAGAACATCAGCATGTAAAAGTGGTTCCAGACTTCATTCAGCTTTCTAAGCACAAATTGGTGAAGAAAGTATTGAAAAAATTACAGCATGCACCCAATTGCCCACCTGATTGCAAAGTTAAATAGGGGATCCATCCAAAAGGAAAGTAAGCAAGTGAGAGATATAACCTCTTTGGTTAAAAGATGCATGGCTTTGGAGTGATTATGAGCCATGATCAGGCATGCCATCCATATGCTGTACAATATACATTTTAAGCAACTATTTAAAATCATAGTAATATATCAATTATTTGTGTTAGAAAGACTACACACAAAATATGGAGTCCAAGGAGATATGAGGGATTTCAGTGCAAAACCAACTGATACAGCAAAAGTCATGCAAATTCTTTTGTGAAAGAAAGCCTTATTTTCATTTTAGATGTCTAGCAATACTTTTTTGACTCTTTAAAACCAATCAGGCTTTGGCCTATATGCTGTCTAAATACTGTTCCTTCAAATGCTGCACAAATAATTACCAACTAAGAGACAATGGGTAATAATACCCAATGTCAATCATACTCAGAGTAAGCCCATTGAAATGAACAGACTTATGTCCACTGATGATCATTGGGGCTACTCTGAGTCATCTACTCCAGCCCCCTGGCAAATAGCCATTCTGGTGTGGCAACCGTAACCTAGGTTTAGGGTGCCATTTGGCACCTAGCTTATATATCTAAATTTCTAATATTGAAGAGCCTAACCACAATCCTGGATTTGGAGAACACACTAAGCCAAACCGTAGCTAGTTGCCACTGCACCAAGCTAAAAGGTCAAGGGAGGAACAAAAGGAGTGGCAACTCATATCCGGAAGCCACCAAAATTACATGGTACTGGTAAATCATAATTTAGCTTACTGTGCTGTGCGAACCAGGCTAATAAATACAAACTAATGGTGGTTTTTATGTACCTGGAGAAATTATCAACACAGCTTTCATTGTTGAGTTGCTGCACAGATTTCGTAGGAACAGCAACAAAAAGAATAAGGAGGAATTTGCAATATCAGCTTGCCTGAAATTCAGATTCTCTGTCCTAGGGATATGGAATGAAAATACTGTTTGTCTTATCAATAACCTTCTTTTTAATCAGAACAAATGGTTTAAGCAAGAATTGAAACAAGAAGGTCAACAACATTTCTTGTCTTAGTTCCAAAGAAAACAAAGATAAACTAAAATGCTTATTTTTCAAAAAGAGAGTCCAGCTCCTTTCTACTGTATGAAGTTCTCTAAAACAGGCCAACATGCTGCCTAGGCAGTTGACAGCCCACCAAGAAACTTTTGGAAGGGATGTCAAGATCTCTTCCTGGCTGCCATTTTGCTCAGAGAAGGCAGGATCTGCTGTTATGACTGTTAATTCAAGCTGGTTAAAAATAAACCTTGAAAGAAAGCCTATTGATTTTAAACACACACACACACACACATCAACTCCACGCAAAGAGATGCCAAGAATTTCAGACAAAAATAAAGTGAGGTTCCGCCGCTACCTTTCCCTTAGATAAAAAGGAAGCCCTTGGAAAGGATGATTGTTAAAACATGGGAGATTAGAATTATGGATGTCTGGAGAAGAAACACAACCCTCTGGACATCAGTTAATTGAGCAGCCTTCTTCTGCAGCAGGCGGGGGGGGGGGAGAGAAGAGGAAGGGGGTCAAGGATATAAAAGAGGTGGCAATGAACCAAGACTTGAAGCTTGAGAGATTCCTTCAGTCCTGCTTTCTATTCGTAATAGACACAACCTCTAGTTATAGTATCTCAGTAGAGGCGCCCCAACTCTAACCGACAGGATTACTTCCCCAGCTTTGATTTCCTATCTTGCTTGCTTTGAATTTAAATACGAATACGTCCATCTTAATGTAGCCATGGCTGTTATGTGTGTGTACAATTCCCACCCACCCCCTCCCAGGAGAAGGGACGCGGGTGGCGCTGTGGGTTAAACCACAGAGCCTAGGACTTGCAGATCAGAAGGTCGGCGGTTCGAATCCCCGTGACAGGGTGAGCTCCCATTGCTTGGTCCCTGCTTCTGCCAACCTAGCAGTTCGAAAGCATGCCAGTACAAGTAGATAAATAGGTACTGCCCCGGCGGGAAGGTAAACGGCATTTCCATGCACTGCTCTGGTTCGCCAGAAGCAGCTTAGTCATGCTGGCCACATGACCCGGAAGCTGTACACTGGCTCCCTCGGCCAATAAAGCGAGATGAGCGCCACAACCCCAGAGTCGGTCACGACTGGACCTAATGGTCAGGGGTCCCTTTACCTTTACCCTCCCAGGAGAGACTTACAAGCAGTCCAATAAAACCCACTATCTTGAATGCACACATTCAATTTCCCCCCTCTACCTTGCTATGGCCTCTTAAACAAAACTAGTTTTCTACACACATTGCAAAAAAAAACCCCAAAAACTTACAGACCACTTTATATCAAACACTTTTTCAAGTCTCAAGGCTTGGATTCTGACAAAAGCGGCTTCTGTTAAAAGAAAGAGTGTTGTGCTCACAGAAGAGACCCTTCTGTTATGGCCGCTCGCTTTCCATTCATGAAGTGATGTTAGAATCCAAGCTGCATACGTCACTCGAGACACAAATATTAGATAGTGGCATTCCTCACAAGAAAAACAGCACTGTTGCTATCATTTGACTCCCCCCCATCACGTTTTAGATATCTCTGCACAGACAAATCTATGAATGATTTTGTTTTAGAAGATTAGCAAGCAACCTTCAGTAGCTACTATTGTGCAAGATTACCAAAGCTAAACCTCTAGTATTGCCTCACTGTGTTGGCTTATATGTCTGCACTACACAAAGGTTTTGAGTAACTTGTTTCGTCAACTCTCTAAGCTTTGTGTAAAGCTATATATCTTGTTTGCATTGCTAACAATGTTTCCATCTGATGAAGCAAGGACATATAATGAGATGGACTCTGGTCCACAAAACCGTAAGCAGTAATAAATTTGTTTAGCCTTGAAAATGCTACTTTGTTCTTTTTTCAGTTACAGACTACAAAAAAATTATCCCTCTGGATACAGTTAGAAAATTGTATAAAATTGCAGCTTTAAGAGTTTTTTTTGGGCGGGGGGATCCCTCTAAACCAGGGGTAGGCAACCTAAGGCCCGGGGGCAGGATGCGGCCCAATCGCCTTCTCAATTCGGCCTGCGGACAGTCTGGGTATCAGCGTGTTTTTACATGAGTAAAAACGAATGTGTCCTTTTATTTAAAATGCATCTATTGATTATTTGTGGGGCATAGGAATTCGTTCATTATTATTTTTTCAAAATATAGTCCGGCCCACCACATGGTCTGAGAGACGATGGACTGGCCCATGGCTGGAAAAGGTCGCTGACCCCCACTCTAAACTCTATTTTCTAAACCCAAACGCTACCCCTGGCGTGGTAAATGCAGCACAAACTGTACTCTATTGTAGCATCAAAATGTGTATCAATATTTGCCAAGCTGCCCTTTTTTAAAACAAGGAAGAAAGGTCCAGACAAAATGCTTGTGCTTGATTTGCTATCATCAATTATTATTTAAAGTATTAAAGTTTGGGATATTTCTTTGATATCATTAAAAAAATAATTTTACAGCTGATTGTGGGTGGTACGCAAAACCAATCTATAAACTGCCTTGAGTCCCTGTGCGGGGGGCAGGGAGCTGGGGCTTAAATAAATGAAGAAGAAGAAGAAGAAGAAGAAGAGGAGGAGGAGGAGGAGGAGGAGGAGGGGAATACAGGTTATTCAGTTTACAAATGGGCCCATGGGCCCAAAACAGTTGTTGACTGCTATAAAATAACAAAGCATACCATGTGCACACATGTTCACTGTGTCTATGTGGGCATACTCCAGAATTTTGGTTGGCTTCACTTCCTAAAGTGCAAGTAAACACACACTCAGTGGCAGAGACAGGCACCCTGGGAAGGAGAGAACTGCTTCTCTAACATTTGTATACATACAAAACCCATACAATACTGGGTTTAGAGTACTGCTCCTGTGTAAAGAGTTCATATTCCTACTCATTCCTCACCTTGGCCCAGTATACCTGAAGGAGCATCTCTACCCCCAATATACAGCCCGGACACTGAGGTCCAGCTCTGAGGGCCTTTTGGGGGTTCCGTCACTGGAAGATGAGGTTACAGGGAACCAGGCAGAGGGCCTTCTTGGTAGTGGCGCCCGCCCTGTGGCAACTTTGTTTAAGGAAGTTTTTTCTTCTTTGATGTTTTATCGTGTTTTTAATATTTGGTTGGGAGCTGCTCAGAGTGGCTGGGGAAACCCAGCCAGATAGGTGAGGTAGGTAGGTAGGTAGGTACAAATAAATAAATAAACAAATAAAAATAAAATATAATAATAATTACTTTCAATGTGAACCATTGGGTAAGCTGAAATAACTGTGCAATGTGGCCTGTGTGTTGAAGGCTAAGGAAAATTAAGACCTGGAACACTCCACCGAAAATACACACACCTCTGCCATAGATGTTCTCATCTTGGCTAATGCACTGCTAAAGTATACAAATAATAATAATAATAATAATAATAATAATAATGTGTGCCAGACTCTTGTGCTGCATCCCCCTCATATTTCAACAGCTCAACACACACACACACACACACACACAGCACTTATGGCAGATATGATGCTGAGCCAGCTGCAACCCGTGCAAGACATGAGTAAGTCTTCAATCAGCTCTTTCGTTAACTTTTGTCCATTTTTATCAGGGGCTCCGATAGCCCTTTCACCTGCAACCCCTGGACCCGTAAGGCAATGTAGATGAAGGACATGCTGGTCTAACCACCAAGATACTTAAAATGTGTTAACAATGCGTTGCATTCACACTTACAGAGGAACTGATGCCATAAATAGAAGGGCAGGAATATTTCTAGCTGATGGAATTTCCACCCCTCCTCTTTCCAAGAAGTTACCAGTTGCTATCTGTGTGTCTTGCATGTTTATGGACGATAATCAACCAGAAGAGGGGCATGTTGTTGTTTTTTGGTTTTACAAAAGAGAGGAATGAGGTAAGGCAAGGTACACTTTGTTTTTGAATTTGCAAGGAAACATGGCAGCTGGCCGGAGAGGCCTGTAGAGGAAATCCCAAGGGTCCCTGCTCTTCTCACTTCACCACGGACAGCTGCACATTCTGGAAGGCAGGTCCCCTAGTTCCCACTGCATTATTGATCCCATATTGTCCACCAATTTTTGAAGAGAAGGCGGGCACAGCATACAGCAGCCTCCCCTCAATCTGTTGTTGTTGAACTACTGCAACCCATCACCCTTGACTGCTGCCCATGATGGAAATAAAATAATAATAATAATAATAATAATAATAATTTATTATTTATACCCCGCCCATCTGGCTGAGTTTTCCCAGCCACTCTGGGTGGCTTCCAATCGAGTGTTAAAAACAATATGGGAGTTGGGAGTCCCAACCAAATATGAAGGGTGGCAGGCTGCAAATGACTAATCTCATGAGCGGCAAGTCCATTTTTAAAATATAAGTTTTAAGCCCCCCCCCCCACTTCTGCCACCCTGAAATTATTCCAGAGGCTTAATATCATACAGAATACTTCAAAAATGAGAAAATAAAGTCATGAGAAATACTTGAACCATCCTCCTGAGGTAGCCCTCTCTTGGTGATCTGCCCTCTACCCAAAACACTTTGTTGCCAGTCAGCCAGTGTTCATCTCTGCAAAAATTCAGCAAGCTTACTGCTTGTCAGGTTGACTGCTTTCCCCCTCACTCTGCTGTTACAGGGTAAAACAAATGCTAAACCAGGAGGAAGCCAGAAAATACTGGCCCACAAAACTGCCTTATGTTTGAAATTCATACATTATAGTCCTCCCTCCTTCTCCTCCACCTCCCTTCCGGACAGTATTTTTCTTTCAGTTAGCTGGGGGTGAGGGGGATGTTTATCTTATTGGTATGGGGGGGAGAGGGAGAGAGAAATTGGATAATTTGCAATGTGACTCAGATGCACAGCTGTTCATTAAATATATCCACCAAAAATACAAATATAAGCAGGGAAAGACAGTATAATGTGCTTGGTGGGGGGACAGCAGGCTAATCGTAAAAGAATAAAGGGGGGGGGGGAGGGAGAGCAAGTTTAAAAAGGTTGCAGCAAGTCCCCAGAGAGTAGGCCATCTGCAAATAAGATACACTACGCCAAGAATACGTTTAGAAAATTTAAGCCAAACATTGCAGCGCAGTATGTGTGCATGTTCCCCAGGCTGTCTCTGTGCACCTGAAAATAGGTTGCTCTCTTTTTTCCGTATTTGCAGGCAGAGGCTGGTTTGCTCTTTTTCTTCCAGAAAAAGCAAGAAGCTGAGGGAGAGCATCCCAACTAAAAGTTCAATTCTTGTATTTAAAAATGTAGGGCAGTTCCTACAGGTTATTCACTCCAGCAAATCTGTAAGTATCCACTCAAGTAGTTAATCTGACGAAATGAATTACCCTTGAATTACCGGCATCTCATATTTTAACTCCAGGAGACTCGTGGTTTTTTTGTACTCCTGCCATATAAAACAGTAAAGTTGAAACACAAGGGTTTAAATAAACAAGGAAGAATCAATATCCCTGTCACAAATAGGCAGCATATACGGTATATGTAAGCGTTCTTTACTGGTTTCCATCTCCTCAATTCACTAATCACGACAACAGCCCTATAATGTAGGCCTCTATCATTATCCTTATATATTGCCCCCAGTATGTGATGGAATTTGAACCAGGGATTTGCTTACACTCCTCTTGCATACCAGCTCTGAGGGGAATCCATTTTATAACCATTCCTACCGTTCACACCTCTACATCAAGTGTTTGTATGGACACTTAATTTTGTATTAGGAGTGCCCCAGGTGATTTTAATTTGTAAAACGAATCCCACCAAAATGTATTACTGCAGTTTCAGTCTGGAGGAAGACAAGGGCTCAAAACATCTGCAAGTGACAAATGGCAGCTTTTCAAACACACACTATGTAAGGATAAGCATGTTTACTTGGAAGGCAGCCCCTTGAAATTCAATGGGTCTTATTCTCCAGTAAGTGTTTAAGATGACAGTCTCCGTGTCGCAATTAATTCAGTTGCTCTCAAGCTGCACCTCTCACTCTTCTTTGCTTCCTTATGTGCTCTCCTTATGCGCTCTCACTTCTGCAGGAGAAAGCAGTGTTCTGTGTATATCCAGTCACAGCAAATGAAAACACACTAGGCCTAGTCAGGCATCCCTCCAAACTGTGTAGACGCAACCATGTGGAAAGGCATGTGCACTGGCCCTGCCACCACCCTCAACCTTTCTGCATTCAAGGGGCATGGTCCTAGGTGGAACATTTTTGCACGTTCAGCTGAACACACTTTTGAGTTCTCCCCTCAACTGGGAACCCTGTGCAAACGGGGTTCTTGGTCACGTCCAAGATGCTGATCAATGTCCAGCTGAACATAATTAAATCCACTCCATTCAACATGGAGATATATACACACAAACACCAGTTCTGGGTCAGGGATAGCATGCATCATTGACCTCTCCAAACATTATTTCCACATGCTGTCCTATACATATTTGGAATAATGCCTTAATAACGTTGCTTCCATAACCCACTACAAGTTCACATAAATGACACTTTCATGCTCATTACATGAGATGAAACAGTGTACATGTATGTGTTTGTCTGTCACATACCAGAGAAGTGACACCCGGGTAGGAAAATGAGCGTATAAGGTAAAACTTAACGCAGTCTCACAAACTAGTCCACAAACACCGCCCTATATTGTTATTTGATCAGCTGCTGCAGAATAGGTTTTGTTTGTTTCAATGCGATATTTAAACACCTTGGGTGTATATGACGTAAACAAGGCCAGAAGGTGGGTTTGTTTTGGGTTGTTTTTTTACAAATAAATACATTTCGTATGTATTGTGTTAAAATTATGGGTTATAAAGTGTTATATGAACAATAATTTTATATATGCTCCCTGCAGATGAGTATTAATTAAAAAACTGAGAGGTTGCTAATCAGTTGCATTTTTAAAAGTAAATATATTATTTTCACAACTAATGTAAGCAGCTCATATCTCTGACTAGGCAATTTTCACACTGTTCACAAGAATAGAGCCTGAAATAGATATATATAGAGATGACAATTTTTATCTCTCAGTACCTTACCACGCAAAATCATGCTAACATACTTCAGACAAATTTCAACTAACTGCGGAGAATACTGTAATATTTTAATTATACACCTCTGTCATTGGTCCCCAAAATCTAAAATGGAAATTCAAGCATTTATTACATTTTTATGCCATGCATACTCCAAAGAACAAAGAGCAGAATACATCATTCTCCTCTACTACCCTCATCCCTAATTTTACCCAGAACATTCCTGTGAGGTAGATTAATCAGAGAGACAAGGAGCGGTCTGGGATCACCCAGTGTGTCTTGCAGTAAGAGTGGAAATTTGAACCTAGGTCTCCCCAATACATAGTCTAACCACTACAACATGCTGTAGAGGACAAAGCGTTGCCATACTGAAGAAAGTTGGTCCAGCATGAGCTGTCCAAACAAAGTAGCTGTAGGCACGGAAACACATGGGATAAAAATGAGAGCATTTGCTGGGGATGTGATTATAAGATGCTAAGAGGCCACACGTTACCTATACCAGGGGGTACCAGTGTGACACAGACAAGGGCGGGGGGAGAGATAGGTCAAACAGACACAGTATTTTTTGCTAATCAGATACAGTATTTTTTGTTAATACACCATTCACCACTTCCTTAAAAATCTTTACATGTATGAAATTGCAATAATAAAAATAACTTCTCTCCTGATCTGCATGAAATGTAATACCCTTTTGCAAGAATGGAAGCCAAATTACCTTGCTAGAAGAAAAGTGATTTCCTGGGGACAAACTTTGAAAAAAAAAAAGTATAAAAGTCTCTTCGTTATTTAGTGGTCTTTTTTTCTTAAGTAGTGTGATTACCCAAGTATAAAAGTAACCCTCTTTGTCTTGTAAAATGCCCACCCTCTTCAAAAGAACCTCTTCATTTTTTTAAAAAAAGTCTCATTATTAGGATTGCCTCTTTTTTTAAAAGGCAAAATTATAGTCAGCTCGAAATGGTATTTTAAAGTATTGACCTTTACTGTAATGTAAGGAATCCTTTCACAATCCATCAAAAGCTTTTAAAACCGTGCAGCTACTTTGCTTTCAACAAAACCTATTAGCCTTTGATTGAGAAGTCATAAAAAAAACCCTAGGTGGGTGAAGAGGTAGGCAGGAAGGAAAATACCCGCCCCCCCCCCCAAGTTTTATCAGAATGTTATATTAAAATATGAAAATAGTTGGTCATTTGACTGCTCAAAATAAATGACAGAATATTAAAAGAAAATTATTAGAACACACACACTTTCTAACTACAAAGTTCAAAAGCTAATTACTTGCTAGAAAACAAGTTATAAACAACTTTCATCTATTATTATTTAGAACAATGATATGCAAATAAAAACATGTATCAGGAATAGGCTAAAACTGGAAATCAAAACATACATATGAACAGGAAATAAAGAGACAAAATACGAGATTTGAGCTGTAGTCCAGAGCAAATAAATCCTTTGTCATTATCAAACATCATGGTGAAATTAAAAAGGTAGGCTACCAACTATACAACACTGTTCTCTGTTTCTTAAATATCTGTTCTCTGTATTCTCAAATATTGAAAGAATTGTCAGTTGCAGCTCATCCCTAGGTGGGAAGGAAAACGTACTCTCCACGTATCGATTACCCAGAGAAACTCTGCATTGGTTTATTCCTACACTAAGCAATCACATGCCTGACAAGGAGAATGTATTTTGTCCACCAACACATTAAATGGATTCTTTTATGAATCAAGAGCTCAATTTCACAACTGGAAGAAAGTTAGCAGGAGCTTGAAACACAAAGTATGTTTGATGCAGTCACATCAACATAGAACCACAGAATTGTAGAGTTGGAATTGACCCCCACAGCTCATCTACTTGCAATGCAGAAATCTCAACACATGGTCCTCCATTCAATTTGAAAACATACCAGACTCTGTTTAGCTTTGCAAATGTTCTAGCAGTTTTTGATTGTTAATCTTTGGTAGCAGACCCCGACCCCACCCCCAGTAAGAATTAAAGTATGTTGTTCATTTCCTGAGTTATACATCCCATCACAAACAAAATCTGCTTGAAGCCGGGGTGTGTGTGTGTGTTTCAGAATTTGTTAACATTTCTGATGCCCAGTTTGGGGAGCATTTCCTGTTGCTTGCCTTGAAGTGAAACTCCCTATTCACCCTAGGTCAAAAATAAGACACTGAACTTGCCCAAGCTTGCAGAGCAAGGCCCGCTCGGTGTGCCAGCTCTGGAGTGCTGAGGGTGCTCTCTTGCAGTTCCAAGGGTTTGACTCAATTTTTGCTTATACAGTTGTACATTAGAATCCGTTCCGCAACTCCATTCGACTTCCATAATGTTCAGAAACCAAACTGCAGCTTCTGATTGGCTGCAGGAAGCTCCTGCAGCCAATCAGAAGCCACGGAAGCCCCGTCGGACATTGGGATTCCAAAGAACGTTTGCAAACCGGAACACTTATTTCCGGGTTTGCAGCGTTCAGGAGCCAGAACGTCCAAGTACCAAGGCATTCGGGGTCCAGGGTACGACTGTATGTGTAACCCTTGGAACCAACCGCTTTTGGTGTGTAAACTGCAGAAATTGCTGGAGGAGAGATTATTGTATTGGTGTGGCCTGCATGCTGATTTTACTGCTTTTTACGCATAAATAGTATGCTTCCCAATTTTATTTGCTCTTCTCTTCATATTATACTGATTCTTTTTTACAGCAATTTAGTTGAACCACTTTTGAACTGCTCTGGTGGCAGATGGGTGGCATATAATATAATAGATGAAATAAGGAAAACGGGAGTTCCAGTTCTAAGGAAAATGCATGTCCAAAGTGTTTTGCATTCCTTTGGTCTGTGTAAAAAGAGACTCCAGTAAAAATTACCACCAGTGTGAAACCTTTGATTAAAAAGGTGCATCAAAACAACCACCTGTTTAAAATGTATTACACGGAATGGGATGACGCAGAAATCACTTCTCCATCCCCAGGGCTGAAGAAGATCCCAGCATGTTTAGTCAGTCCTCTCACTGCAAAAAAAGATCCTTCCTCATCTTGCAAAGAAAGTCCCATCAGGCCTTCATTTGAAACAGAAGAGACCCATGGCCAGCTAAGGTGCCTTCTATTGCACCTGAAAATGAGCTCGGAATTGTCATCTCCCTGACAAAAACTGGGGGAAACAGAACATGCCCTTTCTCTTTACTTCAGGAAACTGCCTGCTTCTTAGTACAATAGCATTCAATTCACCACCAGTCACGCCTCACCAAAGTGCAACACTGATCCGTATACAGTCATATATCGGGTTGAATGCGCTTCAGGTTGAGCGCTTTCGGGTTGCACTCCGCGGCAACCTGGAAGTAACGGAGTGCGTTACTTCCGGGTTTCGCCACTCGCGCAGATGCTCAAAATGACGTCACGCGCATGCGCGGAAGCCGCAAAACGTGACCCGCGCAGAGGCGCCGTCGCGTCTTACGTTATTGTTTTCCATGGCTGAGCACATATTCTGCATGCAAAACGACCCAGAAACTCAATCCCAAGTACGGCTGAGAAAGACTCCTGTCTGACACCCTGGAGAGTCACTGCCTGTTAGAAATCAACAGTACAGTGGTACCTCGGTTTACGAACTTAATCCGTTCCGGAAGTCTGTTCTTAAACCAAAACCATTCTTAAACCGAGGCGCACTTTCCCTAATGAGGCCTCCAGCCACCGGTGCCCTTCCACCGTTCAGATTCCATTCTTAGACCAAGGTAAAGTGCTCAAACCAGGACACTATCTCCAGTTTTGCAGAGTTTGTAAACCAAATCGTTCTTAAACTGGACTGTTCTTAAACCGAGGTACCACTGTACTGAGTTAAATTGACTAAAGGTCTCACCCAGTGGCCTGGTTTGCACATCACACTAAGCCATGCTATTGCTTAGCGTGAATGCACAAGCTCCAGGAGAGAGTGCAGACACGTCGATCCTCTCCTGTTGTTTCACTGCTTCCCCGTGCAGATATTAGTTTGGCTAAGTGTGTCATCCAAACCTGGGCTCACGGCTTAGCCCTCCTGGACCAGCTACAAACCGTAAACCATGTGACAAGCCGTGGCTGCAAAAAACACAACATTTTTGTGCTCCAGGGCAGCATTGGCGTAGGAGCAAGAATGCACACTTCTGTCATCTGAACACATCACAGCCAGCAGCTCGTGCGAACCGAAGTAGCCAACAGCATGAGGCTGCTGCTCACAAGTGCCCAGGAACAGCTCTGACTCTGGAAGGAAAACAAGCCAGAGACTGCAGACGCAGGTTTGTATTTATTGCTATGCAGACATTTGGGAAGAGTAACTCTGCAGATGTTCCATTTAAATTTTGGATTCCCCCCACCACTTTTTTTAAAAATTGTGCCCCCCCAAAAAAACAAAATGTGGGGGGAAAGCCCTTCTGTGAGGCAGAAGCACAGGCCAAACTCCTAAAAGTCACTCCTTCCCTTCTCGCCCACCATTCTTCTCCTCCTCCTCCCTTCGCCAACACACATTACTTTCTCGGCAATCTGTGCAGCTGCCTCTTTGTGCAGTTGGCACCGATCACTGCCAATCTGGGACTTATTTCCAGTGAAGACGGCATTGTTTTATTAGCTACTTAAGCAGTGCATGCACCATTAATGGAGTTTTTATCTCTCCATTTCCCTGACAGGGCAGAACCAGCCAGTCTGACTCTGTTATTATCATTAGGAAAGCTCACCCCTCGCTATCTTTAATCCAAACAACATCTGGATTCATAGCGGCTCTCCGATAAAGTGAGGCGAAAGTGCACACTGCATTAGCTCCCAGAGAACAAAAGTGTATGCTTTTGTACATGCACAAGTGATTAGATAAAATGTCTCCAGCTAGCCAATACAGTTTTGTTTTTTTTAAAAGGTACACACTTCCGTTTTTTGCCTTGTACCCCTTGATAAGATTTTCAAAACTACACATTATACAATTAAGATCCCCTCCCCACACCTTCAAACAAATAGCAAAGCTAGAAAACAAAGCAGTGCTTCCTATTTCTGCAGCAACATTTACACACAAGCAATTTTACAGGGGGGAGGAGCCGCGGGCCTTTGAAGCCTTGAGTAACATGCCAAAGACTTCAATAAGAGGAAATTAAAGAGCCCTTCACTGAAATATTATTATTAATGTGTGCACGGATGACAAAACAGTCTGGCGCCGAAGCAGCCCAATAGACATGTCCCACTGTAACAGACAGCTGTCTCCAGTGTCATTTAAGTATGCTTTTGCTCGAAATCAACTCCTCAGTGTCTCCCAAGAATCAATAGAGAGAAGAGAACCGTGAACTCCCCCTCCCCCAAATACATGCAACTAGGAATTTGGAGCGTCATCTTGATTATATTCAACCCGCCAAACAGTTTTCCAGGCAAAGTGCAGCCCAAAGGATACATACTGTACACCATGATCCCTCCTCTCTCTCAGAGAAGGCAGCCATCACAACAGCAAGATAGATACAGCCCTGTTGAGTTCAACAGGACTTGCAAGGAAGAAATGGCTGTATTATTGGGTTGTCTTTGTTGTTATTTATATTATGTATTTTCTGTTTATTATGCTGTGATTTTATGTTGTGAACTGCCCTGAGATCTATGGGTATAGGGTGGTAAACAAACTAATAATGATGATGATGATGAATATGTGCTTTTTTTAAAAGAAAAAAGGTTGTGGGACTCACCATGAAGTTGTTACAGTAAATGTCACATTTTAACACGGGGTTTGGGATTGGTGCTGGTACACTGTGTACCCTTGAATGCCCCCTTAAAAAAAGCACTGATAATAAGGTTGTAGCCTTGGGGGGGCCTACTAGCAAATAAGTCCTACTGAATTTAGTGGGTCATCCCACTCCCAAGGAAACATATATACAGTGCTTTTTTTCTTAAAAAAAATGTTTAGGGGTACAGTACTCTCATTTTCCTACTCATATTGAAATACTGCTCCTCAATGAGGCCAAATTTAGATTCACAAAATGTTTAGAGGTATGCGTACCCCCAGAAAAAAGCACTGCACATACACAAACACACACACACACATATATATATACATACAGTGGACCCTCCGGATACGAACTTAATCCGTTCTGGGGGCCCATATGTACCCTGAAAAGTCTGCATCTAGAGGCACTGCTTCTATGCATGCACGCGACACGATAGAGAACTTCTGCGCATGCACGAAGCACGCAAAGAGCTTCTGCGCATGCGTGCGCCGCAAAACCCGGATGTGTTTCCCGGTTTGCTGCGTTCACAACTCAAAAGTTATGTTACCCGAAGGTAACATAACCCGAGGGTCCACTGTATAGGCTAGATGATAAAACATAACAGGGCCTTCCACCAACAAATAACCCTAAGGCAAAAGAAAAACACAAAAGAACTTAAAATCTGTGTTTAACCTTTATAAGAAAAGAGAAGTCCTCTTTGATAAAGGGTTTCAGCTCCACAAAGACATGTCAACAAAACACGAAGGTGGAGAAGTGTTTGGGAAGGCACTCCAGAGCAGAGAAGATTTTCTTCCTCCTTGTTCAACAGAAATACCTACAGTCTGAGCCACAGGCTCCACTGCTCAGATGCGAAAGTAGCGCTTCAGATTAGAGCATCATGCCATGCTGTTAATGACAGGCTGCGTAACCCGATTCTCTCAGTGGGCGTCTGGAATAAGCACTTCCTCCTCCAGCGCCCCTATCCCATTGTCCCACCCCACTGTGCCAGCTGTTTCTGACAGCCAAATTGCTGCACATTAAGCAATAAAGGCTGTCAAGAAAAGGAATTTTCATTTCTGTAACGCATAGGCCTCCTTGGACAAATTATACAGTTTACAGTCCTAGGCTACGGGAACCTGCTTTCATGTTGAAATGCTGCCAAATGCAGTCTTAAAAATAAAATAAAAAATTCCAGTTGATAACTGCATCAAACAAGTGTGAATGACCAGTGCAGAAAGAAGGCGTATGTTTCACAGAGTAAGAACCAAGCACTGGAAATGCTCACGTGGAGCTGAAAAGATTCTCAAGATTTCCTGCGTTTGTTTTCAGTTTTTTTCTTCCAATGAGCTTCAAGATGGTGCACATGAGGATTATCCCGCTGAATCCTCACAACCACCCTGTGAGGTACATTGGGCTAAGGGACTTGCTTCATGGCTGAGCAAGCCCAAGGCCCTGCCCACTATGCCACACTGCCTTTCTAACATAATAGCGCAAAGGAGACTTTCAACTGATACAATCCTTATATAGTGGTACCTCAGGTTAAGTACCGTATTTTTTGCTCTATAGGACTCACTTTTTCCCTCCTAAAAAGTAAGGGGAAATGTGTGTGCGTCTTATGGAGCGAATGCAGGCTGCGCAGCTATCGCTGAAGCCAGAACAGCAAGAGGGATTGCTGCTTTCACTGTGCAGTGATCCCTCTTGCTGTTCTGGCTTCTGAAATTCAGAATATTTTTTTTCTTGTTTTCCTCCTCCAAAAACTAGGTGTGTCTTGTGGTCTGGTACGTCTTATAGAGCGAAAAATACGGCACTTAATTCATTCTGGAGGTCTGTACTTAACCTGAAACTGTTCTTAACCTGAAGCACCACTTTAGCTAATGGGGTCTCCTACTGCTGCTGCGCCGCAAGAGCCCGATTTCTGTTCTCATCCTGAAGCAAAGTTCTTAACCTGAAGCACTATTTCTGGGTTAACGGAGTCTGTAACCTGAAGCGTATGTAACCTGAAGCGTATGTAACTTGAGGTACCACTGTATTATTTTTTTGAACTAATTATCTGAATGTCTTAACATACAGCAAAAATAGTATAATAGCAAAACCCAAGAAGTAGAAAAGTGTGTCGAGGAGGCAAAAGATATGTCCTGTGCATATATATATATATATATATACACACGCTTAATTTACCCCAAACTCAAACAAATACAAATGGCTTTTTTTTCCAGCTGGAACTTTCTAGAACTCAGTTCTCAGGTGGGCACCATTGCCATTCTAAGAGAACAAGACAGGTGTTCGTGGTGACTTCCTGCACCACTTTTTCTCGAAAAATAGCACTGCGTAAGTCCCTCTATAAAGTACTCCAAGAATTCAGCTACACTTCTAGGGTGGCAGCAGGGAAGGAAAGTGTTAAAAACTTTCTGGACATAATATCCCACTCTCCATAAAATATCAAATGAAGTGCAGCTGTATGCTTTATTGGGCTGAGACATCTCTGGCGGGAGATCCTACTGTAATAGTTTTCTGCAAATGCAGTTCTGTATGGTCTGCTGACAGATGCAACACCGTCCACAGAACGAATACCTCCCCTTCCAAAATCCCATGCAAACCAGCAGCATAACTCAAACAAGCTGTACAATAAAACTCCTAAAATCAGGGCTTCTCTCAAGCCAGATCTGCAAATTGAAGCAGCCCAAAAGCTGCACCACTGTTCATGCAATATTCATAGCATCCTATTCCCCAGGTACAGGGACATGATAACACCCCCCCTCACATTTATTTTTTATGTAGAACACAGATATTATTCACAGACAACCAATGCTGGGTATGTATGTATGTAACCCATGCAAGGTTCTGTGCAGCCCAAAGTATAAATCAAAAAGGTTCTTAATGGCACAACCACTTCCTGGTTGGGTGGGGGAGATGTTGAGACAACAGCAGTCTATAAACTGGAACAAAGTCAGACTGGTGTACCCAGGGGCGAGCTCACCATTGAAGAATCCACAACTCCAAGCTCTGCACAGGTAAGTGCTTTAAAGCACGCCCAGCACCTGATTTGAAGTTGGACTTTTTTTGGAGAGGGGGGAAAAAGTAGAGAGAATTGTGCCAAACCAAGCCGAGCCAGAGTTAGAATTGCAGTCTCACATTAAACAAGCATGCTCAAGTTAACCATGGATTATTTGCCCTTTTACAGCTCTAGCACAGTTACAGCTAGAGAGCAGGCCACTGTGGTGCCAATGCCAATACATCAGAGCCAACCTCAGAGTTTGTAAATAGGCAGGAAAGGGGTACAACATGGAATACAAATATATAATCTTGCAACCGTAAGGTATTTTCATCTAGTGTATTTGTATCTACAAGCCCAGGTTCAAGCCAGCCAGATGGGCGGGGTATAAATAATAAAATTATTATTATTATTATTATTATTATTATTATTAGGCTCTTGTATTGATATACAAAGCCCTGAACATCTTGGGTCCAAGGGCACCTTAAAAACTGTCTCACTTTTGCATTTTGGGCATCTCTTGATGCTTTATTGCTGACAGGCTTTTGCAGTTGTTTAAAATTTTAATTGAATAAGCTGTCATTTATCAATGATCCTGTATTACTTCTAAAGTTTTTTTCATGTTTTTATAATTGCTGCACACTACGGATATATTTTCTGAGAGGGGAGTATATGAGTATTTTAATAATAATAAAAAAACAACCCAGTGGTTACTGGCTATTCAGAACCATCAATATATCAACTCAGTGCTGCTCATCCAGTTCTTAGAGCAAAATTGTGTTGGGAAAAAGTGCTTTGAGCAAAATGGCGATTTTATGTGAAGGTGAAGAGGCTGGGGGGGGGGGAGGGAGAGAGAGAGAGAGAGAGAGAGAGAGAGAGAGAGAGACTGAAGATCAAAGGTCATCAGACATGGAGCCCTTGAATAAAAGATCCTATGCATTCCACATTCTTAAACTTATCCTTAAACTTAAAATCCTTAAACTTTCACTTATGCATGACTGTTAACCCTATTTCAGCATCCCACATACACAGATTTTCCCCAAAGGAGACATGTCTCAAGTTCACACCTTGCATGTCCTCCAGGTGGCCAAGCAGGACCCACCAATGCAATGAGACTGCGGAAAATTGAAACGCACCCAAATATCTAAGCAACTTGTAACAACCTTACCCAACTCCTATCACCTTCGTAATTCTCACAGGAAGCATGAACAACTAAGGTAAAGTACCTATTAAGAAACACGGTGAATAGATTCATATTTTAAAACTGGAGCTAATTTATGCCTCTCAAGTTCGATTTTCAAATGAATTCTTGGGCATTGTCTGTTTAGAAACTTTGTCCCCCATCCTTCCTGACAAAAATTGATTCAGCGTTAGTAAAAGATCACTTCTGCACAATAATAATATTGTTCCTATTTCAGAGGAGGAGCTTAGATGACAAGAGTTGAAAAACAAAACTCCCCTCCTCTCTTCCAGACCTTTAAAGCAACTCTTATAGAACTTTCCACTAACTTTAACGGTGAAAGTTCGAAATCTAAACCTACGTAGCTGAATTAAAAGCATACTGTAAAGAGACTCTGTTGTTCCAGACACAATTGTCTCCTGCAGCCAGACTGAAGCAGGAAGAAAATGCATGCACAGCAAAAAAAATAGAAAGGGAAGAGAAGAGGGAAAAGTTTTGCATACCTCTTTAGAGGCTCCCTTGCACTACACATTTTAACAGTGCAGCAGCCTGGTCAGAGGGACAGACAGCTGTGATGAAACTTGATCTCATGACTCAGTTATAGCTGTAACTCAGACAAGGCCTAAGGGCCTGTTCTCACCACCGAGCTCAGCTATATGCAAGCACAATTAGAGAGCACCAGTGTTACAACATGTTTTGGTTTCTAACAAGGATGCCCCAGCATGCCCCGTGTGTCTGGATTATGGTTTCCTACCTGCTTTGTACAGTGTGGCTGCACAGCCTTTATCCCACCCAAAACACAAAGCTGTGATTAAGACAAGCACCTCATCCGTGCCAGGGCATGATCACATTTCTAGTGTGGGTTCAAAACAATCAAATTTCCTGCTGCCACCCTCTTCGTTTACCGCTTTCTTTGATGTGCTCCTGGTGCTGCTAAAAAAGCCATCTTTGCAAAGCCAACACTGGCATTTGCAAATGTGTGAAGATTAACCTTACCATTTTCTGCTTTTTAGGAGTTGTCACATCCAACTCCAGAAAACCGAAATACTAAAATCCTTTCGAAATGCTAAATATGCATACAGGCAAATTCAACTGTTAAACCCCTTGGCTCCCCACCTCCACTACATACAGTTCGCAATTCCTAAAACAGTGCCGCATCAGCAACAATTCAGAGGGTCTGTGTGAACGACCAAGTCTACAAGCGTCATATCAAATGCCATTTTTCATAGTACAGTGGTACCTCGGGTTAAGTACTTAATTCGTTCCGGAGGTCCATTCTTAACCTGAAACTGTTCTTAACCTGAAGCACCACTTTAGCTAACGGGGCCTCCTGCTCCCGCTGTGCCGCCGGAGCAGAATTTCTGTTCTCATCCTGAAGCAAAGTTCTTAACCCGAGGTAGTATTTCTGGGTTAGCGGAGTCTGTAACCTGAAGCATATGTAACCTGAAACGTATGTAACCCGAGGTACCACTGTATACCATAATTTGGTGCGTTATTACGACAGTTCTTGCCTACTTTGCTACATTATAAATCATTGCTCTTGTGTTTAAAACAGGGCAGTATGGCATTGCTGGCAGCCCCAGAGTTCAAGAATACTAGTGCTATTAACAGTTGTGGCTTGTGCCATCAGATGCCAAGCACCACAACAGGCCTCTCTACAAGCATTCAAAAGAATAAAGCGCTCAAACTGTGTGGGGTGCAGAGCTGTGCACACTGGCACAACCACCTCCATGCCACGCACACCTACCCGTCCCTCTTGAGTTTTTGCTTGTGAGCGAAACTCAACCTGTGTGCAGGGTTCCTGATCATGGGGAGGATTCTGACATTGCTCAACTCCACACAAATACAGCTTGCACCCATGTGTATTCTCTTGAATGTCTGAACAGAGGTTTGGCTGCCAGCAATAGCGGTCACAAACGTTGACTGATAAATCAACTCAGAAGGCAGAACAATCGGTATAGTAACCACCATTCAAGAATAGTTTTGTACATGCAGAACCACCAACCCATTTCCGTAAGAAGAGAATCTGTTTCAGTAGGGCTAATTTCAGTGATATGAAAAGTTGTACCAGAGCAAAATGTTTGGAAGAGGAACCATTAAAAAAAAAATCTGTTCACTGGTTGGATGGACATCTTTATCCCATAATAAAATGCTGGCAGCCTGGAAAAAATAGTTTTCATGTCTACTTATTGCTCTTTTTTTACTATTAACGTTTGTTTGTGGCAGGACATTAAACATTGTTTTTGTTTCATTAAGCACCTAGTGTTCCAATGGACCCAAGAAAGAATTTGCCCCATCTTCGCTAATCCTTATTTTCAACCTGCTATGGAAATACAGTATGGCAAAATTCACTTCAACACATGGCCGGAGGCTACAGATGACCAGTTGCCAGATGACAAGGCGGCAAGTGACCCAGAGTGACTTTTCAATCAGCTGTCAAGTGATAAACGGCAACCTGCATCCACCAAAAGTCCATATGACACGTTGTTGAATTATTCTCATCATGAACCTTTCTTGTAAGAGAAGCTGTCCATCTAGCCATCGATTCCTATAACTGCTGATTAGAAGGGCATTGCCCTGTTACCATTTTCTATATGTAAAGTTTTCCACTTCTAAAAACTGCAGTTTCCTAATGTTAAAATAAGTAACAAAGGTTTGGGGCTGTAAGCTCCTGTGAGCAGCTCTCTCCTAGTGGGATGCTCCAGCTGGCTGAAAAGATCGAGAGTCTTCTCCTGTCCCCCTACACCACACACTGGAAGTTTGCTCCAGATGGTTGGAGGAAGCCTCTGAAATAGCATGGAAGGCGATGCTGGGGGCTACAGGGGGAATAGGCAAAGAAATAAATAAAAGTTATCTCCTCTCTCCAGTATAAGCCTCCACTAGAAAAGAGTCTATAAATGTGAGGAGTGTTTCCAGTGATAGAAAGGCAACCCAGGATTCAAGGTCAATGAAAGAATATAAAAATCAGTCTAACCCAGGGTTCCCCATACTTGGGCCTCCAGCTGTCTTTGGCCTTCAGTTCCTATCATCCCTGACTACTAGTCCTGCTAGCTAGGGATGATGGAAGTTGTAGTCCAAAATCAGCGGGAGAGCCAAGTTTGGGAAACCCTGGTCTAACCAAACACTTTCAAAATTGTATGTTAAGTTTTTGCAGGCAATTATCCCTGGGAAGCAAATATCAACTCTTACATACACATTTATATACAGTGGCACCTTGGTTTACAACCATAATCCGTTCCGGAGGTCCGGTTGTGAACCAAAACAGGTTGTAAGCCAAGGCATGCTTTCGCCAATGTGGCCTCCCCAAAAAATGGGTTGTAATCCCCCCCCCCAAGAGGTTGTAATCCAAAAAAAAGGGAACGCACTTCCGGGTTTGACGTGGTTGTAATCCAAAACGGTTGCAAACCAAGGTACCACTATACAGTATGAGTTAGGAGAGCTTTGCTACTATGACTCATACCAGCAATCTCAGGATTGGGCTACTGAAGTTCGCTCTGTGTGGGGCTGCCCTTAAGGCTGCTCCAGAAGCTCCAACTCCTGCAAAATGAAGCGGTTCATGCTGCATTTTACACAGGGTTCCTGAAGGCATGCTTTCTGCCTTACTGCCCCGTTCAATCACTGCCCCATTCAATTGCTACAATCAGCTGATAAGACCCTCCCGGGATGTGCCCAAGCCCAAGCCTATGTGAGCGTGGCTGGCAGCAACTGGGGGGGGCCTTTTTGGAGTGGCACCCTTGCTATGGCATCACCTCTCCTTTGAGCTTAGGCATGTGCCAAACCTCCTGGTGTTCCAACGCCTTTTAAAAACGCATTTATTTTTTGAGCTTCAACTTTGATAAAGTTGACCTCCAGCTTTAGGAAGAAAAGGGGAAGGAGTAGCAGCTAACCAATGTGCCCAGGTGTGATGGAAACTTGGGTTTTATATTACACCAGTGTGCTTTTTGTTTGAGGTACTCAAGGGAGAAAAGCCCTATATTACACACACATACAGAGTGATCAAGGCGAACCATTTCTAAACATACCTAAATCAGGAAGCATGCATTCAAAATGCCACAATTAAAGCAGAGGATCACATTCGTACAGTGCCTCAGAATCAAGGGTGAGTGATATGTTCCCCATAAATAACTTGCATTAATGCTACAGGAGATTAGCTGGCATGTTACAACAAGAGCAAAAACTAGAGCATTTTACCCCAAAAATAATTAAAAAGCTTCACATGAACATGGATCACCAGCTTGCCATGACTAAACATTTATTTCAACTGTTTAAAAATCATGATGGTGATTTTTTTAAAAAAATCACATTTATTAGGCTTTCCCTAATCTAACCCCTTCTTAACATGGCTCCACACAGCCAGTCCTCTCTCTCCCGGCTGCTGAAAAGATGCAAAATCCAGCTTTATTGAGCAGATTCAACTCATCTCAGGAGGAAACCATAAACACAGTGGTACTTCGGTTTATGAACTTAATCCATTCCGGAAGTCTGTTCTTAAACCAAAGCTGTTCTTAAACTGAGGCGCGCTTTCCCTAATGAGGCCTCCCGCCGCCGGTGCCCCTCCACTGTTCAGCTTCTGTTCGTAGACTGAGGTAAAGTTTGCTATCCGGAACACTGCTTCTGGTTTTGCGGAGTTCGTATACCGAATAGTTTGTAAACAGGGTTGTTCTTAAACCGAGGTACCACTGTACACCGAAAAGCTCCACAAAGCAAAGAGTTTATCAGTCTTAACTGGAAAAGTTAACCCCACCAGGAATGTTGATAGGAGCAGAGCCTTACAATTTCTGGTATCAAAGCTGCAAATGTGTTAAGCGGGGCAAGAGTGCTTCTGCTTCAATTCAAAATCTTGAAAACACCACCACCACCACCACCACCCAGGTCAAGAAAGCTTGACCACTGCCCTATCCCCAGGACAATTCAATTTTTATTGATTGAGCCAGGACAGATTCCTTGCTCTGCAGCGTGTGAAAATGCCATTCAATGCCAGATTCCGATTTGCTGCATTCAGACTGACTGGTTTTCAAATCTGGCAGCCTAAAGCCCAAAAAGCAAATAAGACGAGACTGACAAGGCTATTTATTAGTCACCAATTAAGAGGGTGGTAAAAAGAGAGAAAGAATATACTAGTGAGCTGGGGAATCATAGAACAGCACCACCTATGCTCGCCTAGATCAGGTCTCCGATTTAAACAGCGCAGGCCAAAGGACAGATCATTATTGCCCTTTTGTCTCCATACTGCCCACCAACATTTCCAGCTGAAAATCTCTCCCAAAGCTCCATCTCAGATTCCTGCTCTGACCATAGATGATAAGTCAACTGCCTGCCTCATTTCCTCCCTTTACAAACGAATGAATACAGCTCTTCCAGTCTCTATTATATGCCCAGACAACTCCATGGAGGACAGTTGGGATGAACCCAGCAGGCTAAAATTCTAGGGAGGACAGGGGTGTGAACTTACTTCCTTTACACAGTGTGAAGTTAAACTATGGAACTCTCTTCCAAGAGAGCTAGTGATGGCCACCCAACTTGGGTGGCTTTTAAAAAGAGGATCAGGCAAATTTATGGAGGATAAAGCCTCCACTGGCTACTAGCTATGATGGCTACATTCTGCATCCACGGTCAGAAGCAGTGCTGGCAAGCACATATGGGGAGAGAGAGGGCTGTTGTAAGCATGTCCGGCATGCTGGCTCCCCATAAGTACCTGGCTGACCAGTGGAAGAGCAAGATGCTGACCTAGACAGGTCTTTCACCTGATGCAATAAGGCTCTTCTGATGTTGGCAGCTACAGCCCCTTTCCAACAGAAAAGGACTTGGCCACTGCACTCCATGCTCTGGTAAGACTGGATTGTTGCAATGACTCTATGTGGGGGGCTGCCTTTGAAGATGACTCAGCATTGATCCAAAATGCAGCGGCCAGATTACTGGCTGGGGTTCTATTTCGATCTCGTATAACCCCTGTTTTAGAACAGTAGTTTGGCCCCGATTCAAATGTGCTCATGTTAAGAGTTTAAAGCAGGGTGGATAAAAATCAATGATTTTTTAATTTAAAAAATCATCAAAAAATTGGGTTTTTTAAAATTTAAATTGGATTTTTAAAATAAAATGCTTTTGGTAGAAAAAAATCTTTCTAAATATAGTTTTCTTTTTAAGTTACATTATAGTCCAAAGGCTATTCATCAGGAAATAAGAATTTGTTTTAAGTTTCTCATGTGTGCTAAAACTCAGTCTAAGTTTTTGTGTTTTTTAATGTTTAAGCACATCAGTTAACAAACATGGAGACATATGCTATAATGTTATTGTTTTAGTTAACTAGTTTAAATTGTTATTAAGGAAATGATTATTTTTCTCTTTCCAATAAAGTACAGCAGAAAAGTTTTCCAAATATAAACAGTTAACTTATTAAACCTCACAATAATTTCATGATTATGTATTTCTAATAGTAAAACCAAATCAGTAATTTTGATACAACTGTAAAAACTACTCTGACAATTTATTATTATAACAATGAAACCTTCACCTGGTTGTAAATATCAAGATTATACCAGCAAGGATGAGTCTGTTTAAAAAAAGAAGAAGATTTAAATCAAGTCTTACTGACTAGTGATTTAAATTGTGATTTAAGTCGATTTGATTTAAATCAAATCCATCCTGGTTTAAAGCCGTAAATGTCTTAGGCCTCAAATATCTAAAAGATGGTTTTGTTCCCTTCTCAAGTTTGAAGATCAGCACAGGAGACCATCTTGATAGACAGCAGTGTCCTAAGAAGCTAGGGGTGATGGGCCAAGAGGAAGCATTTTCCACAGCAGCCCCCAATATTTGGGACTCCCTCCCCACAGAAGTGTGCCTGTCATCTTCACTATACAGTACTCTGCAAATGCTGAAGACAAAACTCTTTACTCTGGTTGTTGACACCAGGGATTTTTAGGACCCACCCTATTCTTGAAATTTTAATTTGTTTTAAACTGTTTCTTTTTAATGTTGTGATTTAAATTGTTTTAACCCACCCAGGGACCTCAGGGTGAAGTGTGGGCACTAAAATAAAACTGGTGATGGTGATCTTATGGGAGCACAGAAAACCCACAAAACAGAACTCTGGTTTTTAAGAGAGCGTCCACTGTAAACTCAGGAGTCAGAGGGATTCAACACCATACATATAACTAGCAAGGGCAAACAAAATAATGTGAAGTTGGAATTAAGAGAAATATTAGGAGAGAAAGAAGCCATTTTGGCATGCAAATGGTATATATATTAATAATTATAATGGTAACAATAATGTAAATTGACTTCAGTTGAATAATTCATACAGACCACAGACGTGAACTCTTCTTGGTACAGAATTTTGCACTTATTTTGGTTTGCTTTTAAGATACACAAAGCCCCAGCAAAGGATTGGGGAAGTCATAGTGGCACCCTAAAACTCCCACCGCCCCCAACTACTGGACATGTTAGCAAGAGTCCAACAACAACTGGGGGGGGGGGCGGTTAGCAAACTCACAATCCCTAGTATGAGTTAATTTGTACAATGTCAACTGTGATGATTTGGTAACCAAAGAGCTAATTATAACCATAGCAGGTCAGTTAAGACTTTAAGTTACGGAAAAGTAAAGCTTGGTTTGTTGTTAGCTTCTGAACCATGGCTTCTTAGGGGGAAACAAACCACCATTCAGATGTCCTGTTTGTGCCAGGGGAGGAGCAATCGAGCTGTGTGCACAGGCACACTACTCATTCATGGTCAACCATTGTTAAGCCACAACCCCTGGCTTATCGTTATGTGCAAACATGGCCACTGAAACTCCCATTTAAGTTTGGGGCTCACGTTTAGGTTCTGTAACTTGGCTGCTCTCTGCCAGACAAGACACGCATTAAAGACACTGGAGAAAACCAGCCCTTCCGCAAATGCAGTCGATTCTCATGGTCTGAGGAAGCCTGTTTAACACTTAACCAGCCAACACAGCGTAGTCCCACCCAAATCATTCAACACAGAGAGAAGCAGCACAGACAAAAATGACAGTCTTGTGCTAATTCAGGGGCTGATTCAACCCTTTCTAACCTGAAGCTGCCTGGGGGACAGTGGTTGGAGGGAGAGAAAGCAATACAGTGGTACCTCAGGTTAAGTACTTAATTCGTTCCAGAGGTCCGTTCTTAACCTGAAACTGTTCTTAACCTGAAGCACCACTTTAGCTAATGGGGCCTCCTGCTGCTGCCGTGCCACCGGAGCACGATTTCTGTTCTCATCCTGAAGCAAAGTTCTTAACCTGAAGCACTATTTCTGGGTTAGTGGAGTCTGTAACCTGAAGCGTATGTAACCTGAAGCGTATGTAACCCGAGGTACCACTGTACTCAACTTGGCACATTCAAGGGATACAGAGCCACTGCTTCCCAAGGGAGATCTGCACAAACACAGCAGCTACAGCAGGTACTTAAATTGCTGCCAGGGAGAAGTAGCTGTATTCATGGAGACATCAGGCCAGACATTGCTTCCTTCATGCATCTTTGTCCCCTGGGCAACTCTGGGCAAGGCAGGTTACAAACTCCCCTGCCGAGGGGGAAACAAACAAACAACAAGCAAAACCACCCTGGTCCAAGGCACAAGTCACTGATACCACCACTTTGTGATGAAGGCAGGAGTACAAATGGATTCAGAAAGGCATTGCCATTTCTCCCAAAAAAATCATTTAGATAATTGTTTAGAGATGGGGAGGGGGGGGTCAAAGCGACTTATCAGACGCCATCCTTCAAAACACTTCCCATAAGCTTTGCAACAGGGACTGAGTCAGCAAGCGATCTGTCTGACATCACCTTCTCTAAGCGCCTGGGACCTCAAAAGCCAACAGCCATCAGTTTGATAGGGGGAATATGAAGCTGTTAAATACATTTATGCAAACGTTCACGCGGAAGAAAACACATGCAGAACTAGGGAGACACATGCAAACTGACAAAAAAGGGGCTTTTTTATATATCACAGTTTCCATGAGACAGCAGATAAGCAATCAAAAAGCAATCTTGCAAACCGATGGTTCATAGGAAATAAGCCTTGATTTGTATTTTAGCCTCATCTATAAGCTACTTGTCCTGGTTTCAGTCTCTCTCTGTCAAATAAACACCAATGACTACCAAGAAGAAGCGTGTATCCCTTGTGTTTAACTTCACTGCAGTTTTATATAATTTAATCAAAGTAGTAGGCCTTGAAAGGATCAATTTCCAAACAGGCCTAAGGGTGATTTTGAAGGTAATCAAGCAATCATCACTGTGCAGGGAAGTGGAGGGTGGGGGCAGATGTTGCGCTTGCTCTATCCAACTCACAACCAAATCTTGCAGACAGGTTTCCTATAATCACAAGGAGATCTTTATTGCCCCAAAGATTCTAGTAGGAAGCAGCTTTGTGCTTCCCAAGAGGCAGAGGCAACAAACACGTGCAGAGATAGAATAAAAACAATGATAGGTTTAATGACCACAGAGGCAGCAACAGAAGATAACGGAATCTGGGCACATATTGGCCTAAGGACTGAGGAAACAGGAGGAAGAATTTGGGAGTGGGGTAGGCAGACACAGTGCGTCAGGAATTGGGATGACTTTATATGGTTGGGTTGAGTGCACACATTTAGTTAGCTAGTATTTCAAATCTGGGGTACAATCCTGTTTTTCTTACAACAGCCCCACCCTTTGCACCAAGGTAATCTAAGGATTTGACAACATTTATATATTGAAATTTGTATACCGCCCTTCATCTGTAAATCTCAGGGCAGTTCACGACATAAAAATACAAGATGAAAACACAAAATACATAATAAAAAACAAGGGGGGGACAAACAAATAACCCCCCTTCCATTCCCAAACACACACTTAAAAGGGTATAGGATGTTAATCAGCCAAAGGCCTGTTTGGGGGGAATATTTTTGCCTGGCGTAGAATGAAGGTACCAGCCGAACCTTCCTGCAGAGAGCATTCCACAAACAGGGAGCTGCTGCAAAAAAGGTCGTTCTCATGTTGCTGCCCTCTGGACCTCTTGGGGAGGGGGAGGGAGGCACACAAAAAAGAACATGAAAGCTTATGCCATAATAAATATGTTAGGGCCAAATTTAACCAACTGGTCCCACCAGTCAAATCCCATGCAGGGATTTCTTCTAATGGAGCAAGCCTTTTCACCTTCTCCTTCTCTCACCTGCCCCTCAAACTGGATCAGGGGAAGGGGGAGAACTCCCAAAACAACGCACAGAGGGAGAAGAGGAGAAATTGTTATTTCAGATTCCAGTTATCTTACTGATTGTAAGCTACATGGGATCCATATCCCCAGTAAGCCTCAGAATTGCACGTGGAGTGAGTGACATCCGTGGAACACTTGCAGGGAAGGGGAGCGCTCCTGTGCCTATTGCACTGCAAGTCTCTTTCTCTTTTTCACCGCCACATACATCAGTTTTCAGCTCACATGTATAACTGAGAACGTAAAGAGAGCCCTGCTGGATCAAGCTAAAGGCCCATGTAGTCCAACGTTCTGTTTTCACAGTGGTGAAACAAATGACTATGGGAGCCTTCAAACTAGACACGAGTGCAGCAGCAATCTCGCCATTCATGATCAACTGGTATTCTAGCCATCATGACTAGCGAGATTTGTGTGCTCAAAGAATCATACCAGATAAAAATCCTGGGCTGGGAGAAGAAGAAGAGTTTGGATTTGATATCCCGCCTTTCACTCCCTTTAAGGAGTCTCAAAGCGGCTAACATTCTCCTTTCCCTTCCTCCCCCACAACAAACACTCTGTGAGGTGAGTGGGGCTGAGAGACTTCAAAGAAGTGTGACTGGCCCAAGGTCACCCAGCAGCTGCATGTGGAGGAGCGGAGACGCAAACCCGGTTCCCCAGATTACGAGACTACCGCTCTTAACCACTACACCACACCACACTACACCACACTGGCTCTCTGGAGGCAGCTTGCAGAAAGCTTCCCATTGCTGCGAGTGTGAGGCTTTCCTAAATAGCTCCTCAATGAAAACAACAGGGCAGGTCCCTTGATCACCTTGGTAAATGCAACCTCCTCAGACCAGCCTACTGAGAAAGAAAGAGAGTATGTTACCCACACTTCCCCCCCCCCCCAAAGCATGTATATTTCACCCCTGCAACCTCTCTTGAATGATGAAAGAAAACCTCTGTTAAGGTTCAGCACGGCACTAGCTCACACACTTTCTAAACAGCCAAACTTTCATCTTACAAGCAGATGAGAGCACGGGCAGCTAGCAGCCTTTTGTCTTTTCAATTAAATGGATGCCTCCCAAATCCATGCTTAGGCCATAAAGCCTGCAGTGTCTCAACACATGCCACTTAGATGGTCGTATGGGACCACTTTGAAAACCAACTGTGATATAGCTTTATGTGATTGTCTGTTTTCTGTGCACTTCCTGGGAAGCAGTGAAGACTGCCAAACCCCATCTTTTTACCAACCACATTTTATATGTATCAGGTTATTCCCATAAGTTTATAATATGCTATACCCATATACTGGGAATCTGGGCTAACACAGGATTAGGCTTAGATCGCCCCCATAATTTGTGGGCACCACCGATCTCATTCTTTCACTGAGCCAGAGAATTCTGGGGGTGGGTTATCATATTACACTGGACAGGCTCTGTTCCAAAGCCCAGAACAAGTAGACAACCCCTCCTCTCTGAAAGCACAAGTTCTGGAAAAATGTGAGTTCTAAAATGAGAAACCTGACTGAAAGTCAATCCATCTTGATTGCCATAAAATATACTGGACATGCACACACACCCCATGCATAAAACCTTTGACTCCTCTGCACCTTATGAAGGGTGCAGTATACATATTCTGAAAGGGGGTGGCTACCTGTGTAGCCCTCCAGTTGTTGTAGATCAGTTCCCATCACTTCTGACTATTGGCCATGCTAGCTAGGACTGATGGGAGTCATAGATCACCAACACCTGGGTAGCTGAAGGTTAGTCACCCGTGTTGCAAATTAACAAACGAATTGAGTGTGTAAATAACATCCTCCTGGTCCTTGTCTTAAAAATAAATAAATGCCACACACACACACTCTCCCCGTTTTGAGTCAAGAGACAACCTTTGAGCTCTTTGAAGTATGTACTGCGGTCCCACCACAACATACTAAAACTGCGCACAGCTTGCACACATAGCCAAGGCCTTGCTGCTCTTTGTCAACTACCACTTTCTATGTCCTGGGTGAGTGCTCTAGATGTGTACAGAATGGATGCACAGTCATCAAGAGCAAAAAAATAAATCTTCATAACGTGGTTTCTGTAAAGGGGAGAGGTGAAGAGGAAACAGCAGCCATCAACCACCACTAATATCACAAACAGCCAAAAAGTACCTCTGATACTCCTGCAGCAATGGATGTAACCACAGTTTCTCTGGGGCTTTCTGTATCAGGCCCCAAAATGTGATACCAGCCTGTTCCTAGGCCCAAATTCTCAAATACAACTAGATAACTATCTTGCTGTCTTGTGGAACATTCACCTTCTTTCCAGATACACTTTTCCTTAAAACTTTTGGAGAGCAAGCAAACAGTATATTTTTTTCTAATAAACCTAAACTGCCGTACAGTGCTAAAAAAACCCCAGAACTACTATTTAGGGATGAGTTTCATTTACCAACATAGCTCCACGGACTGACCTCTATGGTTTGTTGACAAACACACGGCTAGAAAATCACACATGCATTCTGCATGGGGAAGGACATAAATAGATGTTTAGGCCATGACAAAAAGTGGGGAGCAGACTGTCAACAACTCTGACTAGACAAGACTCTCCCACTTATGTCAACATCGGTGCTACTCTAAGTTAATGAGAGGAAGGTTGGGAAAACAGGGTTAACCTGTGTTACTCAAGGTCAACTACTTGAGATGCACAGAAACAAACCAGGCTATGCCAAGTCCTCCTTCATTATACTTACAGATTATCACTGCTCTTCAAATGTACAGATTTGCAATAAGATGCACATTACCACCAAACATTTATAAAGTTCAAAGAGCAAAGAAACAACCAATATGGTACTGGCAGAACAGCAGCATATTATATGTTGAAAATGAATACATACTGTGGCAGTTTTGTAGAAAGTAATATTTTAAATCAGCATGAGTGCATCTGATGAAGTAGGCCAGGCTTCCTCAACCTCGGCCCTCCAGATGTTTTGAGACTACAATTCCCATCATCCCTGACCACTGGACCTGCTAGCTAGGGATCATGGGAGTTGTAGGCCAATCTGGAGGGCAGAGGTTGAGGAAGCCTGAAGAAAGCTGTTGCCCTGCCCTCAGCTCATGCCACAACATACCAACCAGCAAACAGTTTATATATCAGCGGCAAATATACATTAAATGTAAGTTACAACATGAAAAAGTAAAACCTAAAATCATACATACAAAATAGACATACAATGACTTCGCTCTTTCCCCTCCTCTCCTTCTAGTGAAGGAGGCTGAGTACTCTTTAACAATTAACTGTTAGTTTGTTTGTTGACCAAGGGGGAGGGGGGAATTGTGCACTGTCTCACTTTCACACGCAAAAGCCAAAATTAACTTTGCAGAACTGGACAATGTGAATTCTCTGAATGTGTGGGTTGGCTGTACAGACCAACGCACTGTTTTTCATTTTTGTTTTATTTGAATAAACCAAATAAAGGACTCCCCCACAGAGTAGGCAATTTCATACCTCAACATTTTCCATAGGATTTGTAAAGGGAGCAACTGCCAACTGAAGCCACGAGCCAAGAGAGTAGTCAGACAAGTAAAAGATGCCAACAAAGAGGCCTATTTTTTATTTTTTAAAAATAAACACAGAACGAGTCTTCCTATGTTCTTCAGAGAACTAAATCAAAGCTTTTAATGTACCCGGTTCTTTAAAGTGTGCAAGTCACCTCCAAAGCAACAAATAAAATCTACAAGGCAACTTAATAAAAAAAAGGTACCCGAGCCTTTGGGCACCTCCCAAACACTTTAGAGGTATAATCAACCAGCAACTTAACAACAAAGACCAGTCCAAACACACACTCAAAAATAAAAATAAAGTAAGGCTCTTGCTTCAAACCAAATTATCCATCTCCCTTCCATTTTTATTTATGACTTTGCCAAGCTGCTCTCTTTCTCTTTTCCTGCAAGAGCTGCAGCTTAAGAGGGAAGGGCTTCTACTTGGCAAGGTAATGAGTAACATCTGTAACCACAGTTGCCCTGTGGGCATCTGAAGATGAATCCCACATTCCTGCCTTTGATGCTGCTGGAAGACTATAGCCAGGAAAGGAGGGAGGGAGCCAAGGAAAGTTTACAGATTCTCTTTCCTCCCTGACCCCCTCCTTCTCCTCCTCTCCCTCTCTTCCTGCACCAGAAGAAGCTTGCCTCCCAGAAGTGATTAAAGGATGTGCCCCCTCCCCCCACCTCAAATCTCCTCTTAAGTTTCCGCCTCTGGAAGCAGAGCTCAGATGTAATATTATTGGCTTTGGGAGCTTTTCTGGAAGGATTCTTAAAGGCGCGTCCGAAACGCCCATTTACACAGACAGAACAGGAGCAGGCACTGCAAGAACCGCACATTATTGTACAGTATTCCGAATCGAGTTCCTGGCTTGGTTTTTAAAAACAAATAAATAAATTCTACGTATATTTTATATATATATATATAAAGAAGTGGGGGCTCGTTGTTTTCCAAACAAGCGGCGTAAGAAGGAAGGGGGTTGGAAATCGAGATCTTTTTAAAAAAATTAAAATAAAATAATAATCGTCTCCAACACAGTTCCAGAGACGCAGTAGGAGGCGGGTTTTGACCCACGCGTGGGGGGGAGGGGAGGGAAAGGACGCATTTTGGACCCCGAGGAGAGAAGAGGGAGAGGCTGCTGGATTTGGGGCGGGAGTGAGATCCAAAGGGCGAGCCTCCGCTCAGACAGGCAGCTCCACTCACCTCTTCATAGCACCGCAGACAAAGGCGAAGAAGCAGGGGGGAGGCGGCGGCGGCGCGGGATCCCCAGGGATCCTAAGGGAGGAGGAGCAGGAGGAACTTCCCGTCCATGGGCTTTGCTGCTGCTGCAGCGGCTGCTGGTGCTCTGTCTGTAGCTGCAAGGAGGGCTGGCGGCGGCGCAACCCCTTCCCGGAGACCCGCGCTGTAATCACGGCGCTGCGCCCGGCCGCATCTTCCCAGCGCCCGGCCCCCTTTCCGGCGATGCCTGAGCTGCCCGCAGCGGCGCCTTTGGGGAGCCCGGAGGAGGAGGAGAAGTTCCCGTCGAGTCGCGACGGGGAAAAGTTGGCAGCGAAGAGCGAGCCAGGCGCAAAGTTCCGAAGAGGCAGCCAGGCGAGCCGAGGCGAGGAGGAGGAGGGGCTACTCAGCCGGGGATACAGCTGCAGTGAGGGAGGAGGAAGTGGCTGCTCCCTGCTCTGCCAATGGGAGTCTGGAGCTGTAATTAACCAGGCAAGCCAGGCACATCATTTCCTCCCGGCGCAAATCCAGGCGCCAGAGCAGAGACGCCCCGTCTCGCCCCCTGCAGGACCGAGCCGGGAATCACACCCGGCCCCACGAGACACCCAGACGTGGCACGCCCACAGGGCACACGCAGATGCCCCCACACTTGTCTGGGAGCCACCCGGGTGGCCCGGGCTCGGTTTTTTGGAAGGAAAAAAAAATCAAGCAAGCGCATGCAAGCCGCCTCTTAAGTTACGATTTTTTTTCTTGCCCTAATGGACCACGCAGCGCCAAAGTCTTCACCCATCGCTCTTCCAAGCCGTGTTTTGATCACACGCACACGCGCGCGCGCACAAACCTCTTTTTAGCAACTCGAGGGGGAAAGATCGCGCATTCAGGAAGGGTCGGATCCAGGCTGCTAGGCCACCATCACACCCGTCTCTCACAGGAAACGGATGGGGTGGTTCAGTTGTAAGAGAACAGCACACTGCACATGATCAGAGACTCTTAGTACATCTCAGGGATGAGCTTTGCCACTAAAAATAGACCGCGAGTTCCAATCACTTTTTTATTAAAAAGAAAAAAGAAAACCTTTGGCCTGTCTCGCCAACGTAGAAAAAAAATGTTTCGTTTTTGTACAGGGGGGGAGAGCTTTCTGAGCCTTGTGTTTGAGTGGTTTGAATAAGTTGAGGTTATATTTTTCACTGCTTAAACTAGTGAACAAATTGAAGCTGTTTGATTTAAATACTTATTCTAATAGGAATTTATCTTAAGGAAAGCTGTAGCTTAGGAGAAGGGGCATAGCACAGCGGTAGATAGAGAGCATCATGCAGGCGGTCCCAGGTTCCCTATTTCACATTTCAGTGTTTCAGATTTACATAATTTTTAGAAACAACACTGAAAATAGTGTACATTGCTAGCAATTCTTTATTCACTTACCTGGGAGTGAGCCTCGTTGAATTCAATAGGACTTGCTTCTCAGCTGGTGTACAGTGGTATCTCGGGTTAAGTACTTAATTCGTTCCGGAGGTCCGTTCTTAACCTGAAACTGTTCTTAACCTGAAGCACCACTTTAGCTAATGGGGCCTCCTGCTGCCGCCGCGCCGCCAGAGCACGATTTCTGTTCTCATCCTGAAGCAAAGTTCTTAACCCAAGGTACTATTTCTGGGTAAGCGGACTCTGTAACCTGAAGTGTATGTAACCTAAAGCGTATGTAACCTGAGGTACCACTGTATAGACTTGTATTGTAACCCTTGAAAGATTTTTACCGCTTCAGTTTGTAACATCAGCAAATTTCTTCAACAAGATATATTCCTGAGGCATTTTATTATATTTTATTTAAACAATCCCTGCTCCTGAGTTTCCGCTTGTGTGCATAAGGAGAGAAATACGCTGCCCCCGTGGCTCCCTTCCTTCCCAACCTTTGCAGGCTGCCTCTCCCTGTGTCTGTCAGCAAAGGGTGCCCTCAGGGCAGGGTGGCAGGAGCTGAAGTTCAAAGGCACGCTGTGGCATCCATCAGAGGGGTCAGGCCAGACTCACACTGGGAGAGCTGCTTGAGGGATGACAGGAGGTGGCTGTCAAGGTGTCTGTCAGGAGCAGGTCAGCAATAACTCACACAGTGCCCGTGAAGTTAACTTTCTTCAAAGAAACAAAACAGCTTAGGAGGCCAGGCCTAGTGAGCACAGCAACTCTTCCTGGTAAATCTTGCCGCAATTAGGCAGTTGTGAGCACTGAAGGTCCCCACCTTCCCACAGCTCCCTAAGTCTCCTCCTCGCCCCCCCTCCGTTCCTACCCACACAATCTGAGGCCCCTTAGTCTTACCCGCCTTTGCTCTGCCCTCTTCAGACCCCCCGAGGTCCACAATGCATTGCAAGGTGGATGAATTATCTCTTTGTGGCAAAGGGATGGCAGGAAGATATAAGTTGTGCTGCAGAGGTATAGCCTTTCATTTGTATACTATTTTTCCCCATTTCAACCCTGGTGGTTTGCAGGAAAGGGGGTGGAAATTGGAAAAGCAAACAGGAGAGCTGGGTGGAAGGGGGTGGGCAGAGGAAGAGAACAGAACTTCTTTGAGCTGCAGGGATCTTTCCTGCTGATGCTTGTTCCTGCATTTTTCCATGTCTGTTCCTGTAACTCCATTTCTAACCCAAACTGCATCTTTACTTTCATATATGTTTTTGAAGGATGCAACTCTTTGCTTGTTGCTTGTTTTTTCTTTTTTCTTTCCTTCTTTTTTAAAAAAGTTACATGGTCCTTTATTGTAAGAAGATACTTTAGCAAGGAGATTTCTTTTTTTCCCCTTTTGGGTACATATCAAGAGCAGATTACATAATTTATGAACAGCTTTTTGAGCGGCACTTACATTACTCTGCTGAGTCGATATTTGAGGATACTGGAGCACGGGTTGAAGAGGAGTCCAGCGCAGACCAATTTTGGAACATGCATATCCCAGGAATATGACCCCATTTAGATCTTGATGTGAATTGTGAGCAGACATGCATTCCTCAGCAGCAAGGCTTTGTAGCATTTGGAAAGCTAGTGGTGCAAAATTGCAGCTTTGGGATCCCCCACAGCCCTTTGAAGTTAATCTACTTTACAGCTTCTTAATCAACTGCTTTCTTCTACCAAGAAGGTGTTACCATTGTTTGCATTACAAAAGGAAAGGGAATGGATATGGAGATACACAAGAAATACCATGCAAATCTACCCTGGCAATCCTCATTGCTCAGGAAAATCACCAAAATGTAGCTGTTTGGCATTGTGCTTGTGTGAGTCATTTGTGTTAAGTTTTGGCCATTTGGAAGAGGTGAAGCAAGGGGCATTGTTCTTCCCTTGCCCTCTTTGTGTGTCTTCAGAACCACCCTAAGAAGTAAATAAAAAAGGTAGAAGAAACCATGCTGATCCATTAAAAAAATTCCCAAATCTACTGCTGGGCAATACCTTTAAGAACTGCCCTGGGCTCCTTCAGGAGGAAAGGCAGGATATAAATCAAATAAGTAACAGCAACCAACGTGTCACAAAGTACTGAGCGAGATTTCATGCCCACCAGACCTCTTCATCTGGGCTAGATGTTCTGGAAAAACTCAAAAGCTTGCCCAACACTTCATGGCATTTCGGTTGGTCCCAACTGCCCACTTATGAACCTACAAACACGGAGATGCATTTTGCAAATGGAGGTTATGAAGCTGAGAATAGTTTCCCCACTCCCTGTGCACAGTTACAAAAGTAGGAGTGGGAGACAGTCATCTGGAATTAATGTTGACAAAATTTCCCGAAGTTGCTGCTTTAGGATCAAAGTAACCACTCCAAGCTGAAGTGTACAACATTGAGTGTCATAAGTGCTAGGAAGGAAGGAAGGAAGGAAGATGCAGAGAGACCATAGGGTGTTCTATTAGATCCACACAGTTCTAATATAAATTGAAAATGTAGAGTGAATAGTTTTCATTGCTGCATGGGAAAGTTCAGCCTGTGGTGGAAGACTGAGCAATTGCGAAGGCCTAGACCAGAGATCCTCCAGAGCATGGGTAGGCAAACCAAGGTCCAGAGGCTGGATCCGGCCCAATCGCCTTTTAAATCCGGCCCGTGCACGGTCTGGGAATCAACGTGTTTTTACATGAATAGAATGTGTCCTTTTATTTAAAATGCATCTCTGGGTTATTTGTGGGGCATAGGAATTCGTTCATTCCCCCCCACAAAATATAGTCCAGCCCCCCACAAGGTCTGATGGACAGTGGACTGGCCCCCTGCTGAAAAAGTTTGCTGACCCCTGCTCCAGAGATTCAGGCACCCTGAAGGGCCAAAACTAGTGTTTGCAAGAGAATTAACAGTGGGAACAGTAGTCATAATTTTTCATTAGTACTATAGACATATGAGGGGTGCCAGTTGAAAAATTCCCTCTTTGCCTCAAAGGGCAAAAGACCCCACAAATGTCTTGCTAGATTGTGAGGAGGAAAACCCTGGGATTGTATGAAAAAACCAGAATGATTTGGTAGGTCATATAGTGCAGAAACCAGGTGGCAGCTGTCACCAGGAGTGTCTTTGCTCAGCAGAGGCTAGTGTGCCAGCTGTGCCCATTCCTGAAGAAGTCAAGCCTGGCCACAGTGACACATGCCTTAGTTACTTCCACGTTGGATTACTGCAATGCTGTCCACATGGGGTTATCTGTGAAACTTCAGCTGGTCCAGAATGCAGCTACATGAGATCACGTTGCACCAATCCTACAACAGCTGCACCGGCTACCAGTTTCCTTCTGGTCACAGTTCAAAATGTTGATGATTACCATTAGAGTCCTACATTACTTAGGTCCAGGATTCTGTAGGGATTCATCTACTCCCAAGTCATTCTGCCCAGTGTCTAGGATCAGAGGGTCCCTCTCTGTGTCCTACGATGGAAGCACGGCTGAGTAGGATAAGAGATGGGGCCTTCCTTCGGAGTGGCTGCCCTTGGTTGTGGAAAACCTTCATCTGTAATGAACTATGGTTGGTTCTCTCTCTCCCTACTTTTCACCAGTTATTTAAGTCCTATTTATTATTTCATCAGGCTCCCTTTTTATTTATGCTTTAACATTTGTATCCTGCCTTTCTTCCATCATGGAACCCAAAGCAGCATGCCCATATTTGCCAGGCACTACTGACCAGTCCCAGAACTGCAGAACTTCAACAATGTGCTAACCTCATGTCTCTTCAGATCAGACCCTGAGAGTTTTAGGAGACAACACATTTATAATTTAACTGCTGACCCTGTCTCTTCTATAATTGCATTGCATTCTTTATGTGAACTTGTAATGTTATATATGCTGTAAGCCACCCTGAGTGGTATATTTACACAAGAACAGAGGGGAGAGAGGCTTTTTGCAATCAATGGCTTTCCAGTGGCCTTGCCCCACCCTCCAGCCCCAGACCATGACTTGGAGAAGAGCAGAAGCAGATGGGAAGAAAGGAGTTCAGGGATAGATTTTTAAAAATAATTTTATAAGTTGTGTGTCCTTGTTTCTCAGTTTTGTCCTTGTTCGTTTTTGGTCCTTATATTTGGTTTTGTGCGTTTTCTGAT